TGGAGATAGGCGCGTGGTACATGTCCGCGGAATTATATTATCGCGCGGAAGCATGAGAAAAAAGCAAATTGATCTTTCTCGAGGGAACGTGAGACATCAATAAAGATTTGCGCATTTCGACCGATTTCAGAAAAACTGGCACCTACTTTTCCTAAAAATTTTTTGTCAAAAGCATATCAATTTGATTTATCACTGAATCGACGGTAATGTATTTGCAATTTGTATCTCAAAAAATACTTGAGAAGATGAAAAATGATTGTTTGATTGTATCGCTTTTGAACACGTGTGTGTTTCTCTCTCTCTCTCTCTCTTTCTCACGCAACGGCTTCATAGGAGCAATGAGAGGAGAAATATAAGCGTTAGGTTTTTTTTCTGAATACAATCGAAATATGCAAATCTTAGCAAGCTCTTTGTAAGAAACAGCTTTTGAAATAAATCACTGTAATTTATTGAGCGGTGACGTCTAAACGTCGCGGGCATTTAAAGCCGTATGAATATTTGCAATTGCATATACATATCGCCGTGAAGCTGTAAGTCATCTGCCGAATCGAACTTCACGAGAGACACACGAGAACTTCCGAGAGTCTCAAACGAAGCTAAACTAAGCCAGATTTCCCCGTTGAGAAAAGAAAAATGTCACGCGCCGCTATTTTACTTCCGGCTATTTTCATACGAAAGTGGAAAAGCAAGCAAATCAAAACTATATATAAGTGTTGGATAAGTGTAAAATAAAATATCTAGTGACAGATTTTATTTTTCCAATTTTTCGACTTGAGGTCCGGAGATGAAAGAAAATCGGAAAAATATTCGAAGCTGTGCCGTAATCATCGCGCGGATCGCGTTAAATTTTCAACTTTCGTTATATTCGATTTGTTCCGATCTCTCTCTCTCTTTCGACCTTTCATGTTTGCAGATGATAGCCCGGGTAGACGGCCGTGAGAGTTGCGAGACTCATTTCCTCGACTTTGTTTTTCGTATCACTGAGTTCCAGTTTCAGTAACAATTCCGTACAGTTTTTATTTTTATTCGTACGTTCCCGAAATTTCTAGGTAAAAGAGTAATTATATTTACGTTTTATCATAACGTGTATATTGTAAAACAATAAAACGGACTACGTATAGAATATTTATTTACTAATTTTTTAAAATAAACATGTATGTGTGTTTAATTCTATATACTTTTTATATAACTTCTCATATTTCTTTTCTCAAACAACATGTGACTAAGGTAATATGACTGTAATGTATATTATACATAACATTAAATAATATATATATGATATACAAAATATATTAAATAATATATATTATACATATAATTTATTATATATTTATAATGTTATACTTTATATTATATATTATATATATTATATACATACTACCGTAAGGTCACTGATCTCGGTCGCGTGACCGCGGCGGGGTCAATGACCTCGGCCGCGCGGCCTTGGCGGGGCACTGACCTCGGCCGCGCGGCCTTGGTGGGGGGGGGAAGTCACTGACCTCGGTCGCGTGACTGCGGTGGAGTCACTGACCTCGGCCGCGCGACCGCGGCAGTGTTACTGACTTCGGTCACGTGATTACGGTATATATATATATATACATATATGCGTATGTGTGTGTATTATATATTATATATAGATATAGAATATTACATATAATATATATAATATTCTCTTCTTTACCCTTTTCCCTGTTACGTGACTTTAGTCACGTGTTGTTTTTCCACTTCTCTCTCTCACTATTTTTTGAGTTTGATTTTCATGCGTTATTTCTGACATTTCTCATATGTGTATTATATGGTTTATAAGACGTATATACTATCTGTCNATGCGTTATTTCTGACATTTCTCATATGTGTATTATATGGTTTATAAGACGTATATACTATCTGTCATCGCGGTGACAGGTTGTGTTCACTGACAACACGTTAAATAAAAATAACAATAGCGTGCGCGTAGCGCGCCCCTGTGTTATGCTAGTTATGATAAATTTCTCTGAATATCAATTCTCTATATTTAATGAATTGCCCTTGTTACTGACAAGTTGTCAGGTAAAGCATTCGTGTTTCATTTGCTCCCCTTCATATCGTCGCACATATATAGTTAGTTATGTGTCATACAACTGTGAAGATGGTAGTTAGAGGAAACAGTAAGGCATAAATGGCATCAACACCTGTAGCGTTCGGCAACTTTGACGATGTTACTAAAGCGGTTCGCCTATTCTCGGAAAGCCGCTTCGCCCTCGTCTGGTTTATTTTTCGTACGTGAGTCTGTGCGATTATTTGGACCATGCCGTTTCTTCAATCTCTATCTTTGCGGGCGATGTGCCATTACAAACTAAGATATTTCTCTTTCTCTCTCTCTCTCTCTCTCTCTCTCTCTCTCTCTCTCTCTCTTTCTGTTTTCGTCGTTAAACGATGTGCGATTGAAAATGTAGTTTTTGCTGAAAGGAAAGTTTCAATTATAAAAATAAAATCTCGATATATGACGTCTTTATTCGATGCGAATATTTTTAATCGCAACACTTGAAATTAATTGTAGAAAACGGAATCCATTAGTTTAGATGCGGATATTAATATACTTTCCGCCGATTACTTCATATGTCGACGAGATCGCTTTTATAATTAGTCTGTAAAAATTGTTCCGTTAAATATATCGCCTTTCATCGGAAACACACGGTTATTGATTCTCCAATCTATTATCTCCGTGAGATTAAACCGATATCTGCAGTTAAGTTTTCTGTGCCAACTTGTGTTGGCTTATGCCAATAGTAAAGGCGATTTCAGGTTTTTTTCATATTACGCGTATAAAAATAACAATTTTTGATACGATTGTTAAGAGACTATAATAAATACGCAAGCCGCAATTTTAATTCAATCGTGTGCTCCAAATACAAATTTTGTTGTTCAACCGCTTCACTTATATGAGAAATATTTTTTATTTTCCAGAAAAACAATTTTTACATAAATGTTTTACTACACATTTGTCGATTAACTATGAAAAATAAACTAAACAGAATATATAAATTGTAATAAAATAAAGTAAAACGGAACAACTGTAATAAACTCTAAAAGACTATTTTACTTGAACTTTTTATAGCCAATAAAAAGAAATAAGGGAAAGAAAAGTATGAGGGGAGATGTCATCCACTTACCGAGTATCACGTATTGCTGTGTTTCAAATGCATGATATATGTTCCCGAGAGTACATTTTGCTTGTTTCGCTTTTAGTAATTTATTTGTTATAAGCACGTTTTGTAGTTGCAGAAAATTATGCACACAAATTAGTTTTTCATTATATTTATTACTTTCGCAGATTCGAATTATTCGTCGTAACTTGTCGAATGTGTTTATTATCGTTATTACACCGTTGCGCGTTTTATTCTTTCTCTCTTATTTGACATTTCATTTATATTCATTTTCTTTTTTTTTTCAAGAGAATTTCTTCTTTCAAAAATATTTGCTCGGATATAATTATAGATCTTGTTATGTATGCATTTCTCACGTAAGATAAAATACGTCGAAGTGTTGCGGGAAATGAAAATAAAATTTCATTAGCGCCGTGTAACGTAGGCAGTACCTACGTAATATTAACTTCGCCCTGTTAGCCCCGTTTTCATTAGTTAACCGCCGAGTCGTTTATATTCCACTCTGAGAGAATAATTCGCAAGGTGTGTGCGCTTATTTAGCTTATTATGCAAGTTCTTCTTCCTACAGGTTTGTAACGCAACGACGCAGAATCGGAGAATACGTCCCGCTTGTGTCGTATTTCATATTTGCGTGCAAGTATATTGTAATATATTGTGCCGAGAAAAGTTAACAAAACGTCGATTTTTTTTATATACTCTTTATTGAGACATGTCGAGCATACATGTATACCAAAATGTGACACATTTGAAAATGCCTCTCTCGGTTTCCTCATAGAAATTCTTTCTTGGAAATCATTTTTCGACAGCGGCAATCGACGAAAACTTGTCCGTGCCGGCGGAATCGTTTGAGTAAAACGATTCCTCGCGAGAACAATCTCGAATTCTTTTATCGGTTTCACTTTTCAGTGAACATTTTTTTCAGAAACACCTTTTGAGAGCGCACAATAAAAACTTTCACAGTTTTTATTCGTATTATCCGTATTAGTCGTTAAAAAGAGATCTCTTCCATTAGTGAGTTAATTTTATTTTTTTATTTTTTTTTTTTTGACGATTTTTGGATCAGCACGATCTTGTTTCTCTCGTCTCTTTTAATCCTCCTATCTTTTTAACATCTTGGCTAAGTGGATTTAAAGTTGCGATTTCAAGTTTCAATAGAGTTCAATAAAGTTCTGATGAGATTTATTGGCAAGTAAAAATAACAAGTGAGGTTTTTAGTAAACCAACACTTGTGCAACACAAGATAAGGTCAATAAGAGCCATAGGCTAATTATTAATTGCGTAAGTTAAATTATTGCTTTAATTGTCTCTATTTGTATCCAAACATTTGTATAAAGAAATAAATTTAAGAAACTTGAATTGGTATATAAATAAAAACGATAAAAAAAAACTCGAGTGCCCCATTGTTAACCAGTTGATCGAGGTATAGCTTATTACTTGGAAAAGGATTACGCACGACCGATGAAAAGCTGTTTTCTGTACACGTCTCGTTTTAAATGGGCGGCATTTTTATGTGCCTGAGTATGCCAGGAGTTTTATGGAACGAGGTCATTGTTACAGAGCCTCGTCACGACGCACCACGCCAAGTAGATGACTGGATAGATCGAGCGTGGACGATAAGTTGGCAAGATGGAAGGCAATAGAGGATAAGTTCACAAGATTCTAAAAAAACCTTTTTATTATTTTTTATATACGTATATGTATAATATATACATAGATTTTACGAAAGGTTTTACTTGTGTTTTCTGAAATTTTAAAACATGTAACTTTACAGTATTATGCAAGCAATTACAAATAGCAAATCATTAATCATAAACCTAATTTGTCAAAAATATGTACCAGAGCAACACAATTATTATTTTGTACTTCCGTTATTTTTTTCTCCCGAATTATTTACGGAGCAAAAGGGGAAAAATATGATTTCATCTAAAAAGAGAGAAGAGTAATGTAATTAATTTGTTTTATATTATTGCATGTATATAAATAAAAAATAGTTCTAAATATTCTCAAGTAATCCCGGTAATAATTAATTTCTCCGCTCCCGAGTCGCTCATTCAAAATGAACAAACAGATATAAATGGGAAGGCCAGAGCTGTGCAGATATTAATGAAAAACAGGATGCGTTTAAAGCACGTACCAGCGAAGACCGCAGGCCGAAAGATCATTACTTTTCGCCGCGCGCTTCAGAACTAGTTCGTTTCGCTTTTCTGAGAGAGAGCACGAATTTCGTCCACCTCTTATTGTTCTACCTCTCATTTTCTGTACGGGAGCAGAAATTCATCGATCCTCTGACAAAAGGGACGTGCGAGCGAAGGAATAGAGTAGGTGTTTCTGCTTTTTCGCCAACACGCGAGAATGTTTCCGACCATTTGACAATGAGATACTCACGACTCTGTCAACGTGATATTTTTGGTTACTTTCTTTCATTTTCCATCTTTGTCAAAAAGCTGTCGCAGACAAATATATACTTGGCTCATCATTTTTTTCTCCATCTTTTTTTTCTTTAATATTTTTCGCTAAATCTCACGTACGACGAAACGTTCGCTTTTTTTCAAAATTGCCACTTCGCAGAATTTAAAATAAGGTTACAATTATTAGCTATATTAAATCTGTTTTGCAATAACAGATCTTATTACACTTTTTCCTTATAGCGCCCTTAAGTTTCTGGGAATTCGCACGGGAATGCAATTCAATATCTCTTTTGTGGTTAAAATTAAACCGTGAAAAATTCCGTGAGTTTCTATCGTGACTGTTAAGAATTTATAAAAATCAACTTGAAATCCTTAAAGACGACCGATCACAATGGCGACAAGTGCGACGCGCCGTTGAAGTATCAATTAACTTTATTAATGCGGTTATCGCGAATCATTGCAACGAAACGACGAGCGGAGAGAGAGCTCGGCAACAGAATTCTTTTCCGGAACATTACCCTCTGGAAATCTGTTTCGAAGCGATTTGGTTTTCTTTTGTTCGTCGATCATTAACCTACGATGATAACCTACTGAACTCCGTCTTCTTAAAGTCATTTTATCAAATCGTTCGAATTGCTCGTCCTTACTAATAAAACCGATGTTTTATCTCGCATCGTCTGCGCGAGATATGTGCGTACGCGTTTGCAAGCAAAAACATTCATTACATTATGACGTTCGCGTGACAGCGAAGTATTGAAGCTCCAAAACAGTCAGAACAAAACATCGCGTTTTATATAAAAACGCAATTAATAAAAACAGTAAAATTACTTCAATATTGTTTTTTTATTGACACTCTATACAATACTCAGGTATGTGATTTCCTCTCTGACAGTGATTTCCCTTAAATCTCTCGCAAATTATCAACAGTCTTGAAATGGGCCAACACTTGGAAATAAACTCTTGTGTATGTGTTTGTGTGTACATTTAAACATATTTCATAATCACTTTACAGTTAAACATTTCACTATCGCACTCGGAATCCGCAAAAGTAGTCAATTGTACAATTTGCAAATTCAAATCGAACTTGTGAAATCATTCACTCGTAAAGAAAAGTACATAAGTGACACCGACTAGAACAATCTCATACAAGTAGATCTTCTCTTCTTTTTTGCATATTTTTCTCATCTTCTTCGCAATTATCTTTGAATATCCGTCAATATTTATTTCATTAAAGAAAAATAGAGAGAATATATAAAAGTTTAACGTGTATATGTATATTTTGTTTTTGTTTTTGCGAAAGTTAAAAAAGAATCGAAAATTAGAACCTGACGTCTTTTTATCAGTCGCTAGATAACATCAAACACCGAATATCCTATGTACCGTAGACATTCATCCGTTGTAAATGAAACGAACTAGGATGTAGCAATCCACGCTGCATGCCGGTGAATTTATATCTGCAACAGTCAACAGAATTTGAATGTGAGGCAAACATCCGTGGAAACAAACCTAGGATTTTCCGTCGTTGCGCTCGTATTTATCTCTCGTTACGCGTTCCTCGTTTTTATTAATTTTATATTGTCAGTTTATATCCTACTCTAAATCTATCTTTTGCGTACAAACCTATTTAATTTTTTGTCACGCGCAAAACAAAAAAATGTCACAAAAAATACTTATAACACATTTAAAACATTGATAAAAATTTCCTTCTTTCTTCGACTTGCAAAAGAATAAGTAAAAGCAATAATAAAAGTATTCTATTCTCACTTTCACGTTTGAAAGTGTTTAGGTAACTATTCGAATTTTGCTTTCGTTTGTGAAATTTTAAAAACTTCTTGGGATTCCCGATTCTTCGATATTCTGGTTCAATTCACCATTCTGTGATCTCGACGGTATAATTCGTGCTAAAGAAGAAGAAGAAGAAAAGGAGTTTTGAAAGTAGGCCGCGTCATGAAATAAGCGGAAGACTTTTCTCGTTGAGAAAGCAGAAGAACCACTCACTTCAACCCTTTTCTCACATCTTCCTTGCGTTCTCTTCCTGGCTATTGCACGTCTGTCTTCTTCCTTCGACGCTATTGATCGACCTTCCCATTCATTATCGATCTGTGTACTCGTCGTCAAATCTGCATATCTGCGTCCCGCTCTCTCATTAAAGATTGCATATAAAATGCATTTTCCAGTTTGAATGGGTAATACTTTCGCGCTTAAGGGAACGGTTTATTATCTTTTACACACACGCAGTTTGGCATTTTGCATCATCAGATTTCATGATGTGAGATGAAAAAAAAAAAACAAACACAACAGTATCTCTAAACAGTTAGAAAGAGATTAATTGTCTAAATCTAAATAAAAACAAACACAATGTAAACGATCCGTGCGTAAATCGAAAACCGAGAAAGAATTATGACAAAATAAAAAAAATAAATATTGAACAATAAAATAATGTATTACGATATAGTACACTCAAGTTATCGAGATTTGCGAGTATCCCGATTTTTCGAATCCCGGGATTTTGTCCCGAAAAACGAGATTACAAAAATAAGCTGAAAACTATGTAGGAAATGTATGTGAAATTATTCCGGGTAGGTGGATTTATTCTTCCGGAATTATCTAGATCCCGCTGAGAGACGTAATATCCAAAACATTCCGCGCGTGGCTGCAAATCGCGTGTCCGTTTATTATTTATTGGATCGTATATTCTTACACCGCAAATGTTTGTGAAAACCTTTTTTTGTTGGTTGTACATCATTACATTTAGACGTGGAATAAAAAATCGCGAGGTATTTCTTCTCTGTGACAAATGCCGAGCGCGCATTCGCGAAAACGTCAATCTTGTGATATATTTTTCGAAATTCTTGCCAAACAGTTTCCATTTATCAAGTTACATTGGCAACCATTTCGGAATATCTTTGAAATTACGGTTCTCTCGGCACGTAGATTGAATCGGCGCGAAAATCGATATTTAGTTGGAAGTTTTTCAAACGTTAATTACACAACGAACGAATACGAGACAACGTTTGCGGAAACATAACGAAAAAAAAAAAAAACCAGCGAGCTAAAAATTATAAATTTTGTCGTAAATAAAAGCGAGTGATAAAAGAGAAAATTTTTCAAATAAAATTTCAACGTGTTTAAAAGTCGTTTTTGTTTCGTATAAAACAGATATTGATGAAACAAACATTGATAAATAAAATCTGTGAACCAAAATTCTGGCGCTTTAAAAATAAACAGTTCGCACGTGTGATTCATTTGCGCTGTGATTTATTCCAATCCATCCCAATTTATCCCGCATAGCTGGATTACTGTATAATGATGGGAGATCGCTGATGTACTGCAAACGCAAATAGGACTGCGAATATCACAGAGAGATAGCTACGCAAACGCTTAGTCAAGATCGAATCAGCGCGACGAGGGTATCGGATTATCTCGTCTCATTGCTCATGTGGAATATGTCTGCTTGATTAAAATTTGTTTGTACGAGTCGAGGTGAGCGACCATTTTTACGAGACTATTCGTTGTGCGCCGCCATTCTCTCGGGACGGCCGACGATATTACCGGATCACTTATCGTTTTTCGAACGTTTCGTTCATAAGATACGTACAACGTTTCCGTCTGATTAAACGGCAAAGCGGATCGAAATTGCGCATGTTCCGTTTGTTTCGGCATCGCGATCGCGATGTGTCGTACATGCAACAGAGTTCTGCTTTTCTCATGTTGCGGTTGTCGGAAACCATTAACTCGCATTTCTCGCTCTTTCCTTTTATTTCTCTCACTCTTTGACAAGTAGTTGTGCCTGAGAATTCCAACTTCAAAGCTTCTTATTGGCCTGTTAGAACAAAGAAACTCCGTAACGGAATGCTCTTGTTCCTTTAACGTTGTATAGTCTAATGCCCAAAGTTCTCGAATTACAGTCGATAAAATAAAAGTGCGCGCAAGACAGAAACAGTATTTCTCACTTTTTTGCTTCTTTTCTCGACTCGGCCTCATTCGGCCAAGAACAAACGCATTCACGTTAAATATATTATAATAAAGAATGTAGTTCGAAATTCATTGGCAGTACCGAAAATTTATAATATATGTAATATATAAACTACATAAAGATAAGAGTTCATTATTGCGCATGCGTGATCGGTAGCAAAGTGTCGGGGTAAGAAAGCACGAGAGGAGAACGAGATGAGAAAAGAGCGAATCACCGACCATGAGAATTGCGAACGTGAGAAAAGCGGAGCTCTATGTGCTATATGTTCGATATAAACAACACACACGATTCAACTGCCATCGAATTCTAGTTTACTTTAAAAATTTTTTTACCAACGTGTTTGCGCAAATAAAAAAACGAAATAAATTGCGAGAGCAGTGCAAGAGTTGAATATTCAACTTGCACTGTATAGATATATATATCTGCTTGTCTATGTAAGATGAAAGAGAATCGCGAATGAAAATTAAGAAGGTGAATAGTCACGTATGGCAAAAGGTGAAAGAGCGAAACGTCAACATAAACACACAGCGCCGGCATCAAAGAATGGTTAATTAAATTTTTGCCCAGCTGTCAATCTCGGAGTCACACATCGACTTGATTAAGGTTTGTTTGTTGACCGCAATATGTCGTGCGATGAGATTTTCCGGAAAAATTTTCAATGCGCGCCTGTAAGCGATACAGAAATAAATACAAAAGCACAGATAAATGAAAACAAAAAAAAAAAAACAAAAACAAAGCAAACAGAATTTATTGCGGTGACGTTCAATTTAGGATGAAATTACTGAAGTGAAAGGTTTACGTACCTATGTATATGAACATGTACTTTTGCAGACGTTCGTTTGAAAAGAATAAATCTCAAACAAATTTTCAACGAAATAGAAACGCAACATCCGAGATGATATCTTGTTATTTTAACATAAATATAAATTCGAGATAAACACACTGAGAAAACTTGGCAACAATATTATCAAACATTATAATAATAACAACATGTGCGTGTGTTTGTTATTCGTGATATATCTTGATTAATTAATTAAATTTTAGTTGATTAAATTGCAATAAATAAATTTTACTTTTGTTAATATTTAACAGACAGATGAATTAGTTATTAGTCATGGGAGAGGGGAAGCAGTGTGTTGCAATATTCAAGATAACGTTTCCGAGAACAGAAAACACAAAAAAAAAAAAAAAGAAAAAACAACTTTCTGCGTAAGAAAATTGATTCTTGTGTATACTACACTCTTGTGTAATAAAAACTATATAAGACAAGAGAAGAATATATTACCCACTTTCACCATCTCTACATTAATGGCAATACTTTATGGTACAAGATCATACTCACACTCGCACTCTCTCTCTCTTCCCTCACACTGTTTCTCCCCCTTTTTCGACGTAGGCATGTAGATGGGACAAACGAAAATGGCAACGAGAGTAAACTGGCTGTGAAAACGTCATCGTGTTAATGGCAGTACGCCACGCTGAGCCCACGGGGGAGAAAAAGCAAGAGGGGTTGCGAAAAAAAGAGAAAGAGAAAGAAAGAAAGAGAGAGAGAAAGAGAGAGAGAGAGAGAGAGAGCAAAAGAGGGTGGTAAAAAGAGAGCAGGAGGAAAAGAGGAAAATTTTGTTACGCTTTCGCGTACCGGGTTAGAGCCGAGCTAAACCTGGAGCCAAGTAAATCGGATGAAGTCGTTAAGTACAGCCGCGATTCCGTTCGTCATCTACCGGAGAAATTTGTATTACATTGAGAAAAGAGAAAAAAAAGCGAAGGAAAACGATGACGGAAAGATTGTTACAATAAAGAGAATAAAAGAAGATATAAAAGAAAAACATATTATTTATAGATTACATGCTATATAGTAAGAAAATGATTTTTTGTCTACGGACAAATATCATCTCCTTTCAAGAGAGATAACAAAGGAAGTAAAAAAGAAACTATAGAATCTCTATTGTAAGTGGTAAACGCGTTAAGCGAAGCATTCGAGGGAAGCTCATACAAGAATGTTCCAAAAGAAAAGGAAAGATCGATTCGAGAGGATCGGTGTATCGCGCGGTCTCTCGAGTCTAAAAAGTCTGCGATTAAAAAAGAATTGAATCCTCACCTAAAGAATATCGCCAGAACTGGCAGCTCTCGTGGTCCTCGTTGCTGGTTCCAGCCGATTATTCGACTCCGGTCGCGGCTTACAATAAATGAGTTTCCGAAAGGCTTTGCGAAAGTTATCGCTTAAAAAAGCGTATAGGATTGGATTAACGCAACTGTTGGTATAGGCGAGGATATGACTTGCTATCTGTAGCATTATCGTTCCCGTCGTGAGCGGGTACAAGTCCAGGGATTTGATCACCAGTATCACCTGCAACGTGACCGTCATCGCGAACGACATCGATAGATGACGAGAGACTGTTTTTTTCCACACGAAATATAATACGTGTCTCCGTTCTATTTTAAGCGAATCCCTTACCTGTATGGGACACCAACAGACGGCGAAAACACCGACGACGACGAAAACGAGCCTGGTGACCCGACGTCTTCCGCGCCGGCTCTCGGCGCTGGCGCGAGTGTTGCGCCAGAGTTTGCTCAGCATGAACATATAAAAAATAATTATCAATATCAACGGCAACGCGTAGGTCGTCATAAAGAAGACCAACTGGAAGCAGGTCCAATCGTACTGGGCCAGAATTCGGCAGGCCGTCAAATTTTCCCATTCTTCGTCTATCTCCTGAAACACGTAGTGAATCTACGTACACGCGATACACACACACGTGTAACAACGAGGTCGGATACGGGGGGGGGACGTGGGGCTTTGTGTGCGCCGTACTTACCTCGCCGTGAATCACCAGTGCGGGCACGGATATCAGAAGTATCACCGCCCACATGACGCAGATCGCTCGTATGGCGTGGATCTCCGTTCTCCAGGACATCGAGGCGATCGGATGAACCACCGCTAAATACCTACGAGCAATTTCTCTCGTCTTGATGCTGAGCTGAGCAATTCTTTGTACATATATATATATATATGTATATAAAACAAAACTTTTGATTAATGTTGCGTGAATTGTGAAATCTCTAAAGTGTAGTTGAAATCTGCTCGGAACTTGATGGCATTTAAGAGCAAAGTTTTAGAACGCGTACACGTGTAATCTAAATTGAAACCGAAGACATTGAACAAGAAAATGAAAATGTTTTCTCAAAAAGAAAAAACCAGAGATCGTTTTCCTCGAGATAAACGACGACGATATATCGAGTTGTTTCGGGAACGGAAACTTTTCGTTTTATGGTTTATTTAAAAGGAAGGCGAATCGCTTTCATCTAAAAACTATAAAGGTAATATACCTTTTTCGTCAATATATTGAGTCGATCGCGAATTCAGCAACCGTTGTGTGCGGTATTCGTCTACATTATTCATCGAAATAACATTGTCTCACAAACGCGGATAGTTTGATTATACAGTACAAACAAACATTATCATGATTAACGTACGTAATTGATATAATGCCATTTTGCAAGATTGCGTCCTTTACGAGGGCAGCTTAATGATCAAACTCAAAGTCGCTGCTTTAATCAAGCTCCTGCAAACTGTTGCTGCGAAAGATGCACAAGCTACCCCGTGTGACACGGGGAGAGAAGGAGGAGGGAGAGGGTCGCGTACATGATTTCACAATAACTCCGCATTGATCTATGTCACGAAAAGTGAGATTACGCTCAAGTTTCTCTCACCTTTTAAGGACGAAGGTATCAAACGGATATGTTGCACTCTGCGACTGTGTCGCGCGCGTCACGTAGCGCATCGCGACTCAAAGCGATAGACGAATCGAACGTTAAAAAACGAACGAAATGAAAGTCCGAAGCGCGTTTTATGAAAATATATATAGCGAACGCGTGTAATCGCGAAAAATGTTGTACATGTTTCGTTATTGAAGGTTTTTAAACTCTTTGACGAGGAAATAACAAGAAATCTTTTTTTAACAATAAAAAATATACTCGTATATATATATATCTCTATCGTATATATATATATGCCTCGTATATATATCTCTATCGTATATATATATATATATATACCTCGTACATTCAATATATTCCGCAGAGTAGAATGTATGAGGGGCGTTATATTGCGAAACCCCAGCGAATATTCCACTCGCGCGAGAATTTTGAGAATTGAAAACTGTTCGAAACATATGTATGCGCGGCGATAGTTTCTCCGGAAAAAGTCTGATGTTTATATCTCAAAATAATATACATGTGTGTATATATATATATATATATATGTGTCTGTTATTGATTTCCTTTATGGTTTACAGTTTATCACACTATCAATTCGTGTTCCATATCCATAACTCTTGCCCGAGGACCTATAAATTTTTAGCAAGATATACATTCTCGAAATTACCGAGAAGTGATTCGAATCGGTTGGTGATATATCGAAAATTAAAAAATCTGTCTAAGAGTACAACTTTGACAAAGACCGAATGCTCGATCGAAACGTCAATTTTGTAAAAGCGTCTACTGAATAAAACAATTTTACACAACCGTGCTCCCATTTGTCTGTTTCTCTTTACATATTGAAGACACATTTTATGATTACAACGTAATAAAATTTCTCAGTAGATATGCTGTAAAGGTACGTGCGCGGAATGATATCTGACTGAATCTCTGATATCTCTCGCTGTGCGGGATAATACTGTTACACTTCTTTTCGTCAATTCGGATATATGGGGGATGTTTCTCAAAACGGTAAATCTTACGAGATTTGTTAATTTTCGACAAATACGCGCATGTCTTTTTTTAGTTACTTGAAGTGACTCAGGTACTTAAAATTTTTATGCGATCCTCGTAAATTTGAGTGTAACCGATGGACACTCGATTTGGGGAAAGAGTGTTATCAATAACATGAGTGCTATGATATCTAGCAATTTCACGTGAAAATTTAATGCAAATTTGTTACATGTTTGCATCACTCCACAATGTAAACTGTTTCAAACTAAAACGCAATTTCTCTCTCACTCACTTTCTCTCTCTCTCTCTCTCTCTATATATATATATATATATATATTTGCATACATGTATATATATATATATATATATATATATATACATGTATGCAAATATATGTGGTTTGTAGCTTATCAGAATTCTCTCACACTCTGCAGGCGTTCAACCAGAAGATAATCTCAGTGTACTGACCTGTCGAGACTCATAAGTACCAAGGTGTAAACGCTCGCATAAGCGGTGACAATGATCATATACTGAACGATCTTGCACCAGACGTTGCCGAACGGCCAATACGGCAGGACGAAATCGGTTGCCGTGAAAGGTATACAAAATATGACGAACAGCAAATCCGCAACGGCCAGATTGATGATGAGAATATTCGTGGTAGATCTCATTCCGGGATTTGCCGCGACCACGAGGACCACCAGCGAATTCCCAGCTAGTCCGAGGATGCCGATCATGCCGAAGGACAATGGCACTAACACAGCCACAATCCTATCCACCAGTTCGCGATCGAAACCGAATTCGAATCTTTCGCAGGGTCCGTCACCGCCGGCGAGCGAACCGAGCTTCGAGCTGCAGTTGAACGCATCGGTTGCATTCGCGAGAACCGCGTTTTCCGACTCCATTACTTCCTGAGATCGACCCGCGATCTGTAAATCCAAGCACAAATCTCCTCGGTTACGTCGTGGCAAGCTCGTTAGGCCGGCTTAGTCCGGAGAATGGAGATAGGAGGTGCTTTTAGCACACACATTACGCCAATAATAGACCTGACATGAATTGCTTTAATGGGATTTGAATAGGACCGCAAAAATCCTCTCGTTCCCGTCTGCGTCGATGATGCTGAGAAATTTTTCTCTTCCCGCCGAACTCATTTTCGCCACCGGGAGTAGATGTCAAACGCGTACAATCGGGGATTCGTCGGAACGTCATTTCTTTTCTTACAATGCCATCCCTCGCGAATCCTTCTCGCTCCGAACTCTTCGGGAATCCTTCGACGTCAGAAGATCCTGGAGCAATAGATCACGGATTCCAGCCGCGCCCTTCGCAAGAAGGAATGTTAACATACTTGAGAGAGATAGAGTTTTTATTCTTTTTTCCTTCTCCTTTTTCTTTTTCTTCTTTGACAATTCTAATTCAATTAATGCAAAGTACACAGACGTGTCAAATAATCTTGTTTATTCTCTTGTCTCTCGTAATGTGTTCACTTTGTCACCGTATAATTAGATCTGAGATAGACGCCATGTGCGTGTGTGTGTGTGCGTGTGTGTGTCATTTTCTAAGTTAAATTGCGAAACATCACACGAAAGAGAGATATAGATCCGATCTTTTTTTAAAAATATATTACTTAACTTTCTTCTCCTCTCGTATACTTGACTTGTCAACACTTGTTTACTCTCGTATCCTCTTCGAACCGCAAAGTTGATAAAATTCGCGATAATTTCGTCATTTGCCTAAAAAGCGATGGATGTAGAGAGATTATTTCCATGAGTTTATACGTGACACATATTGACCAAACATATTGCGGTAATGCGTAATTTTAAGTAATGAGTTTTTCGTCAAAGGTTTACGCTCTTCACACGTTCGTTTCTGCTTATCGCCAAGCGCTCGATCTCGGCGAACTATAACGATATATTGCACGCCGATATTTTTCCCGCCTTCTTCGGCAATGCGAACGAAACTGCTACTTTTTAGAACGAATTTGTTGTTCGTTCTCATAAGTTGTTTTATTTATTTTTTTTTGTTTTTTTTTTTTTTTTTTAACAACAGTCCCACGTGTTTCGTTTCTTCTTCGGGTCACCAGTCGCTAACGAGCCTTATCTTTGCGCGCGTAATAAAAACGTTCACGGTAAGTTAAAAATTCGAAAACATGAGCGCGGCAAATCTGTCGATTCGAGATTGAAATCGTTAAATTTTAACAAATGTTTGTTGATCAAGTTGTAAAGTAGCGAATTGATCAAATCGCGACAAATATTTCGTCGCATATCCAGTATCGCGTGTCACGATCCCTTCAGAGGGTAGTTTTGCACTGAGAAACTTAGCACAGTCAAACGGTTGACGTGATCGGAGAAACGGATGGGGGTGCGCTCAAAGAACACGAATAATAACGCGTGGTGTCATCTGTCGTCAAGCGGAGAATAATTAGTCTTTCTAAGCGAGGATCAGAACCAATCTAGGAAACAAACTTTTGTGATGTTTCGCTCCACTCCCGCTGACATCTCAATGCGCTGACTCTCCCTTCCACTTGATGTTGATCTCGTTTCCTCTATCGTTTGTTGACTAGTTGCCTTGTGGCTATGGTTTATATGGGTTTGCATGGTTTTATCGTGGTGTGGCCGAGATGATGTCGGTGCTTCGGCTCCGTGACATCTCCATGATAGAAACGTAGATGCAGCATGCATGCACAATCAAGCACCTTGCATCCTGTCTCTTGGGCAATTTGATTAGGTTAGCTGCGAACGCATTTTGCCGTCGCCTTGTGGGATTTGTGTCAATGGCGAGGTCCGATTGTCGTCGTTTTTACTCCGGTGAGATTTTTATTTCTTTACAACTGCCAGTCTCTCTTGAGCGCGCAGATCGCGAAAACTTGAGAGCGGTAAACAAAATTGAATTGTTTTGATCATCTTTCAGCAACTAGTTTGCAAGCAGAAGGGATTAGTATTTGAAGAGGACATCCTGGTCTCTTGTGGAGAAAGACAAACCTGTAGAATGAGAGCGAGTCTTCTCTTGGAAAAGGACAATTCAATGGGATGGGAGCTTTAACACCAGTAAAAAGTGTTAGAGCTCCCATTCCATTTATATTCTCATCCAGTGGAATGAGCAACTGGACAGAAAGAATGCATCTAAGTGCTGCTATGTTAGGAAATGTTATGACCAGCTGTGGATATCCTTCTTCAAGGCAGAGATACCGCCCAAGACGCTTGGAAAAGTTAGTACACGTTAGCTGTATATATTATTTAAAAATAATTTTATACTTTTTATAGCTTGTTTTAATCTCTATATATATGTTTACTAATAAAGTATACTGTATAGATTTTTTTATTTTCCTAAGCATTTATAATTTTTATGTTATGTTTAGATAAAAAGTCAACTTCAAAATGTGATATAATACACTTGAAGAAGATATAGGCACTTAATTTTTTTTTATTTTTCCTTTCTTTGTAGAGTCAAGTTTGGCGTGCCTCTGGATGAAGTTTGTAAACATGATATTCCCGGCCCTTTACTGGTAAATAGCAAATCCTGAATGCATTCAGAATGTTACATTGTTGAACAATTGTAATCAATTTACAATATCCAGGTGGAAGTGATAACAAATAACCAGTCTTGGTCTTTTTTTTTTTTCTCAAGGTTCTTATATTGATATTAAACAAAGAAGCTGTATTTGTAAAAAACATTTTTCGTACACCTGGACACCAGGGTAACATGAAGAAGCTCATACACATTCTGCAAACTGGACAATTGGTCAACATGGATAATTTTAGCATTTATACAATAGCTAGTGTGTTAAAGAAATTTTTACGCAACATACGAGGTGGCATATTCGGAAAGGAGCGTGAGGAACAACTGTTTACATTGATTCAGTTGGACAACATGGAACAACAACGGGACCAAATACATGTGTAATCTTATATTTCAGTTGCGCTATGCTTTTTTTTTTTTTTTTGGATAATATGATCCTTTACGATTGATTTTACGAGACAATTTCTGCATGCAGATTAATTACCTCCATGCCAATATATACGCAACGATTATTAGTGCTGTTATTCGGCACATTCAGAGTAATAGCGGTAAATAGCGAGCTAGCGCAAACGTATATGAACAGCGAGGCCTTAGGAGTATCTGTGGCACCTTCGTTGTTTCAAAGTTGCGTCAGCGACGGCAAAACTGCCAAAATGGAGGATATTCTCAGATTTAAGGTAAATTAATATTTTCTTTATATATTTGCCGCTGTCTTTGTATATATTATTATTATCACGATAAAATTCTTTTTCCTTTCTCCTTTCGATGTTTGTCAATAATCGATAATTTATTTCTAGACTGCTACACGTGTCACCAAGTTCATGATAGACAACTTCGGCGTTTTGAATTTATTCGGGAAAGACAATTACGAATATTACGCACGTATAACAGGACGAATAATAAAAGTGGAGGAAGACTGGATTTTTAATTTCCGATATCCGCCGGATACTCTTGTATCGAGTAAACATTTTTATTTGCGCGCATTTTTATTTCAGATTATTCTCACGAGCTTAATCTAAATATAAATTTTGATTTGCAATTTTATAGGACAGTTATCGCTGGAAGCTGAAAAGACATGGTTACAATACGAGTGTGAAAGATGGGGATTACAGTTTAATTTAGAAAGTAAGTTAAGTCCTAGTGACACATAAAAGAGTAGATCACGTTTTACATTTTTTAATTGCAATTTCTTTTTACTGTGACAGATGCATGTTATCAAGAAAAATCGCAGTCGACTCTAACTTTGGTTTATCTACCAGAATCCGTGAAACTCGCGTCGTCGTTAGGCATGATCCCGGAAAATATCTTGTTCGAGAGTGATACCCGTTTCTCGGTTAGCTTAGAAGAGAACAGTCTGTTTCAGGTATTTAGCGGAAACATCATCACGCTTTTGCGATAAACACGTATCGGTGAAAGGATGTGAAGTAGCGCAGCTACTAAAATTTTTGTTGTTTTATAGGCGTTTTCTCGTTCATCGAGCAACGGCAGTCATCTTCCCATACGCGCTGCGGCGAGCGTGACGCTGGACGAACTGCGCGCGATGAATCGCTACGCTGAAAGTACCAAAAGTCTCAGTTACTTATCGCAGGTACCCTGAAATACTAAATAAAACATTTAATAATAGCAATGTAGAGCGTCAATTTTATTTTGTTGAGTCTTTAAAAATTAGTGAGAGATAGATTTGTTAAGATCATCGTGTTTATTGTGCGAGTTTAGGTTCACGAGAGACAAGCCGCGCGTATGCGAACCAGATCCGAATGGTTTCTTACGCCCGTAGAAAGAGACTCGACGGCGATGAATAGCGGTACCGCAGCGATACACGTTTTAATTCACACGAATTCAAATCGGTCTTCCTCTGGCAATATCGGTAAACACAACTTAGTAATTTCAGAAAATTTTTTTTTTTTTTTTTAAAGACATTCAATTTTTTCGATTTTCTACATTCTTTCGACTGTAGCTACGGGTTTGAGCACCAGCGCGGAATCGATAAAGCGGCCGAGCGTACGAAGAACTTCCTCTAAGGAAAAGCAACATTTACACCGCAACTCGTCCCGCCGCAATAAAAAAAACGATACGATTAAAGCTGGCCGCGATGGCGTCATCGGACCACAGGATTGTACCGAAGTGGACGTGAAAACATTTCACGTTACTCTGACATATAAACCGCGAATATAGATGATCTTTGTTTTTACTGTCATCTTGACGCTCAAAACATTGTATCAATCATTGGAGCGTTATCTTTCTTGCCTTCAAATTGCGTACTTTAGTATTATGTACGGAAATCTAATTTCTTTCTCGCCATATCGCTATATTTATAATCTCTAAATATTTATTATCAACATTACTTTGAAGATTTAGTCACTTAGATTTTTGACAATTTTTATGCTGTCGTTAATAGCAATATCGCATTTTGTAATATATATAAGTTAAATAGAGTGGGACTTTCGATTGTATGTATCCCGTTCTAAACGCACGTTTTCGATTAATCGAACGTAATAAATACATTTATAGCATTCCAAATGCATTTACGCGAATTTATCTTTATTTAAATCGTACGTTCTTACGTATCGCATATCGTTATATTTATTCCACACTGTATTTATAAATTATGAACACATATATATGTATAGATACATGTTGTAAAATAAATAAATGCACGTTAATATGTTTATATTTTTAAACTGTTATTTATATAAATTTTAACGAATTGTGTTAAATTCTACATCAAATTCACATTCAAGCGAAGCATCAGAAACAATGCTTGTGTGAAATAAAAAAAAATAAAAAAAATAAAAAAACAGCACTATAAGTATTATAAGTATCATTCACAGACAATATTTTTTGTTTATATTATACTTGCACATGAAAAAACCTAAATCAATTTTTCAAAATATATACTCAAGATAGAGAGAAACGCGTTCTGTTATCGTTCAATGTCCCTTCTTAAAGCTATATAAATAGTCTACAATATAGACTGTATCGATAAGATTTCACAGATAAGTTGAATTTACACATATACATATTCTCGCATTCTCCTTATAGCTTATAAACTTTCTGTCGCAATTTTTCACAAATAATCATCAATATATAACATTACACGCTTGTGCGCTATTTGTAAGGTATCAAAGTGGTCGGACTTGTTTTCATGGATGAAAGTATGTAGCTCTTTAATGCTACAACTTCTCCACTCTATAGTGTATAAAAAAAAATGAACTTTCATATAAATGTGTCCTATAAGTTCTAATAATTGGCATACAAGTTACTTCATAGATATTGTTTTTTTTGTTTTTGTTTTTTTTTGTACTAGTTGAATAGTACAAGCGCGCGTACACATAAAATTTATGCGAGATAAAATGTCAGACGACGCGTAGCAATTTTTAAGGGAGTTCTATACTTTCCTCTCAATATTTCTAATCCAGACGACTACGCAACACTTATTTATATGCTCGAGACAAACTAAAACCTCGGTATATACAAATCAATTTTTTACAATCAACATATCGTAATATACATATATATGATATGAATCATCGGTTACTTAATGCACTTATACTGAATAAAAATTTCGGTAGTGTTTATGAATAAAGCGTGAAGTTTTGACATATTTGCTTAATGATCGTGTTCGGTAGAACCGAGCGCTCAGTAAGATCTTTGTGATTATTGCTTGTCATCGGCATAAAACTTTCCAAATTTACAAGATTTAGAGGAATAAGCCAATCGCAAATAACAAGCATAAAACGTTGAATTCTGCTGAACACGTTCAATGATATGTATTTAAATTATTATCTTATTTGTTTCATATAAAACAACCAACGCAACAAAGAAATTTTAATCGAGCCCTAAAAGATACTTTTTTTAGCATTACAAACGAGTGGTCATTGTGATAAACTATTTTTAGATAAATTACATCTTTTCTAATTAATGTATTTGAAGAGACAAGAAAGATATAAAAGTGTAGTATTACCTAACATTACTCATAATGAAAGAACTGAGGTGTATATTTTTACTCGCCATAGATGTTTGACTTCACTCACCCATTACATCAATGCCCTTGTAGGTCTTTGTGACACCCAACTTATTTTACTAGTTAAATTGTTAACTTATCGAACTACAACATCAACATTACAGGCTTGACAAGTAGGAGCATATTGGTGACTCTGTGTTGAGTTTTTAATTCACCAACTACACAAGTAATTACTACGATTCATTTACGAATTTCTCATATGATCACAGAACCTCTTTTTCTCTAAAAGAAAAAATTCAAAAACTTCTTGTTTAAAAAATTTGGCAGTGATCAAAAAGTCTTCTGTTTATATAGACCAAGAATTGCAAGATTAAAAGATACTTAATCCTAAATTTGTAAATCTGATATGACAATATGAATTATAATATAAATTTACGTCGCAAGTATGTGTGTCGGATTGAAATAAAAGTTTGTCTATGCTTGTTTTATTCGATCGAATTGGAGAGACAAATTATTTCAATATATTATTTCGTTTCTGATCACATAATTTGACGAGTAACTTTGTATTATGAAAGTTAATAACTGCAGTATAAAAAAATAATATAATAATGTATATATATATTAATATATATATATACATTATTATATTATTTTTTTATACTGCATTAATATATATATATTAATGTATATACATATATATGTATACAAATGTGAGCTGTGGGTTGCTACTGAAGAGAACCTAGAGCAACATCAATTGGTTTTAAAAAAGAAAAAAGTCGAAGTTCTTTTAAAGAGACTCCAAGACTAGTCTCAGCTAGGCTACGTCAAGTAGCGAATTGAAGGAAATAAGTAGGGAGTCATTACATTAATGTTTAAAACACAATATTTAAGTTTACCAAAATTAAAAACAAACAAAACAAACTTTTATCTCACCTTTTGAATATTTCAAGTTCTGTGTGCTTAAAGGTCCTTATATATTGTATTAAAATGAGTAAATAAATCTGAGGTCTGTTTAGAATATTCTAAGATTATTGACTTAAGCTGTACTGGTATGGTTGTTAGCACCGCTAATGGCACTGAACAAAGCGGCACTGTTACGTTTGAAATTTCCTACTTGCTCATCCGACCATATAGGTTCTCCAAACAACGACGACAAACTCTGGCACAGTTTCTGGTAGTTTTCACGCAATACTTCTTGATACTCGTGTTGATCTGGCGTGATTAACTTGCTATTAATTTGTAATGCTGTATAGCATATCTTGACAAACTCCCTGAAATCAAAATTTAATCGAAAACAATGACGTTTGAACATAACACATGTTAAAAACTACAGAACACTACGTTAAACTGGCAAAACATACCTAAAAACATCCTTCAATTCATCTACTTTGTCATCTGGATATTGCGGAGACAACGCAGGATCCAGGAACGCGGAAGCGTACGCTAGAGGACCGGCATTTACTGTTACACAAATGCTACCTTGAAGACGTAACTGTAACTTCTTTACATCCGTTGGTCCGATCAAAGCCACCTCTTCCAATTCCTGAACACGCTGTCGCATTTCATCTAACGCAACTTCGATGGGACTGAGCTCCACTATTCGTTTCTCGGCAATTCCAATACGCTTTTTCACATATGGAAAAGCATATTGAGCTGTGGAAAACCAATGTTAAATTTTCGAGAAGTGCCTTTTAACTTAAGGAGACATGTCTTTAGACAAATAAAAATAATTTATATGATTGAAAAATTCAACAACATACTTGTGAGAATAGTTCTGCGTTTCCACTGATCCTCCGGATTGCCTCGTGCCTTGCCTTCTTTAGTAAATGGCGTTTCGAACATGAAGCAGGATACGTTGTGATTCTGCTCGAATTCGGTCTGTCGTATTTCAAGCTCGGATTTTTCGAAGTATGGAGTTACGTGCGTCACCTGTATATACGCCATCTTAGGATCCAGCTCGTTTACATCGACCGGCACAGAATCCATGATCATTTTGACATTTTCGGATCCGAATTTCTCGCTATACAGATGTAATAAACGTTCCGATATCTCGGACAGCGATGTCACCTTCGGTTCCTTATAGATGTATTCTTGACCGGTCTCTTCCTCGAAATACGCCTGGATAATAATATGTATTAATTAACGACATGTTGTTACGTACGTTAATAAAGATATGCGAGTTTTGTTCGCTTTATCTTACAGTGCCGAAGAACGCCACTCTGTAGAATCTTCCGAGCAATCTCTTTCCCGTTCGGGTAACTTCCACAATTTTGTTACAAGCTTGCGCCAAGTGTGAATAGCAATTTGCCAAAGCTTCGTAATTTCTTTTCTCTTCGTATATAGGAACTATCAAGCGATATAAATGTCCGAGCAACTCAAATCGCTCGGCTTTTTCCAACATGTCGGCACAAATTTCCAATTGTTCGAGAAGCAAACTCTCATTATAATGAATATCTTGAACGCCTGCAACAAAATCAGCGCCTATCACGTCTGGTTTTTTTCAATAAATGCACATACAATGAGAAAAAAAAGAAACAAATAAAACTATACACAAGACATAATGAAACAAAACATACAAAGCTCACCAGCATCGAGCTTAAGATTACGCTCGTCTTTCGATATGTTCACAGAAATTTTATCGAAAGCTTCTGCGCCCCATGAATGAACTTTTCGTAATTTTAGATATTCAGCCATTAACGCCGCTATATGTAAGTGACAACAAGCAGCCTTAAAATAAAAATATTTATAAGTATTTATTTATAGAACATTATTCAAAATAATTTCGCAAATATTTTATTTAAAAAAAATGCTAATTTGTAAGTATAAATACTTCTGAGAAGTTGTTATCCTTGGCGTGGTTTCTGGCCATCGTTTCCAACCATGTGTGCCTCAATTCGGGCGTGCTAGCGTACGAATTAGCCAAGCTATGTTGCAAATCGACCAACATTTCAGGATCGTTGTTATGTTCTCGCATCTGCGCGGTTGCCATTAAAACCGTTCTTATTCTTTTATTGAGATCCTTCACCTCAACTGGAAATCCTGTGCCCTTCATCACTTTGTCGGAGGAAGCGTAGCTGTTGATTAACGATAACGATTCTTGAAATCGTGAATTGTTGAGACCGATCACGTTTCCCAACATTTGAGAAACTGAAATTATCACCTGTAGAAAAATAATGAGCGCAATAAACAAATTTTGTTACACAGTGTGTAATAGTAGAGAACGAGACTTTTGTTATGATTAGTCAAATAAAAATCGGACTTTGAAACTGAAATTATACGTATAACGCTGTATTTTTTTTTTTTTTTTTTCATCTCACCTGCAAATGTACTCTGGTCAATCCTTTTCGACTAGTAAATTCAAAATTACTTCGCATGAGCAAATATAGCAAAGCGCAAGATTCCTGTCGTATAGAACTTAACTTGCTGTTGCAACAACGTAACAACTCATAACACAAACGTCCGCAAAGTACAGCATTACCTATAAAGTAATTTTGTTCAAGCTCGATACATAATTTACGAGTTGATCATATACTTATTATTAGATCGGATGTAGTTTGTTTCTTTTTAAAATAAAACTTCGTTTTTTAATTGACAAATATTGATTACCTTGAAAGAGCGCGATGGAATAATTATTCAAAAACGCTCGAAGTCCAGCAAAAACATGACGTAATAAAGTTTCCGACTGGCCAACTTGAAGAAACGATAAGTAAATGTTGAAAAATTTCTGCATTACCGGATTGTCGCCCTCATTCGCTAAAAGAATATCCTGTCGAAAAATAAGATGTGCATAGAAAAATTACAGAAAAATTATTAGATAACGTATTTGTAATAAAAGTAATTTGTATTCTTACTTTAAAATGGATACAAAACAAGCCCAGGCAATCTAGTGCAATGAGGCCAACTTCCGTCGCCATGTTTGCTTCCAATAAAGCTTGATACACTTTGCCACAATCGTTTTCAACTAGATTTTCTCTCGTAACTGTATTGTGAGGTTGCAATGTACTAGTAGCGGGGCTTTCAGTGATGAAATCTGGTGGCGCCATTCTGGCAGGCAGAGTCATCGCCTTGGTGGTACGCGGTTTTCCAACATTGTTCGCAACGTTGGCGGCTATCTGCCGCTTTCCGATATACTTGAAATGATGTAAACTCATCCTAAGAACAAAAAAAGCAACATTTACTTCTTTCTCTATACATTTGTTGTATTTATTAATTTCTTAAATACAATCTTGTTACGTTTTATTGTTTTATATATTATCAGTCTCATTGCTACTTACTCAATCACTGTGAAAAAGTTCAGTACTTCCGTGTCGTTACATTGTTGCCACCAGGCGATTACTTGATGATCACCCAAATATTTAACAATGAATAGGAAACAAAGTAATATATCCTTCACTTCTGACGGTTGCAACTTGTCGCATCTGGGCGATGACTGGGTCACGCTCAAGTTGCGCGAGTGTCTTTTTCTCTCACCCGTTCCATCCTCGGCAAGCTCCCTAATGATGGTAGTCTCTTGAGAAATATTGGACTGAGATGCACCGGATACCGTTGACGTATCAGACTCGACACTGGTGCAGGAGTATCCGTTTACCAATCCTTGACCCGCGATAGCGGCGAAGTATGTAGAATCCCGTAGATGCATAGACGATCTTACAGGCGATTGGCTGTCCAAGTGAAGAGTTAATCTGTTTAACATTGTTTTTTTTTATTTTCAATTGATCGGCATCTAAATATTATTAATCATTTTACATTTCTATATTTACCTATGAATGGACTTAGGTGTGCCCGCGGCTGGGATACTAGTATCTTTGGCTGTCAAAAACGAGCTGCTGGTTGAGACTCGGTTTGTGCTGTTCTGCTTCATCTCCACTTTGGTTTCGCTCTCTTGAATCGATTGTAGTCGATGTAAATTCTCTAATACAATGCCAAGCCACGGTATATAAATAGATGCTATTCGACTTAATTGACCCTGTCAACAAATAATTGAACTTAATTGGAGAAAGCACATTTATAAATTTAATTACATAAAATGTAAAATAACCAAAAAAACCAAATAGTTTTTAATTTTTCTTAATAACACTTTCAAAATTGTATTTGTTGATAAAACATTGAAAATCACACCTTATTTTGATATCTATCATCCAACTCGTGTTTCGCCATTAGATCTCGTAAAGTACTTATAGCCACTTTGCGAATTTGTACGATTTCATTAAGAGAGATCTTAACTTCCTGCATCAAAAGGCCTGCCAGGAAATGATGTTTGCAGAACTCTTCCGTAAGGCAATACTCATTCATCAAATCTGTCAGTAAACAAGTTTTCATCAGTTTACTCTGTTTACTTTTAAAATTTTCACAAATACAATTATAATAAATGCAGAATAATAAAATTGTGACGTATCAAAAAATTCAGACAAACAAAGTATATATAAAATTCTTGGTGCAAAATCCTGTGAAAAAAAATAAGTAATATAGATAATGTCTTTGTCAATAATTGAGAAACATCAACTTTTGGGCTTGATAGTGCTTTCAAACAGATGTACACTACAACTAATTCGCATGAGCCATAACTAGCTATAAACAAGAAAATATAACATGTAAAACATATATCTGTATATGAATATAATTCATATAAACATACCATCACCGTCTGGTTCGCTCTCAGTGTAATTGTCAGTGTCTTCTAAACGACACGTGAAACGATTAAGTTACAATAAATTAATTATATATTTTTACCGTACTATGTTCCTAATATGTATTCACTCCGTGGATGAATATCATAATAACTCACCTCTAGAAACAAGACGTGACTGCATCATTGGCAAGTTGAATGATACGTAGTGTTCATGAGAGCAGATAATTTGTAGAAAGGTGAACTTGAAATCGTGCAGCGTGCGTTGATCGCCGGGCGAAAAGTTGTCCAGATACGAATTGATGAGACGAAACACAAAGCCGCGGTCCATGAATGTAAGACATCGCTGCGTATTCATCAAGGAAATATATGAGAAATATGTATGTAATATTTTTACATACGTTATAATTCTACGATATCACACACCTTTAAAAATTGCGCAAGGCTTTTATTCAATTCATGCGTTTCCACTGGCATTTCCCTGTACTTGGTCATTAGATACGGCATTATCACTTCTAATAACGCTTTAATCTTCTCTTGATAATCTTTCGAAAATCGCTCGTTCCTATGCATCTAAGAAATAGAAAATATATTAATATTTATAAAAACAAATGTCACAATTTTTATATCAATATTAAACTCGGTAGTAAGTTCCAAACTCGCACTCTTCCGAAAAAATCTCTTACCTTTATTCTACCGGTGCTCAACAAATATTGCGCCATACTTTTTATCATTATTTCAAAAAAGAAGCTCGAGTGATGCATAAATTTGTTCACCACTAAAAAATCGGTATTACTCGGCTGCAACAAAGTCGGCAAGTGTTTCGCCAATTGCTCGTGAACCGTGACGTTGCCATTTCGTAGAGGAGGTAATACGAACACGAACTACAAACGGATATTGAAAATCATCAAACTTTCCAAGAAAAATTTAAAGAACTTTAAAAGTTAAACCTGTGTGTTACAGGTTAAAAATCCTTCAAATGTTTTACCTTAATATATGCTTGCAGAATTTCCTTGCGTCCTGCTTCGTGCACCATGTTTATAAAATGTATTAACACTCTGATCACATATAATCCGACTTCTTGACTGGTGTTACACGTCAACAGTACGAACAACTGATTTAATATAGTAGGGAGAAATGTAACAACGGTGACCAGTTGAACCGCGTGTGCCGCTTTTAGAATTTTGCAAGTTTCCGAATCCGATGGTGTCGTCGATGGTTTCGTGTCCAAAATGCGTTCAGCATGGACAAACAGATTATGCAGATGAAGATCTCGCGTAAACACCGTTGAAATCAATTGAAAAGATACTGTAAAAATTGGTCGCTGAGAGTCGATCCAAGTAATATCCGGCCCCGCGTTCTGTAAAACCGTCGCAAAATTATTTTTAACTCTATTAATTTAGCTTGTTATATATCAATTGAAAGAATACCAATACTTTAAATAATACCAATAACAATGCCAATCGATCTTACTCTTACCCCTTTCCCTAGTCCAAGGGGTTGTATGGAAAGATATCCTGGTGGTAAGTGCGTTGCTACAGGCAATACTTGAATACTCGTTTCTATATCTACATTCAATCTAGAAAAAAAATATACAGCAACATCAACGATGTAATTCTACTCATAAATATATTATTCTGAGGCACAACATAAAATTTAATCGAATTAACTTTAATTATCTAATCTATAAACTATTAAACTTGTTTATTTACCTTCCTTTATGTAGCAATGGTGCCCATGCGTAACCTACACAAGTTTCGACTCCATTTTCTTTTTTCTTGTTCATATCACAACTTATATGATAAAACGAAAAGAGAATATGATGTTTCGCGTGTAATTTCGTAGGTAGTTTCATCTTGATTTCTTCATACCAAGAAGGCACTGCTTGATGATGCAAAACCGTACATGATGCGCGCAGACAGAACAGTGGTGTACCTGGTTTCCCATAAATCGCCTGTTTCAAACAGCAAACAAAAATTTTAATTTTTTATTAAAACTAAATATAAATATATTTACATAAAATAATTTTCATTGCATACTCGCAAAGGTTTGACATTCTCGCCGTCGTTGTCACGAAGCTCTACGATACACGCTATATTTCTGGCTCGAGTGAATATCTTCTGAGTGTCGAAGCAGAGCGTTTGCGGATACACGTACAGATGATTGATGTAAGTCGTGTATGGATGCACGTCTTTCTCAGAAGTACTCTCGAATTCTGCGACTTCGATCGTCGGTTCCACCGTTGGCGGTATCGGAAATGGCTTTAACGGCGCCAGACAAGTCGACAACGTATCTAGAAATCGTATTTTATATATTGTATACTTGGAATCGTTCAAGATTATTGACTACAATTTTATTTCGTTTACTGATTAAAAGCGTTTCAACTCTCATAAGGATTGTGTACAAATTATTGAGAGTAAAAAAAATTGTAAAAATTTGATGACTACGCACTTTCAGGAATGTCCGTAATTTGTTCTATTTTGATTTTTAGCCAACCGGGTATCACAGTCAATTTGCTAAGTTTCTCAGGCCTATAAAAAAATTATTTTACTAGTAGCATTTATGTACATAACTGAACTCCAATTATCCAATTTATATACATTTTTTAAGTAGTAATTAATCAATATTGATTATATGTACTTTCTATATTCTGAAAGAAGTTTTAGTAGCTCCTCATCCTTTAGTTTATTACCCTCCTGCCTATATATTGCTGGAAAGTCCGAAGATGTGTCCAATTCGTTACTGTACAATCTAAACAGTGGTCTTGCTGCCCACGCAAATGGCATTCTATAATTTCCTAACCTGGAAGATAATGTATTTTAAAATACATTTCTTTAATTTTTTTTTTATCATTTTTTTGTTACTTATAAAAGTTATTTAAAAAAGCACGATTTAATAGTGAAATATAACAACATATCCCGATTTTTACTCTTACCTTTGGCAACACGCTCGGACTTGTTTATGTACTTTTAAACCTAATCTTGGATCCTTAGTAGCTCTCAGATATGGCTCTGAAGTTTGGTATATATTTCCTTGAAGTATTTTGTCTATTCTTACAACAAGGAATATATCAGGGTGAGGGTTACTGATGTTGAATATAGCCTGTAATAACAATTTGTGTTTCTAGGTACGATACGGAATGGAAATATTTTTTTTATAGTTGTCTATGAATTTTTCATAATCAGACAAGAAAAATGTTTCTCTTAATTTTTACGCATAATTCATCCTTGTCTTTTTTGTATTTGAATTATTATACCTGTTTTGGACACTTTAGCCAATCTGAAGGGATGTTCTGTAATTCTCCAGGAAGAGTAATATCCTCTGCTTCGGTTGTGACTCCAGCAGGACTTAGTTCCCTCGCCATATCTCGTACTATTTCATGATTAATGTCGAAGTGAAAGTTTTCAGTAAGTTTTCTACCGTTTCTTGCATCAAAAAGACTCAAGGTCGTGTGATAAGGTTCCACTTGACATAGAGATTCTTTTTCGTCGATAGGTGCTTGTAATCTAAACTTAAGACTCTCGCACTTAACAAAAATCCTGTAACCGAATTGCTCTTTGTAAGGTTCCACGTTATTATCAACAGACTGTCCTGTTTGTGTCTTGGCATGAGGTATATGAGGATACATGCTAAACAGTCTTTTTCTATTCTCTCTCCTTGCAAGAGCAATGCTAGTATCGGTCTCTCGAGAATATTTTATCAATTGCGGATTCATGCTCTGTTCAAGTCCTTTCAATGTGCCGTAAACCTTAAATAAGAGAGCTGTTGCATTATAAGGGTACATTAACATCATTAAACAACTAAGTATAATTATCTTTTGTTTCAAACACACACATCATGTTTTTTTTGAAAGATTTTAAAGTTAAACATTAACGATATTCAATTATTAGCTATAATAAATGCACCTGTATAGGTTGTGGCGATGGTGGCGGAGTATTACAAGCTCTTTCCAATGAGGCGGCACGCTTTTCTTCTTGTTGCTTGTAATGTTGCAACACAGAACTAAGTTTCAACAACCAATCTTGCATATCGGTCTCATTGTCAGCAGCCAAAGTATATGACTTATGAGTATCACTCATTCGTAGCTCGAAACAATATCTACCGCGTTTCGGATTTCTAACAACTTCTGTACAGAAATCCATCACTATCGTGAGTTTTGCTTCTCCTTTTCTTTCGTCTTTGAAAAATTCGAGTATGTAAGTGCCGTCGACTTCTTGTCTGAGATGACAGAAACGTCTCTTGAAGGATTTTGATCCGATATGGGCAAACATCCTGTCCGTACTACCAATCTCAGGACCTTTCATTAAATAACCTTCTTTTGTTATGCAATCATTCTTAGTTAAATCCTACAAAGAGCATTTAATATTAAATGTGCAATAATTATATCACTTTTAAATGTACAGATGTAATTTTTGAAGCTAGATATATCACTGATGTAAATCTATCAGAATAAAAAATTACCTCATCTACTTGGTCTACTTCGGTATCAATTTCATATATTTCATCTTTCAAATCATCTGCTTTTGTTAGTCTGGAAATTAATAAAATAAAAGCATCTAGAAAGTAATAACAAACAGTTTCATTGATTTTAATTATACTAGTCACCAAATTTATGTACCTTGGCAATTCAAGATACGTTCCACTATATGCTGCATATTTATAGTGCACAAGATTCCAATTGGATACATAACTATGTAAGCATTCTTTTGTGAGAAGATTTTCTACACCTTCTTCACATTCCTTAATATGCTGAGCGGTTGGCACCAAGCTACGATGTCTTCTTGGCAAAACCACTTGCTGTGTACCACAATATTATATATTTAAAAATGATCATTACAACAATCAATGTTAAAAGAAATAATAATTTCAAAATTTTCAACAGAGCAAATCAAATTTTCAGTATTTTAATTTAAAGATCAAGTTAAAATTGTGATTAGATACATTTAATTTTCACATATACACTTTACAAACTTTATCTATCTTTTATATTTCACAACGCATTACTTTAGCTTTGTTAGCTTATCTACAAATGAAACGGATGTGCTAAATGTACAGATAAGAAATACAAGAATAGTAACTCACGGAGATATCATCCTGAGGATATAGCAATAGTTCCCGTTGAGGATCATTTTGCAACAACGTTTTATTTTTTGAGACAAAACTCTCAAAGTCAATGGGTTCAACTAAATGTGGTTTATTCTGCAAAAAAAACACACAAAAAAATCACAAAGAATAAAGATGAATGAAAAAAAAAAAAAAAAAAACATCGCTTGTACAGAAACACGCAATTTTTTCTTTAAAAATCTTATGTAAGATTTTGCGAATTCTCAATGCTTGCATTCGCGAGGAAACGTGCTAAAATTCGCTCTGACCACAGAATCGCGCGATAAACGTCGGAAAGTTCAATATGTACGAGTTGTCTTTTCGCGATTGTTTATATTTATACTTTTATGTTTACTGACAGAAAGCTCTTACGGCGCGCGCACTTTTGGCGAGCTTTCGCGAAACACGATTTACGACTCTCGAGCGCGTTCGCGCGACAGGACGGATGCCCCGCTGTAAGGTTTCGAGGAAGACGATGATGATCTTCTCACCTGCACGGTGCTCTCGCGAACGACCTGTGACACGGTTTCCCGTAGCTGCGCCGCCATGCCGGGTTTCCCCAGGCCGCGCGTAAACTTTCTCTCGCTCATCCTCGTAAACGCTGACCGACACCGATCGATCCCAGGCCATATCAGCCACGTTAGGCCGCATCGGTCACCGGGCGCGATCTCGTTCGCAAACAATCGAACCCATCACGCGCACCCGCGATTTACAATGACAACCGATTAAAAAAAAATCGCGACCAACTCCCGTCAGAGTCGGCTGCACGGCAGAGCGGTACACGGCGGAGTTGTTGAGATCGAGCCGGACAGCAACGAGAGCATCGAAGCGGTGGGGGATTTGAGATTGGGCACATAACAGGGAATAGAACCTCACGGTTGTGTAGACGTAGAACAGAACCATGTCCACGTTTGAACATAACTTATCGACAAGTTGTTCGTAGACACTGGCTACATAGTTGCCAATGTGCACCACCCATGAACATTGCGCTGGTTTACAATCGCGGAAAAGCGATTGAACCTGGCCGCTCTCAATCTTTTTTCTGCTTGTGACAAAAACTCACGTTTTGTCGTGTTTTGGCGTTAGCAGCAGGTGAATTTTATCTGGATCGTTGTTGAATATCAAGTCGAGTTGGTGTTTGTTTGAGAATTGTGCGAAAAATATGACAACCGCAGCAAGACCAACCTTCGAACCTGCCAGAGGAGGGCAAGGACGAGGCGAGAAAGATTTAAGTGCAATTTCGAAACAGTACAGCAGCAGAGATCTGCCGTCACACACAAAGCTTAAGTACAGGTACGTGAATGACGAATTTGTGAACTTTACTTACATGTTGTTGAGTTACTTTTGCGTTGTGATTTTGATCGAATTGCAAATTAACACGTATTAATACGTGAAAAAGCGAATGTGCGACCTTTAGATCTTATGTTCATACTTTTGTAAACAAGGGAATCTTGTTTTGAGGTTAAAATCCTCCTCTTTTTTATGTATGTAATCCGAAGATTCTTTTTGTTCTTTAAAACTCAATATATGAAACAGATGTTTTATCTATATATTTAGTAAATGGAGAAAATGCCATAAATATATTTGCAAATTGAGTATGTTTTATTTTAACATTTAATTAATACTTTGCAGAGAACATGGTCAAGGAACCATTGAAGAATTACGAAACCGTGACTTCAGAAAGGAATTAGAGGACAGAGAACGAGCAGAAAAGGATAAAGGATCTAGTCGTCGAGCTATTGAACCTTCTAGAGATTCAGCTGCATCTAACGCAAAGAGACAGAAGTTAGATCAAGTTCCTGCGGCCAGTTTGGATGCAGATGATCCGCTTGATGATGATGAATCAGATTCTGACAGCGACGAAGACGACACTGCCGCACTGTTGGCTGAGTTGCAAAGAATTAAGAAAGAGAGAGCAGCAGAACAAGCCAAAAAGGTAAATAGTATATCTCATTTTTAATTGAAGAGCTTTGATTTGTTTTATCTCTTTAGCTTTGTTCCTTGTTTACATCTAAAAAGTACAAAAGATGATATTAAAAATACTGTTCTACATTTTGTTTTCAGGAAATGGAAAAACGACAAGAAGAGGAGAGAATACGTATGGAAAATATTCTTTCCGGAAACCCGTTGTTAAATTATTCTTCACAAACTGGAAGAGTAGATATGAAGGTGCGAAGACGATGGGATGATGATGTTGTTTTTAAAAATTGTGCACGTTCCGAACCGAAAAAGAAACACGACGTCTTCATTAATGATTCTCTGCGTAGTGAATTTCATCGTAAATTTATGGAGAAGTATGTTAAGTAATTTATAATATTTAAGTATTAAAACAGATGTAAATAAATTTTTGATGCGTGTTATTAAATCAATAAATAAGTAATAAAATTTGTATTTTTCTATTTTGTATATCTGTGAGATATTAACTTTATGATCAATTTAACTGCTACAATCAGTTCTTTTTTAACATATATTAAATTAATATATATTTACTCTTATAAAGTATGAATTGTATGAAATATATGAACTATTTTAATTTATTTTAAAGATATTTTTTTTTAAAGAAATGTTTTGTTAAGTTTCTTAAAGCTATTATTCTTTTAAATTATATGTAAGTACATATAATTTGTGAATAATTGTAAGATGACATTTTAGCTTCTACTTTTCTTTCTCCTCTCTACATACGTAGTTTTTATTTATGAAAACAAATATATTTGAAATTAAACAAAAATTACTTACTGTTTCTTATTATATATTTGAACATATTCTATAGATATATATTAATTTATCTACTTGTAGAAAAATACTCTATTATTTATATTTTATTACAAAAATATAGGAAGTAAAACATGAAATTTGTTTACAAAATTAATTAGTACATACTTGGAGATAAATAAAAGTTTTTCTTATTGAGAGAGTGTTACTTCACTCTTTCGATATATAGAACATTATGAATTTATTTATTTCACAAATATATATTTTTAAGTGTTTACATGTACATATGTATGTATATGTATAAATTGTATGTATGTGTGTACGTATATATAAACACCTGAAAGAGAGGAGGACCTCGGAAGAAAACTAGAACTTTCGCTTCCGTGGATCTCTGATTCCGTAACTGTTTCGAACTCACGCAGCACATATGTGGTTGAGTAATATAAACAGTATCCTTGGTGGAACTCATCTACATAAATGCCATCTCTCGCGTCCCGTGAAGTTTTATATCCCCGGCTGGAATTCCTGCCAATCTACTCCCTCCTTTCTCCGCGCTTATTCCGACACTCCGTTCCTGATCCGTATCTGCGATCCATACGTACGCCTTCGAGCTGTACGTTATACCTATGTGTTCGGTAGCGGACGCCGCGATCCGGTCTCGGACAGCGTGCAACGAATCGCGCTGGGTCAAGTATAACCGGTCCCGGAGGGGCCCTACGGGGCCCGCGCAGGCAGCAGGCAGTCTACCGATGCAGCTGGTTATCTCCGGTAGACTTCTCGGCACCGACCTGACACCGACGTGGCCAACAACTTAACCGCACCCAGTCGTCCCACGAAGAGATGACGGAATCCTAAGAACGTGTGTCTATATTATCGCAGATCGATATGGAAATTTAGTTGACGAAAACTGCGAAAAATTCTCTCTTGACATTGTCACAAAATCGCGGAAGTTTTAAAGAATTTAAAAATTATCGAAGTAGAGCTTCTCTTTTTTTTTCATTATTTGCTATCTCTTATGTTTCTTTTAGTGAGTCGTCTTTTTTTTTTAACGATCAAATATGTTCAAAAGAATCCGATTTCTTATATCAAAAATTAATATAAATTTTAAAATAGATAGAATTTTACATGTTTAACAAAATATTCTTAACAACACGTACGTATTTTGTTACTCAAAAATGTATTGTTGCTGCGTTATCTTAAAATTGATTGAAAAAATGATGATAAATCAATAACGATGAAAGTGATCAAAAACGATAAAATAATCAGCGAAGATAATCACTAATAACATCTCAAGAATCCACTTCACAAACACTCTCTCTCATTTCTATTGTGACTATCTTATCTAAATCTGTTCGTATACCTGTACAGGTCAATTAGTAAGAATTCATTTGCCTGAATATCTTCGAAGTAACTGAAACTTCGAAATATCGGTTGCGTTTTATTTATTTTTTTATTTATACAGATATGACAAAATTTCTCTACTTATCTACCAAAGAGTCATATATATAAATACTAAAAACTTGGTGTTATCAATTAAAATAAAACTAACATTGTGTTGTTGACACAATGTGGCAACAAAAAGAAAAATTTTTTTAAAAATTTTACTGATAGCACTCGAATGTTTTTAAGAGTTTTTCCGTGAAGAAAAAGCGGAGATAATACAAATTCGTAGTTAAATGTTTACTTGATATTCTTTGAACGTAAATTGATGTTTATCTTTCTTCGCGCCGCTCATCGCCTTCATCTGATATTTGCAGATTCAATTCACTTTCACCATCGGCCGCTAATCAGCTGCGCTTTTTACACTAAAAACAAAAAAAACAAAATACACTGATTATTCATTAATAATGGTTATTATACGATCTATTGAAGAATTTTATATCTTTTTCGAAATATGTATTAAAATACACGTCACAATTCTGAACGAAATAATTTTGGGAAATGCTTAAATAGTATTGATTATATATAAGTACGTATTCCTATTATAAATATTTATTGTACTAATATTACTAATATTACTAACAATTATATGTATGTATTAAATCATGTTATGTAATCTATCTTATACTATTCCACCAAAAAACTACGAAGAATGAACTATGGAACAGTGAAGAGGACGCAATATTTCTCGAAGAGGCATTACGCCAGAAATTGTGTAATCGCAATCGTTACACACATATAAATCTATCTTTGTCATTTGACGTTTTCAAGTCTGACTTCAATAATGCCGAGTATCTTGTTGACGCGAATAGAAACGCACGTGAGTTGAGAATATTTTCTGTTATTTATGAAAGAAGAAACTTTTACAGGCCTCTCTTGTACAGGCCGCCATCGCGTCCTCTAGACCTGGTCCACGATACCACCTCGTTAGAGAGTCGAGTTATCGGCGACCAGTCTTGGTTGCCAATCTTAACCGCGCCTATTCGTTCGTCAGAGGCGGTCCTACCTCTATGATCCAGGAACGTACAACTAACGAGTCATTCTTACTTCTCTCTTTTTTTTTCTTCAAAAGCGACGTAACTCTTCAATTTGCACGTGATTTTAATATTGCGCACTTTAGAAACGTTGATCGATCGGGGGGTTGATTTTTCTTATTTAATTCATTATATCTCAAACATCACACGCAACTGGATGTAAAATATTTTTTCACGCTGTTGAAATTAACGATAAACATTAGATAAATATAACTTTTAAACACACATATATATATAGAGCTTTTTTAATTAATATACTTTAAGAATCTCTTACTTTCTTATTACTACAAGATGTAACACTTCTCTTCGGGTCTCCGTGTTATGTGTAATAACTTCATTCATTCATTTCAATCAACTTCAATTTGCGCAACGAACTGGCGCTATAAACAAAACGAAACGACGTAACGTGTAAAGTTGCTCGTTTATATGTCACGAGTGAAGAAAAGCGAAGCGGGCGAAAGCAGAAGAGAGGAGAGAAGAGAATCGAGGTTGACGGTTCCCCCGGAAGTAGGACCCGAGCGGGCCTTGATACGGGCCTGGGAGGCGGTGAGCTTACTAGCGAGACGACTCGGGACGACGACTGGCATGGGCCAGACAAACAGACTGTTACTGGCATCGCGAGAGTCGCCAGGAGTCACCCACGGTGACCCTTAGTTCGTCGACGACGAGCGTACGCGTTGGTTTCTCAGCTGTGCCAATTTGTTGACAGATCCTTGACAACATCTTCGCGCGAACGTTCAACCGGATATCCGAGACCCGAGACTTCTCCGATCGAAGATTCCGCACCGATTATTCCGCTTCATCATCGCAGTAGATTCAATTAAGATCTCTTACCGTTTCTCTGCATATTATTTTTACGTACTGTTTCATCATTGCCGTCGAGTTATCGCATTTAAGCAAAAAAAAAAACGGAGTAACTTCGAAGTGCGGCGAAGCTGCCAATCCGTACCGCGCGCGATCGCGACAACGGAGGAGAATTCAACGGGAATAACAAGTGAAGTAGGTAAAAGATTCTATCATTCTCATCTGTGAACGGGCGCACAAGTAAACCGATTTCGAGATCGACTTTGCTGTGTGTTTCAAACTGATTCCCGTTCTTCCAGAAATTTGACAAGTGGTAACGAACAACACGTTTGACGTTTCTTCTGTGGCGAGCGAGTGCAACGCAATCCATTGCAAAAAAAAAAAAAAAAAAACGTCGAAGAGCGAAAAATATTAATTCGGCGAAAATGATGATCGTTCGATCCGATGGTAGATTCGAGTCGCTTTCGGAGAACGTGAAGATACACGTCGCAAAAGCGTGACCCGCGAAGAAAAAAAAAAAAAAGAAAACACCGCGCGGCGCATCAATAAGACGCAATGCACCGCAAATTTCTCACCTTCATCGAAGTCGTCGAATTCCGACATACTTGTGGCGATATAGATTCCTCGTTTAAATTGCGCGTTGACAGTTACGATCCGAACGATCGTTTGCTTCGGGAATTTCACGGTACCAGCGGGCAAAACAAGTTGCAACACGAGGTCACCAAGCCGCTAAGGACACTCGCGGACGACGAGGAGCGTTGGTCGTCGTAGTTGCGCGCGCGCACCCGATCTTCATTCCTCCTAACAGCAGAAATCGCAAAGCGCGCAATCACCGAGCATCAACGATCCATATCACGCCCGTTCGCTAGGATCGATCGATCGAGAGAGAAAGAAAGAGAGAGCGAGAAATCACCGTTACCCAAGATTCTCGACTGTCGTCGATCGTGCGATCGGATTAATATCGTGTATATATATCTACACATTCTAGATTTCGATCGCCACTCGGATCGGCGCGCACGCGCGCGCGAAACTTTCGATTGCGCTGTAACTCGTCAGTGATTTTCTGAACCGCTTGTGTTTCTCTCTCAAGTGCTCTCAGGATAAGAAATATGTGGAAATATTTCTAGAACATTTGTTCATTCTGTGTGCAAGTAGTGACACACACGTGTCTCGCCGCGGTGAAGGAATCGCAGCGACTGTCGAGAAGAAGCAGGTCGGAGAACTTTTCTTCGGATAAAAACAAGCGAAAGAAAGTGCGAGAAAGAAGGACGTTTCCGAGATCGCCGAAAAGATAGACGGCGAACGATCTCGTTGGCAATTGCAGAGTGTGTAAAAGAAAAAAAAACAACAAACCAAAAAAAAACGATAAAGAGAAAAACGTTTTATAATTATTAAACAGGACTTTAGCTTGTTTTTTGTTTTTTTTTTTTTTTAGAGCATCAAAATGTCAGTCAGTCCCATTTCCATTCTGTTGATCTTTGCGACGGTCCTCGGCGATCTTGCCAGTATCGGCAGCGCCGAGAGAATGAGCGGCCTTTACGTGGACAACGGGTTTGATCAGACCGTGGTCCACCGTGTGGTCACTCATCGTGAGAAACGCGAGGTGGAGCACGAGATTCTGAATCTGCTTGGGCTTCCGGATCGTCCGCGGAACACCATCGGCAAAACACCTCAGGTCAAGAGATCAGCGCCCAAGTTTCTATTGGACATTTACAAGAACGCCCTCGGCGAGGACGAAGAGGAGATACCAGTTGTGCGTTCGCGCAAGAGCAATTGTTCCGAGTTCAACCTCAGCGGGCAGGATCTAAAGGCGATCGATCAGAGCGACGTTATCATGAGCTTTGCGGCGCACAGTAAGTAAATTTCAAGTTGAAGTCCAATTACATGCGATTTGAAACATACTTGATATTTGAAAATAAAGGATCTCCGAAGATCTCTGCAGTTAACTGCGCAACGTTATATAGACGCGCTTCGAGCGATGATCACTGCGGTGCACGTGCACGAAAGTGCGCAGCGATACGGCGAGAAATCGGCGTGAAACATTGAACGAGATATATTCCGCGCGAGGGTGAGGTAAGACGAGAAGGAGGAGGAAGAGAGACCATCAGATTCCACGGAAACCCGTTACTGTCTCTCCCCTCTCTCTCTCCCATCTCTCTCTCCCATCTCTCTCTCTTTCTCTGTTCATATGTCCGGTTTTCTATTTCGTTGTCGTCGGGAACGGTGAGACGCGTTCTAGGCTGTTCGACGCGAAATGCGGCATGCATACAAATTGACAGATATAACGACAAGCTACATTCGTTATACGCGCGCGGAAGAATCAGGGCGACGCGAGATAGAGAGACGGGAGAAGAGAAGAGCACACACAGGAAACACATAAGAACACGAACAGTAGTAAAGAAAACAATGAAAAAAAAAAAAGAAAAAAAGAAAAAGAAAGGGAACGGAAAGAATCGATTTGGAACTGAATCACTGCATCAATCGCCAGGTAGCACACACATGTGCATAGACCATATATCTTCTGTACTGAAGTCTCTCTCTACTCCATCCTCCACCACACGTGTTCCGTGTGGGATACCCCTTGGGAAAGACGAGTCAATAAGTATCTCTTTTCCTCGCGCCACGGGCAGGTTAAAATGTCTCAACTTGGGGGCCCGAACTCGTCCTCTGTCTTTTGCTTCTTTTTTTTTTATTCTCTCGTTCTTCTTTCTCCCTGTGATCTTCCTTCCTCACGCGGCCAGGGCACGGCCCATACTGAGAAGCAGGCGCGCATAATACGGAATTATATGCCAAGATTAGGATGTCGAATTCTGGAGATAAATGAAAATCCGCGCTCAGAAGATCAGATCTTCTGTGTCTCAGTTCCGATCGCAGACACGTTTAACGACCGATGAGCACACGGAGATGGCGATATAGCTTTTTTTTTTTACGTCTTCATGAATAATCTTTTATCTTAATAAATATATTGATCATACACATATGTACACGTTCACGGAATTTCTCTCTCTCGTAACTTGCAATGACTGATTAATTTTTATTTATTTTACATATCGTGTTAGCTTTTTTGTCATTTATCATTCGACATCATCCCCTTCATCATCTCACGGAGGACTTAAACCACACGCACATGAGATTTATCTTCTGCTATCTCACGCATACGCGCGTAGAGAGACATGCACGTTCATACACATAAGAAGATATGCGAGAAGGAGGAGGCGATGGGAAGGCGCATCGCGGCAGCGGCCAGCGGAAAAAACAAAAACCACCGCTCGCCACAGAACGCTCCAAGACGGTCCCAAAAGCTATTTGGGACCACCCCGAGAGTCGAGGGGGCCCCGGCAATCTGGTACCGTTGGAATGTGACCGTCGGAACGAAAAACAAAACAAATTTTTATGTCCTCCCCTTCTCCTCCCGCCCTCTTTCGTCCTCCTGTCCGTATCCCGCCGCTCTTCTCTTCGGCAGAAGCATTAGGCATTACTTAGAGCAACCCCACCTCCCCAAGTTCTACCGCGAAAGAAGGGTATTTCTTCCCCTCCTACCTTACCTCCACTCTCGCAGGGCGGCAATCGCTTTGGCGGTCGGAGGAAGAGGTCGATTTCACGCTGCGAATTGTCCACGGCTCATTTCCAAGGGCCTCTTCAGAGGAGTTTAAATGGACACACACTAAGGGTCTTATTATCGACCGAAGTTTTCTCAAAGGAGAAGTTCCACTTTGCGATAACAGGAAGAATGTATACATTATCTTGTTCGGCGGAAAGATTAATCGTTTCTTCACCAAATGCACATTTTTTCGTGAAATAGTTTTGACTCGATCTCCATAAAGTTTTTGAACTAAGTATATCGATAAGATAAGAGCTTCCTTGAAATGTGAACGACCCGCGTTAAAAAGATCAAACATCTTGATACAAATACAAACTTGCAAAATTCGTTTAAATTTTGAGATCTCTCGCAACAATCGGTGTGTTACAACTAATTAGTTTTTTGTGATCTTCACTTTCAGTTCTTTAAAAACAGTTCTGTCTATATTTCAGCATTACGCGTTGCGTAAAGAAATTTTTTAATATTTTTCAATAAAATTTATTATTTCTGAAATCAAGTATGTTGAATACCATATATACTTAAGATACGGTTTTTTTGTTGTTGCGTAATTATCGTTAAGAATCACTCTTGTGAATGCTTCTCGAGCTGATCGCAGACTTGTAATTTAAAATAGATCATCACGTCCCCGGGGTGAGGCATGAACGTGGGAAGAGGCTTTGGTTCGACGTATCCGAAGTACCACCTGAAGAACAGATAATTGGCGCCGAGCTTAGGCTTTACCGCAGCCTGAATGACGTGAAGAATAAGAGAAGTCATGGATCCTATACGATCACGATATATCAAGTGTTGAAGATCGAGAACGGGTAAGGGATATATTTCTTTTCTTTTTTCTTCTTTTAATAAATAAACGTGACGTACACACATGAGAGAGAATATAAGAAATAATTTTTATTGTATTATTATATTGAAAATATTGAAAAACTTTGAATCACTTGAGAAATTTGAAGACCGTGTGTGTTGTGTGAAAAAATATCTTCTCTAACATAAGAGCAAGACAAAGAATGGGACTTCTTATCCGTTCGGTTTTACATCAAGGACATCTAGGTTAAACCACTTTCATGTTCCTTCGGGCATTTCTCGCAGTTTTTGACATCGTCATCGTATCCCTAATTAGAAGGTTCTTAATCCTTCGTCGAAGAATATCTCAGGTATTTATTCTACCTGTGCGAAAGAATGTTCACTCCAAGTACATTCTTTTCATCTCTTAGTCTTTCATTTGTTTTCCTCCTAATTTAGACAAAAATAAAGAATCTTTCGATTTTTACTTCTTATCATTTTATACATATACTCTTTTACAAAAATTTATATATCGAATAAATTTACTTATAAAAAATAATTCAAAATTACAACAACTTGAGGATTTCGCAAATTAAGAATTGTCTTCTAGAATATTGGAGTCAGAAGACAAATAATTGACGAATGAAACCGAAAGTTACATCGCAATTCTAATGTAATTAACTAGACATTAGTGAACATTTATTTGGAGCTTAATCTTGAAGTTCAAAAAAAACAAAATAAACATGGCGAGTTATAATCCGGGAGGGTAAACCTTCTCTACGCCGGCGGTAAACGGCGACAGCCTGTCTAGAAACGCTCTATCTCTAATGGATGTGGCGCTCCATCGCCAACCATGAGTCACGAGACGCTCCGTCGCTGTTAATGGTCGTTGTAACTGTTTTTAGTGCTCTTTTTTAAGTATTCTTTACATCAATTTAAAAACAATTCATATTTTACAGACCGTTAGGTCTTGCATTAAGGTTTCTCTCACTATTCAAGTTGTACGGAAGTCTGTAATTGCCTTTTAATTTGTGTTTCATATTATTTGCCTGTTAACAAGAGTAACTAAATGGAATAATCAGTCTGATTATCAGAAATTTCCTTGATTTCAATTAAGTTTTTTTTTTTATACATTTTAACTTTATTTACTTTCACTACTTTCTCCGTTTCTTTTTTTTTTGTGAAGTTTCACGTCAGCAATTTGACAACGAATATATCCTAGAAAATCATTGAAAATTCAATAAAGGCCACTTCTGTCTTAAAGAAACTTATAATACAATCAGCTTGATGTAATTGTAAATTTTATCTGTTTGCAAAGTTTCCTTTTATCGCGACAGCCGGTCTCTTTAGTTCTTCAGACATTGAGTTGTTGTAAATCTCAGCGCATTTTTGTGTCTCAAGACCTTTTCGGCGCTGCGACCTGAGCCTGACCGATATACAGGCTCCGACAGGAAACGTTATTCCGTAAATTGAGGTAAATTAGCTGTAGTAGACGGGGCTAACAGGCTCTCTTCGTGTTCTTCGTCTCGTCTGCCTACGCAGTTGAGCTCGATCTGTTTCTCCTCTTCTTATCCGTTCGTCGGCACTTTCGACTCTTTCCGTCAAAGTCAAACTATGCGTGACGCATCTTCCACCTCCTCCTCTTTCCCTCTTCGTCTTCGTTGCGAGACAAGCTGGCGACTCGTTGCTTTCGTAATAGGAGTTGTTCGAGGTACATCATTACGACTATGAATGCAGAATCTCAACGATAAACGTTATCAAACGAGTAAACGTTACCACACGTTTCTCGAGTTACAACCCAAGTTATAAGAGTAAAAATTGCGATAACATGTGGTAACAATCGTTCGCGGAAGCAAATACAAATAAAAACTGTAGAAATTTTTTATTAGACTCAAAAATAAGATTATTCGGTAATGTAACAAAACATTTTTCAATTTCCGCGTGTTATCGAGTAAGAAATCATTGAATATTTATCAGAGAAGAACACGCTCAGAGAGTCTCACAGCTCATTTGATTATATGATAATCGATCCGCGGAAAAACGATTAAAAAAAAACTGGTCGGTTAGGTGCTGCGAAGATTATTTGCTTAACGAACAATGATCGGCGTGTTTCCTCGATGAAGTCTTATTGACGAGAGACACGCGCGACTTCACGATTAATTAGAGATTACAATCCGAGGAATCACAGCGAGGTTTCGCATTGAGACGTGTGCGTGACGGGAGATTAGTGTTGCTGAAGATGCAGAATATTTGCTTTCCGTTGCGTGCACGCGCTCAATGAATGAGATTAAACTAGGATCTACTATCTGTCAATGTACTGAAATAAAACACATGTACGTGTGCTATTTCCTCTCGCAATCCATTAAAATCTAAAAAAAAAAAACATAAGTAAATTATATTATTTGAACGCTATTAAAAAAACGCTTGAAACTATTTAAAATATTCTCAAATATGTAGAAAGAACTTAAAAACTGTTTTACCTGAACGAATTCTTTACACAAAGATAATAAAGATATGTACAGAAAAAAATAAAGATAAGAAAAAGATTAAATAATTACATAAAGATATATACAGAACTTTGTGTTGTATATTTTAACTTTAGAACTCGGGAATTGCAATACATCGATGCCGTGAATACTACGACCAGCAAGGAGGGTTGGCTAACTTTAAATGTCAGCGAGGCTCTCGATCATTGGATAAAGTTTCCTGATGAAAATCGAGGACTATATCTCTCCGTGCATCCCGCCGATCGCTTGGGTAAGTTATTTTTAAGATTATAGTTTACTTTCTTTACGTTTTTTTTATTATAGTATTTATAAAACGATTATTATTCGATTATTAAAAATGGAATATGTAAGAATAATATTTCTAAAACAACAATTGTTTCTGCAGATAAGACATTTGTAAGAAAAGCATCGTTTTCACACGCGCTTACGGATGAAATCGCGAGATTATTTTATCAACCACATTTCCGTTCAAACTTCACAGTTTTGATTTCCTGGAAATAACGTACTAAATATAGAACAGCTTCGAGCTTGATATAAATGCGTACGATGTTTATTGAGATTGGTCGAGAGCGCGAAAACGGAGAGAAGTTTTGGTTTTCTCACTTTAGAAATCATAATCGTGTGCGAATAATATGTTTTGTCAGCTATTACACGTCATTCATCGCCGACCAGTTTCTCGTGGTTAACAATCATTCTGTCGGAGCGCGCGCTAGTTGAGGTAATAGCGAAGACGACAAAATTACTTGACACAGAACTTGAATTTGCTCGACACGCGCGATTATGTCTTTCCGTCGGCTTCGAGAATTCTGCCGTGCGCCTGCCCCGCGCATCGGCGCGCATTCCTTAACAGTGCGCAAAGTGCAACTGCAGCGGCAGGTGTCCACTGCAATCACGGCAAATGCGCATTCCTGCCGGTCAATTTACTAGCTTTCTCGGACTCGCGCTCTCGGAGCTCACGCTACACTGACGATGGCGAATATCCGCGAATGCTCGATCATATTTGTATGCGAACGCGTGAGAAACACTATAAGTCCCCTCCGCACATCGATGCACACATTCTCTCATTTCGAAACAAATAAATTTTTTATCGAAAAATTCAATTTTATTTCTCAGCAATTTATTCAAAGATCGCATTAGATATGTAAATAAATTCGTCAAATTTAATATTTTTCTCTTGCTTCCTTAATGAGAAAAGAGATGATTTTTATAGATTAGCGCTGTGTCAAATATGTGATCACTATCACGTGAGAAATTAAAGATGATCTAAAATAATTTCAAAAATCGGCATTTTAATAATATTATTTTCTTGTTTGTTGCAAATACCTTTTCTAATTTCTCCTTCATCGAAACACAATTTTTTGCTGTTTGAAATAAACCCTTGTGTTTGTTACTCTAGAATAGATATATTTTTATATATCTTATCCTATTTTATCTTTATATATATTATCCTAACTGCGTCTCTGCAACAAAAAATGTACGATAACGAATAGGGGCTCATTTTGAAAGATAAAGATCATACGATAGTGAAAAAGAACATGGAAAAAGTATTAATGAAAAAATATTGTCAAAATGACCGGTTTTGAGATTGTTTTATCTTTTTTACATCCCGACGCGTGATTTTGGGAACAAATTTAAAATCCATAAAAATCACTTTTTTTTCACTAAAAGGCAAAATAATGCGTCGCACAGTGTAATCAATCAACATTTGATTGAATACAAATGTTTCACAAAATTTCCAAAAGTTTATGATTTTCTGGAATTTTCCAAAGTATTATAATTAAAAGCGCGGTTGAAAAGCGCGTTGGAAGTGAATGTCTAAGATAAGCCGGCTGACTTTGCGCCGAGATTCTTGATTCTTTAGCGTTCAATATTCATGAAGGCTGACTATTAATAATCTCGTGAGACGTAGGCCATTCTAATAAACACGCAAATATACCCAACACACAAATACATATTACTTACGAAGAAGATTCGTTGTAATTTGTGAAATCTTCTGTGTCTTCACGTCTAACAATATTTTAATAAAACTGTCAACTATAGGTTTTTTTCTTTTTGCTTTATTTTAGAATAAAATTCTTTGCGATATATTATTATATTTATATTTTTTCTTTAATTATATATTTTTTTTCTTGATTACCGGAGCAAAATTAAGCTTTCTCATCTTTTTACACTATCCCAAAAGAGAAAAAATTGCTGATACGTCGTCCACTTACATTTATCCTTCGAATTACTATGCGTAGTGCACGAAATGAGACCAGAAGATGTTGGAATTGTGGGATTTCGAGGTGATCCCGATAAGCAACCTTTCATGGTGAGCTATTTCAAGACCTCGGGCGTAAGGGAGTCCAAAATCCGACAAAAACGCGATGCCAGAAGGAAGAAAAAGAGCGAATCCACCGCAAATTGGGATCACAAGAGTAATCCTTATACCTTACTCGGTAAAAAATCACATATAGATTATTTGTTATAATCTCAATGCAATCAATATTAGCATATCTCACTTAAATTTCATTACACTATCATTATTAAGAGTTAGTGAAATTTGCACAAATAGAACGAATTATTTATATTCTAATAAAAAAAATATAGGAGCAACAAAAGTAGAAAAATAACGAAAAAATATATATTTTTTTACAGAAAATAGTAACGTGCAATATCACTCACGAACTTGCAAGATTCAAACGTTATATGTCAGCTTTCGCGACTTGCAGTGGCAGGTAAGCCAGATTAATTTCATATCACATGCTTTTTTTTTGATACTCTGTAATACAATGTTTTGATTAATATTTATTCCGTAGGACTGGATTATTGCACCGGATGGATACGACGCGTATTACTGCAGCGGAGAGTGTAATTTCCCACTGAACGCTCACATGAACGCAACCAACCATGCGATAGTCCAAACGCTAGTGCACTTAGTAAGTCCGGGTAAAGTGCCCAAGCCTTGCTGTGCTCCCACCAAACTTTCTGCCATTTCCGTGCTGTACTTCCTAGATGAGAGCAACGTTATCCTTAAAAAATACAAAAACATGGTTGTCAAGAGCTGCGGTTGTCATTAAAGTAACTCCGTCAAATAATTAATTAATCCTACTCTTTGGAATAGAAATCTTCTTGAATTTAAATTTGAGAAGAAACCATATAGAAACATATTTTACACACATGACTGTCAAAAAAACTGATAAATGTTACTGAATATTGTACATTGTTTTTGACAAAAGTTTTAAAAAATTTTATTTTCCTACAAATAGTCTAGCTTATTATTGTTTAACCCACAACTACTATTAGATATGTATGTTACAGTAAAAGCATGAAATCAATAATTTTATAGAATAACTAGAGTAAAATTGTGTATGCATTTTACTAATTGATCGTGTTCAGCGGAATTCAGCGTTTTGTGTTTATTGTCTGTGAATGGCCTATTGCTTTAGATATATTGTAAATGTGAAAGTATATGCCAGTAACAAGCAATAATCAAAAAGCGGTTGTCAAGCGTTACGTTCTGCGGCCATTTATATCAATGTGTGTTATTAAAAACAAATTGTTATTAAAAGACAAGAGCACTCGACAGTAGCACTTACTTAATTGTATGCACTATTTTAGTAAAAGTGTACAAAATATTACACTACGTGTATTACTAACGTAATAAAAGATGCAAACCTTTGTATAAAGTTGCGAATGCGTTTATAGGCGGACACGTCTCCGCTTCACAAAAATTTAAATTCAATCATATCAAGTCTAAAAAGCGATTATAAGATAATATATATATATATATACATGTTAAATATTAATATATGTATATTAATATATATATGTATATTGATATATGTATATTAAATATGAACCAAAATTCCGTATTTTAATTAATGTCAAAATTGCATGCAGTTTAATTATAAAAAATTTGTTATGCAACAAATATTAACAATTGCACGCTTTTACTGGGAAAGATTTTAGGATTAAGTCATCTCGTTTTCGTAATTAATCGACTATATTCCGGTTGAATTTGACTGGCAAAATTGATTTAATTCAAGAATCAATATTTTTTCAGTCATATCTATGATTACCAAATAGATTTTTTAATTTATGACAAGTGTGAGCGGAATAACTGTAATTAAGCGTAAATTATTAATAATTAAATTTGTATTATCGCGTATTAGTCACGTAAGAATGTATAAAAGGGAACAATTATTATATAATTTATGATGATTCGCGTACATCAGTTTTGTACTATCATTGTAAATATACTTTTGTATATATGTTTTTCTACTACATATACATCTTATGTGCAAATACAAAAATAAACTAAAACTACTTATTCTCTATCCATCCAAGAATCAGGCCGGAGACACGTGGAAAAACTTAAGCAGTGAGCAAATAAAATAAACAGCAATTTTTGGATAAAATTCGTATATAAAATAATAAAACTTGGAGCGTAATCACGTGCGGACCGAAAAATAAGAAAAGAATTATGACGAGCACCTTTTAAGTAGTAATCAAAATGTCCAATCGTAGTTACTGTCTTTTTATCAAGTAATTATCAGATGTTTTTCAGAATATTTGTGAAATGATCAATTCTATTTGCTTGCTGCTTAAGTTTTTTCGGACGTGTTTTGGTTTTATTTCATTATTTTATGCTTTATTAGTCTTTTTAAATGAAACTTTGTAGACTTGGAAAAAATTACATGTCAAAATAAGAGTAACAAAATTTACTCAATTTATAATACATTTCTAGAAAATATATATAAAAATACTTGAGTACACTACAGATACATAACTATAGGTACGTAACTATATATATATATACATATGTGAAGTTTATCAATAAATTTCTTTAAAGTAAAGATTTGCTTATATATATATATATGTTTTTTAATATATTGATATAAAATCAAACTTTATATCACTATATAAAAGTAAAAAAAAATAAAAATGTTCATTGAGCACATTTTTGTAAAATTTTACTAACAAATGTTTATAAAATCAACAACACATATATATATAAACATAAAAATTCAATTTCACTGTAATAAAACGAGATCTTCATTTTATGTATAAAATATAAAATACACATATTTTATCATATAAAAACTAGAAATTTACTCTTATATAAAAATATATACATATATGAGTAGTCAGAAACAATCATGAAAAGCAAATAAATTGTGACTGTATGTTGTATTCTCATCAGACTCTTGTTATGCATTTGATATTTTTTTTTTGTTCTTTATATATTCGAAAACAACAAACAACTCACGGTAAAATTGTGATAAAATCTGATTTAGTTCTACATAGATCATTTACACGTCATCGCATATACATTTACTTACTTTTCTTCTCTTCTTATGGCTTTCGGAACGCGCTAATAATTTGTTCTAATTATAAGTAAACATTTGTTATAAGAACAACAATATCTATATCTTAAAATTTGTGACATCTAAATTCTTATCACTGTGTAAATTTGAGATTTTTCCTATCAATCATATTAATCACAACCACTGATTTATCTCATCCTTTTTTACATATATGTATATTATATAAACCTTACTATTATTATCACATACTGTACTTTTTGTTGGCTCGGTTATTTATGACTTATCAGAGAAAAAACAAATATTGTTTAAAGCACAGGTTTTTGGATGAAACATTTTGGTTAGACCTCTGGGGTCCAACTAGAAAGGTAAAGTTGTGCTCAAAGAAATGACACTCAAGTGTGATTAAAGTAATGTAAAGCTTAAAGATGATGTTACAGTACTTATGATGGATTCTAAAGAAGATGTGCCTTATTGAACCTATAGCAAAGCTATTATTTATGAAAGAACATGAAGCAGAATTGACGACTCTAGATCTTTCAGGATTACATAATCTTGGCAATATATGCTATTTAAATGCAAACAGTACAATGTCTAAAAACTGTGCCAGAGTTACAAGAAACTTTGAAAGCTTTTTCAAAGTGATTGGTTGGAATCTACATCTCCTGATCATTTATTTATATTTGCGTCAACAGCGGCATTAAGAGATTTGTATAATAATAAGAACAAGAACAATCAAAGACGCTACTTGTACAAATGTTACATCTTGCATTCTCTAGATTTGCTGAAAAGACTGAACAGAGTGTTTTCCAACAACAAAATGCGAATAAATGTTTGACGGAGTTGATCAGAATGCTGCAACAAAAATTTATCTCCGAGGAACAAACTTCTACGTATTAGAAAATGACAGTTTTAGCTTACGAGATATCAAACAGTTGTTCCTCTTGTCAATCAAATCGAACTGTCATTCCTTGCTACTCAATATCACACACAAAATGCATTCCGCAACTACTTGTATACACACACAAGAATCGTACACAATGTAATAATAATAGTAACATTACGTCATTTCACTAAATATAGCTGCAACAAAGTAGTCGAATTTATCTTTTAAACTTCTTAAGTTCAACTTTCCATTTTCGTCACACCGTTATACTTTAGAATTCTTTTTTTGACTATCCATAAAATATTATATCTACAAAGCTGAATCCAGGTCGCAAATTAATGAATCTAAAAGTAGAAAATCTTACTTAAACTTTCTTTTATCGAAGAATTGAATTTAAATTATAATGTATGTTTATTTATACGTAAATAAAAATATTTCGCATATATATCCAACGTTTGGTTCTTACTGGCCGTATTATTTTTCTTAAACAGTTATATATCTAAATAATTTTGTATGATCTTTAATTTATATATTTAAAAAGAACAGTTCACCTATTTTTTTCTTGTTGCTGTATGCGTATTCTATCCTGTTTTTTTATATACTTGGTTGTACTAGTAAGACATGTACTGTCCGTACTATTGGTACTGCACATAGCAATCTTTGTTACAACAGAACCATTCTCAGAACTTAACATTAGCTTATAAGAATTAGGAGCCGAATTACCTGTGTAACCAATCTGTAACAGACACTTTTGATTTTATTAATATTGAAGTATGTAATGTTGTGCATAGAGATTGAATAGTTTTACTTGTACTGAAATCGTATATAATCCGCTCTTGTTTATTTCAATTGTCTTTTGTTCCTCAACTAAATGAAAGTTCGTAAACTCAAATGGATTGTTTACTTCGTAGACGCTCTTCATCCATGGCCCAATCAAACCTAAAACATATAAAAGAGAGAAAAATATTCTATTTACTTAAGTAATTTAGCTTATTAGATACGTATTTAATTTGCAATGTCTTAATACAATTTTGATTAATTATATTGTTCTTACCGTCATCTTTGATATGCATTTCTGGTATTGCACCATTAAATTTAGCTACCATTACACCTGTAACACAGAAACTAAACTTAGTTTCTGATTTTTTTTTTTAACGTAAAAATACATTAAACTGTGAACTTCAATTGACTAACGCGCACAGTTTAATTTACTTCTAAAACATAAACAAGTAATTTAGAAAACATCAAAATTTATAATGACAAAAAGACGACCATTGGTTCTCCAACGCTTGTTTCTCCTGTGTTTTTTCTGATTTTTGGTGCCTTTATGTGATCTTTTATTTTTTCTATTCTTCCTTCGTATTCTTACTCGCTCGTCTTCCAAATAAAATGTTTCATCATTCCTTTTTTCATATTCTAAATACAATGATAACGTAATATTGTTGAAATTGCGATCAGAGGGAATTGAAGAGCTTTACATAGAATGAATAATGTAGAAATAAGAAGTTGAAAATTTAAAAATAGAAATAGAAACTCACCAGAGTTATTAGTGTTTTTCTTTTGATAAATCTGGACGGTTTTATTATCATTCTTAGACTCCAATAATTTTGTGTTTATCTAAAAATATAAAAAAAACTATAAGTATTACATTCAACACCGCATTTGCGCACTTTTCAAAAAATACATATGTATGTATATAATTTATGGATTACATATATGAATATAATTATGATTTTCTAAACACAACAATATTACATATAAAATGTTTCTCTCATGTGTTAGATCGCATGTGCAAACAGCGCGACAATTTGGTTTTTTGATTTTCAAATCGCGCAATTAGCCAAGAATTTTTTTTGCTCACGTGCAATCTAACACACGAAAAGAGCATCATAAGCAACACATTATCTGCACTACAGTTATTTTATTAATTTTTTTACCTGAACATCAACGGCTTCTCTTTTCTCTCTTCCCACTTCCAAGTTTATGTTTTTTTCAACTTGTTGTGAAGCTACTATTTGGAATAGTACGCAAAGTATAAAACTTGTAACGAAAAACTTAACCGTCAGAGCTTTCAGTAATAGAGAACTATTCATTCGTACAAAATTGATTCTTTGAACAGTAGGGTTCAATTTGTATAATTTGATGCGCATATAGGATGAACGCATCTTACAATTACAGTTATCCTTTGTAAATATTTATAATTTCTCCCAATGTATTAAAATAATTTTAATTGTCTTAAATAGAAAAATCTCGTTGATTCAGAAGTTGTTGTCAAGGCTGTTATCTGAAATATATTTGCAGTATGTAATAATGCGCGATTTTTGGGCTTGTATGCATGTGTGTGTGTAATAACAACGTGCGTACGTGCGTGTACATGAATAATATACTTTAAGTAAATTATCTAAAACGCAGGTTTATTAAAAAAAAAAAAAACATTTTTAAGATGAGATTACTTTCGACTCGAGATTTCTGTTAAAACATGTTTTCATCTATTCATATTTAAACTGAAAATTCTCACAACACGAAATGTACATTTGCGTGATCGTCCTAACAAATATTATATGACAAATATTTTCTTTTTCTCCTATTCAATTTATTGATTGTCTGTTGACGAGTCGAATTCAAACGAGTCATTTCAAACAGTCGGAAAACAACAATCGACGATTAAACATGTAATGCTGAGAGAAATCGGAAGGTTCTCGCATCGTTGAGAGACAAGACGCGCGAAAGATTTTACGCGCTCCGAAACAGATTAAATATTGTTAACAATTGTTAAATGTATAAATTTTAATTAAACTAAGAATCTTTTAAGTGTAATAATTCGATTTATTTAAATAAATAATTCTGAGATCCTACAAGAAAATCCTACCTATGTTTATTTCATAAGCGTGTATATTCAACCGGTGTGTATTCAAGAGGAAAACTCTGAGATATATTTGTATACGCTAAGAATCTTCAAAAGTAAAACTCTCAAATGTATTTGTATATATCCTAAGAATCTTCAAAAAGTTGTCAAAGAAAATGTAAGATATATAGCACAGGTGCAAGAAAACCAGTTTCTTTGAAAGAAACCATTTTAATATTCAAATCTTCTGACCTGAACGGTACTCTGTGTACGTGTGCTTAGTCGTCATTTTTTTAGAAAGAAATGGACTTGGCAGATAATATTTGAGTGCACTTTACAAAACCATTAAGATAATAATTTTTTTCTAAAATTATCTTACTTCTCTGTATTTGTACATAGTTTTGTGTGTACGTGTTATGTTATAGCAGTCTCTCACTCAACAAAATAATTGAATAAATACGCGATTAGAATTATATATATACGGTTGTTATGATTTCTATGTTTACTCAACATTTAATTGAAACACATAAACAGATAAGGACAGAGAGAGAGAGAGATAAAAAACGAAAGAATTTTATTTAAAAATTCTTTCAATAAATTTATAGTGTTATTTTAGAATTACAACACTACACACACACACATGCCCCCCCCCCCCCGTCTTCATATCTTTTCTCTATTGTACAAATATATGCTTCTTTTACACCAATCGAGATAAGAAAATATATAATAACAAACTGTCTTCAACAATAAATAAAATAACTTATCATTCATTGTGTCATACAAGTTATACATTTTTCTTATGAAAGCGAGTCTTTGAAATTTTGTTGGATCCGTTACTTTGAATAGAAATATTGTCCATTTCGAAAGTGAAAAATGTGTGTGATGAGTTTGCAGGTGCATTGAGCATCTGACAGAAGTTTCATAATTAAAACAAATGAAAAAGTGCGCTTACCCAAATGATCTTCCCGTTAATTTTCTTTATATAGATAAAAAGCCAGAGACGACACGCGTCACATAGATCATCGACCGCAATTATTCACTTGATTCTCGTTTACTTCATTTTCCACACACCACTTGCTCCGTGAGACCCGCCCGAATAGAATGCGCGGCAGAAATCTTTTGTTTACTTACGAGTCCCTCCGACACAGAGTAGTCTTGCGATTGCAACGCCACGTTGTGGTCAGCGCAAATGCTGCTGTTAAATCATTAGCAAGATATTTGCAATGCGATGTATATACGCTGCTGAATGTCACCACCGTGACGTCAACAAACGGAAACGAAAGTAAAAACCATTGTTGCAGCTGTCGTATGAAAAAGATCGCGACTTCTTTTTTTCAATGAGGATGTTTTTGCAAAGCACAAGCATACCACGTGCGTGCGCGCGCAGATTTACACGATACTCATCTAGGCACAAAAATCTACTCTGTCATCTCTTCTTGTTTCCGTTCTTTTTTTTTTTTTTTTCTTAATACATACATCTGTTTTAATATCTCTTCAACAATTGCACAAAGCTCTTTCATCATCTTTAAAATCGACGAAATACTGAAAGTATTCAGTATACAAAAAAACACTTTTGTAACCGTACGTCGTGACTTGAGATAATTGAAGAATATTGACGTTATCGACTGTTTCCGTTCTATGTATCACAGATTCGATTTGTACCACAGCTGAAGTCGATTTGTAGTCTAATATTATATTTAAAATTGTGTTTTTAAGTTTATCTCTTCATATGCTCTTCATATGCTCCGCAGCTAATTAGATAACTAATGCAGTATCTTGAGATAAACTTTGGACAATTTTAAATATAAAAACGGACTATGTATGAATACTGATATAAATTTGCAGAGATAAATTACAATAAGATATTCTCATTACACTTCTGTACGTACACGCTGGCGTGCGTAATATATAATAATGTTAAATGCTAAAAAATGTAAATGTAAATGTACAAATAAATATATCAAATAGATATATATAGATAAGTAAATAAAAACTACATTTAACAATAACAAATATAAACGCAACGTCATCAATACTTACATATAAAAATTTCATTGTTTCAGCAAAGTGATATTCTATCCAGCTTTTACGTAAGTCCTGTTATTAACATCGCGTCAAGAAAGTTCTGCAGTCGTGATACTAATTAGTCATCATACTCTCACGTTTGCTCTCACATATTAAACTGCTGTAATTAAATATGTCACGCATCAGTCATCGAGTTCGTGAATTAAAGAACAGATAGAAATACGAAGAAAGTTATTTTATTAATTTATAGTTATTGTCATTTTGTATCTGTATCTTATGTTCATCACATCTGTATCTATTGTTCAACATCTGTATCTATTGTCCATCAAAAAATAGCACGAATATGTGATTAGGTGTAATTTCCTTCTTTACAATTGCAGCACGTTTATTAGATGACTACCTGAGGTAGTCATGGGATTTCCAATTCGTTGTTTTGTACATGTCATGATATTACACTAGATTTACCATTTTAAATAATTTATATTCAAAAAAAACACTGTTTACCAAAATATTCAATCACTCAAACATTATTTTTACTCCACTGATTGTTCGCAAATGTTATTATCGTTATTCGCTAAATAATAGTCTGGTAAACAACATAGATTCAAGAAATGTATAGCAATATTATCAACACCACGCATTTGCAAACTTGAAAATTAGCATTAATTCTAAGAAGCTTTTATATAATCGTCTCAATTTATCTCGATGTAAAAAAAATTAAGTTTGTAAGCACGGACTGTGTGATATCATGTTGGAATTATTTAATTTCTCAACAGTGTATGCCACAATTTGTGAGACAATAGAACTCATATTCCAAGAAATGATCCTTCATCGTGGAATTTTATCACCATTACTATAATGACATCATACACCGAGAGAGATAGAAATAGAAAACAACAAAGAATTACTGTAACACGTTTGAATGAATGAACAAGTATAATCATGTGTGAAAACGAGATAATTTCATTGGAGACAAAAAATTGAGAAGCAGAGTAAACGAAATTAGATATCTGCAGAATCATCGATTTTATTATCAAGTTCTGAGTCGTGGTTGTTAATCCAGGCCATCATATCGTCAGAGCTGGATCATCTTACAGTTATTTATGTTTCACCGTATTAGTGACGTTATCTCTATTTTTCTTCAATCTTTTTAAATTCCATTTTCTATTAATACATTTGTAACGCATTCGATATTATTCATCGATATGTCAGTTGAATAATATATTTTAATCAGTATTTCTAGACTTAATAAAACTGTATAACAAACGTTTTCTCTTCACTGATTATAATTAATATTACCGCAAATATCGTGCGTGTATCCAAAATGAAACGAAATTTATTCACAAATCTCTAACACATGCGTGCACGTATTGTAATAAAAGTAAACCATAATAGTGTGTGTACCATCTGTCAAAAGGTGAAGGCGCTGCGATGATAAACGCGGACGTGGTTCATCCTGTTCTTCAGTACGCTTGTGTCGATCGTAGGCGACGGATGTGTGTAGTTAGTTGTACGCATCTTTGAGCTCTGTGAGTGCTCTGGAAATATTAATAACAAGTGAGGCAAAAATCGAAATGCATATTGACGAGAGATAAAATTGTTTCTAGTGTCATATTAATATAATGAATATAATAACGCAATGTCGTAACAGAGATAGATGTATAATTCACAATCGAAATTTACTTGTAAACAGAGAAAGTTCACAGAATTGTGAGATGAAATGTGTGTTGAATCGTTAATAGCAAATGTATGAATCAAATTATACCTCAAGTTGATTAATTAGAACATATATATAAAGTACATCATACATATAACAATATAGATTACAAAACTATGTAAATTCTAAGAGTTATACTCAAAAGTTTACACAGCAAACCGCAAAGAACAGAAACAGATCTTATTAATTAAGTTTTTTCTTTTTCGTTAAATAATCCAAGTTTTGTGTTAAAAAACCTATATATCTTAATTTTGTTCAGCAAATATATGATTGATTTTTTACGGCGCCAATAATATTAATAAGATGTTATTTTGCGTATGTTATTTTATTCTATATATTTATAATATTAAAGTAAAATTTATTGTAATTCTCTTCTACTTATAGAGCAGATTAATCGATTGCGGAACGTTTCGATCATTACTCATCTTCAGTAAAGATTCAAAACAGAGTTGATAGAAAAAAAGATTACAAGAGAAATTTATACATTCATTGTTACGTAAATTATTTCAAATGTCAAACAGATTATATAACAGACATAACTTAAGAAATCAAAACAGTGCGGTAATCGAGTATAAAAACATTTTTTTCTGTACGCGATCCACTTATAGCTTATGTATATCTTTGATCAGGTAAAGGTTTATACTTCTTCCCTGTTCTCTGATTACAATTTTTTTCTAAATAAATATATAGAATAAATTATTTAACTCAACATCTTATATTAATATTGCTCTTGTCAACGTTGAAAACCTAATTGTATATATATATATATAAATTAATTATATATATATATCTATATATATGTATTATTTATATATATAATTACGCGTATATTTTATTACATATATATATATATATATATATATATATATATATATGTATATATGTATATATATTTGCTGTGCTAAAATTTGTGTTTTAGATTTCTATCTTTTTTGCGCGCGTTGACCGATACTATCTTTTGTATTTTTATTTGAAAATAAACGTAGTTCTATGAATCGACTCTTCTCGCAGAATAAGAGTGCGGAAAAATGACGGAGCAGGAGACAAAAGAGAGGGAGGATAGAAGAGTAGTTCTCTACCTTTGGGGGGGAAAAAACTTACCGGACAGGTTTTAAAGCGGGACAGGACCGGTGTAGGATATTTAACGTTTCCACACATGCACACATACGTACACACACATATATACATACACACACACCCATTATAAATCTTCAAAAATGTAGAATTAGACGGATCGCATCTGTTATGCCAATGTCAAAAATTTTTCAATCACATTTCTTTCAAGACCTTGTCATTGTCAGTGTGTATTTTTCATGGATATTTTAATTGTTTCAACAGAACATATTCGACAGAATCGACCGTTTTGACAAGATCATCGACATCGCAGCAACACGTACTTTTTATGTGAAAATGATTTGACGTGAAAAAAGTGTTTCTCTGACATATCGTGAAAACGATGCGGAATAACTTTTTCTAAACGTTACTCGTACAGAATCAAAAATGAATACAAATATATAAATCCTCGCGTCATTTCTGTGGAAAAAAAAAAAAAAACAATAATACATTGAAAGAGAGAATATCGTTCTGGTTTTGCGATGACATCGTCAGAGGAAAAGATCAACGTAGCAAGCATGAAACAGAAATTGATAAACCACATGTCGCCTGTGAAAGAAGAGACAAGGTCCTTCTTGAATTTCTCGCGAGAAAATCTGAGCATCTCGCATTCTGATTTAGAGGAAGGATTTAACAGATCGCGACTAAAACCAAGCAAGAACACGATTTTGAGCATAGTCGCACTTATCATCGCTGTTCTTTGTCTTGGTCTTGAAAGCTGGGAGTTACATTGTTCATTGTCGAAATTGCATGACATCGATCAGCTGAAGAGAGACGTTGAGAGCTTGAAGCATCGGCTTTTGGAGCAAGATCTACTGGACGAATTAAAAGCCTTCGAACAGGTAAGCAACGTGTCAGGTGTTGCTATTTTTTTTATTCATCTGGAAAAAGAAACCGCGTATTGTACGCTCTTATATATCTCACCCATTAGTTCACAAGTTTTGTTAATACAAATAATATCACTTCATTAATAATTAACACGCACGTCATACGCACACACTCGGTCACGTTCTGCCACGAGGAAATTCAAGTTGTACAAGCAGGTTATTGAACTCTCCGTGTAGATTCTCATACATATGCGGTAATATAACGCACACGAGACTTATCTCCGACCTTTGGTTTGATTCGTATTTCTGTCATGGCAACCTTGGTTTTTAGCTGAGCAATTAGATAAAATTTCAAACCGTGTGTTAAATTTGCAACTCTCTCTTTCCCGTATGAATCCTCTGTTCAAAAAATATACTTTAAATTTATACGCGTAAGAAAAAAATTTAATGAATTTGTATCGATCTTGATCTTTTGATTGACATCTTCCGACGACAGAATTTCTCATCTAACGGACTTCCCCGTTACTCAGCTAATAATTTAATTGTTTGTGCTGCTTTTCGACGTAGCGATTATGAATAACGAATCGCGTCGCTCGCGAAAGAGGAAATCGCAATACATACATGCTTATTACACCCACACACGGAACAAAACTTTCATTAGACATTTATTATCACGGAGTTGACGTCTAATGGACATCCAATAGAGTTTTTTTGGTCTTTTGTGGACAAATGCATCATTTTTCTCATATCGACCATTTGCTATACTAATGAATAATTCCAATTTATATAAACTTCGCGATATATTGTCACGTATAATTACGTAGTTTTGTTACTTCGCACAGAGACAAATCCGCGTAATTTCACACATACGGGAAGCGTATATTTTATTCGCAAATATTGCAGTTGTACACCGAAGAGTCCACGGAAGACAATGATCCTGGCGAGGCAGACATTGACAACGCCGATTACGATTCTAATTACAATGATGACGATTCTACGTCGCGCGATTATACCGACGACCGCACGTCTTTGTCGTACGATTCCAAGTTGGATTTATCCGAAATTACGTCGACGTCGGTACCTGCGTTGTATCCGGAATCCGAGTCGAACAGAGCTATGGAAATACTGACTGCCTTCCGTAAAGCTGAGACGAAACGCGGAGAGAAGTTTGTGAAGAACGTGCGAGAAAGTCACAAGTGAGGCGTTAACGATGTTTTCTATAAACAAAACACGTTAGACAGTAAAGAGAAAAAATCATAAACAAATTTGTATAGTTTCTCAATCTTTACACGCACATTTTTGATAGGACAACGTATCGGAAAAAAATAAATTTCTGTATTAAATTTATATTTATTACATATATAGAAATATTGACCGGCGAGAACGTCTCAAGGAGGAACACAATGCGCGATTAAGTCACGAGAAGAACGTCAGTGCAAACGTCACAACCGAGCACAAACGTGATAACGACGCAAGAGATATTGCAAACACAGGGGATGTCAAAGAAGGTGTCAAATCGAAGCGATCTGTAAGTGATCACACGATAGCTGACGATCCTTCGGCAGATGAATCGAACTATCAGCACGAGCATCACGTGAGGACTGTTGGGTCCGGATCACGTCTTTACGCAAATGGCAACAGAAACGCTAATAACAATTCCGAAAAAAATCCAGCATCGTAAGCATATTCGCATTTCCAATTCTTAGAAAATTCTTTGATAAACTTTTTCTATGCTTTTTGTACAGATATGTTTGTTTTCTGAAATGAGCGTTAAATTTACATAAAAGAGTCAATTTTATTCAGTGTGTAAAAACTTATATTGACCGCGTTAACAACAAACTTATATTTTTTCTTTTCCGGACAAGACACTCTTCGAAGAAGTATCATTCTCGTGCGCGTCCAAAAGCATTCTCTTTAGCGCACAATGACCAATTAAGCCAAGAATTTGTTCAGCACACGAACTTAAGCACGGAGACCGCGGTCGGCGAAAGAGTTAATTGGCGAAATACGCTTCACAACGACACGGCAAACGGAACCGAAATTCGTAGATCCAAATTCCCTCAGGTGAGTCATATCGCGCGGTTGAAAAAAAAAAAAAATCCGAGTCTCGAGAATTCAGTATAGGATTCAAATAACGCAAAGCGTTGCGTGATCGAATTAGAATTTCGAAATATCGGCGAGGAATATTCGACGAAAACGAAGACTGACTCGGAGACACTTACATGCGCCACGGCAGATTTACGCAATTCACTTCGGGGCGGACACCACCCTCTTCTCGTCGGGAGACGAGCACGTTGGCAACGGGAAGGCGCGACATAACAACGGCATTTTTAAGGCATGGCAGCCGAGCGACTGGGTCGCCGATCTCGGTATGAATAGACATTTTACACTCGCCACCGACGGCAAACTTACTGTGCACGAGCCGGGATTGTATCTGGTCTACGCGCAGATTCACTACCTGGACGATCACGATGAGAACGGTTTTCGCCTGTTGGTAAACGGCAGATCGATCATGCAATGCATGGCAAGTATATTATGTAAAAAGGAATTTATGTGTATATGTGCGGTAAATATACAATTAAAACTATTTTTTTTAGGTGTACAGTCCAGGTACAGGACACAAGAGTCGCTCGTGTTTTTCAGCCCAAGTGACTGTCCTTCAGACGGGTGATCATCTAATCCTGAAAGATATCGGAACAGCGAGATACACTCTGTTTCAACATGACAAAAGTTTCTTCGGCTTGACGAAGCTCGGTGAACTGGGACAGCATAGACAACAACCAACACCGTCAACACCGAGACATCAACCGCAACAAACAACATATTAAACGTGTATAATTTTCTTAATTGCTCTGTAATTAGTAGTAGCGCTAAAATCAATTGATAAATGACCTATTGTAGTTATCAATTATTAATAGCAAAATTAAAACAGACACACTTGTCGTCAAATAGGCAGCAACTTGCTGCTGCCTATTGTTACAATCTGACATAACGTGTTTGGTTTTTAGAAATATAACAATTGTATACGTAATATATTTTTACCTCGTAAGTGGTATTATTTCTTATTGTTTCTATTCCCTATGTCTCATCCGAGTGAGTTATTCCATGTTGTGTTTATAAATTCCTTTCCCTTCTTACATCTTTATAATATAGTATCTTGCTACGTGTGTCCACAGTAACACCGTATATGTTTAAAAAATTAAGATTGTATATAACGTAGTAACGAGTGCAAATAAGAGACTTGAAAATTTGAAAAGATTGTAAGCGCGCTCGATCACGAACAATAGAGAATCGACTGACAGCGGAAAATATGTCACGCTCTTTTCTTCGCTCCGTTTACCCGTTACATTCGATATCCAATAGAAAACCTCGGTTTCTCGAAACCCAAGTGTTGCTGCTAAAATCCCCAGCAAGCACACGTCACTATTGGTTATCGCAATAATCCTCTATAAAATCTAAGGGTTTGTATCCGCCAATCGCAGCCTGACTAACGTAAACCAGACGTATGAGCGTACAGCAAAAAATGACTTTTGTAAAGTTGGCATCAGGCGTACAGTCTGACGTGAATTGCTACAGTCACAATGACGCCTCCTTCCGCCGGCGACACGAGGCGTCGGCAGTGACCGGCTGGTGTCCGTAACCGGGCCGAAGCAGAGTCGGGAACGCGACAGGCATACGGGAAACAAGGGTTGCTTTGGAAGCAAGAGGTGTAGTGTGTCGCCCTACGTGTTGATGGTCGCGCCGCATCGCGTCACACCAAGATCCCCCATCCAATCCTAAATCTCTTCGCCATTGCTCGCTGTGTTTCTCTCTCGTTCCGTCTGTCTTTTTCTTTTTGTGTCTCTGTCTTTCTCTTTCTTTCGCTCTCCCTTCTCCCTCTTCCTTTCGCCGCGATTGACAGCGGTTCAACCGATTGACCGATCACGTTTTCACACGCTACCGGAAGAAGGAAGTTCACCTTGCTTGCGCTCTTTTATTTCTCAAGGCCCACTCTCTTTCCATGTCAACGACACGCACGCTCCTGCCAAGGCCAGCAGCGAGCTACGCCCCCCACGTCGTTGCCGTCGTCGCTGTCAAAAGATTGTTGTTGTGCACGTCGCATCCGCGCCACTGGGAGGTACCGACGAAATCCACCGACGGCATCGAACGTCAAGAATCAAGAAGGAGAAGGAGGAGGAGGAGGAGGAGGAGGACGTGGACGTGCGGTCGCATTGGCGTCGCTCCTGCCAGCCTGAGATGAGCGACCATGGCTGCATACATTTGAATAATTTCAAAGTAGCTAAGGGTATCCAGCCGTACAAAGTGATACATTCGTATTTCGTGACCAGTACATCGACTGAGGCACGCGTCAGGAAGGTACATCTGTTCTTTTACCTTTTTTTTCATGTATGATTCGTGATCAAGATTCTTTGTCACACAATTTTTTTCGGACCTTTCGTCTTGCTCCACCTTGCCTGCTTCGGTTAAGTCTCTCCTGTTTTGTCTCTTGAATTTCTCTGGCCTCTTTCTATTGGTCTATTTAACTCACCCCCTTGTTCATTCCCCTTCCATTTAAACATACAAGATCTTAAATGTTCATGATAGTGTGAGTGTTTTTTTTTATTGGATCTCTGCTGGCGGGACATTCAAAAATGTCTATTGTTATATTTTACACATTGTAGTTATCTATTTATTGTGTTGATTGTTATAATACCTGATTTTATTTTTTATACTTTTTATACATATATTTTGCATATTTATTGTAGATTTAAGTAGAGATGAAAATTTATTAAAATGATGTAAATTTATTAAAATAATCAAATAAGTGTATGTATGTTGATATAAAAATATATGATGTATATTGTATAAAATAGGTTTAAACTCTCTTTCTCTGCACTGAGGCTGCACTGAGCTGCACTAGAACTGTAATTGAACAGATGAGAGTAAGCCTTGCTCTCAAGAGCCAATCATGGTTCTAATGGAGTTTAGTGTTACTCCAATAGAAAAAATCAAATCTAATGCGTTAAAATTAGCTTATTAAGTTTAAAATTTATATTTATTTTTCAATTTTTACATATGTGACTTATTATCTTGTGTAACAAACAAGACAAAGCAAAATTAACACTGAGTTTGTATTACAGGCTGTGAGCTGTTTATGTCATACATGTAAAACTTACAAGGATCGTCTACATTCTTGTCTTCATTGTATATTTTTTGGCTGCTATGTAAGGGGTCATATACAAGAACATGCGAGAACAAAGAAACATTTTCTAGGTAATAAAAACTTGTTTTGTATGTACCAATTGTATCAATATAAATTTTAATATTTAACTCCAAACTCTCTTAACACACTTGATTTTTTGTTTATGCATTAATTTAGTTTTGCGCTATTTTAGCCGTTGATCTGTGTTATGGAAATATTTTGTGCTTCCAATGCGGCGATTATGTATACGATAGAGAATTATTAGCGGTGGCTAAGACGCAATGGAGCGAGTCGGCAAAATCCCTGAGTTTTGGAGAATTTTACCGAGCATGGGAACCGACACAAATAGAAGCGGAGTTGCTGAGAAAGCATCCGCGTCGAAGACGTGTTGTAGAAAATTCCACTATAGGTAACAAAAAAAAACTTTAATTTATACGATGCGATTATTATTTTTTATACAATGATATAATAACTTTTGTTGTACTTTGGCTTCCAGGTTTAAGAGGATTGATCAATCTTGGAAAAACCTGCTTCATGAATTGCATTGTACAGGCATTAATTCACACACCACTGCTGCGAGATTATTTTCTTGCTGACCGTCATCACTGCCCGCAACCAAATCGCTGTCTGGTCTGCGAGGTATCTCATCTGTTCCAAGAATTTTATTCTGGCAACAAAGCCCCGCTGACTCTTCACAAACTCCTTCATCTGATTTGGACGCACGTCAGACATCTGGCGGGCTATGAGCAGCAAGACGCCCACGAATTCTTCATTGCTACACTGGATGTCCTTCATAGACACTGCGAAGCTGCTCCAATATTAGTCAAGGACAATCCCCATCATTGTAACTGTATTATCGATCAGATATTTACCGGGGGCCTTCAGAGTGATGTTGTTTGTCAGGCTTGCAAGTACGTAATTACTTTGTAAAATTATATCTCAAAGAATTTTACGTTTGTCTGATAATTTTGCATACTAATATTCTATTATTTTCTAGACTTTTTTAGTCGAGTCACACAAGTTTTTTCTTATATCAGACGTAATATGCTTATTGAAGCAGAATAGAGCAATTACTTAATTTAGATGTTTTGTTTTAGTGGAGTGTCTACCACAATAGATCCATTTTGGGACATATCTTTGGATCTAGGTCCGGCGGCTGGTGCATCTGGTTCTGATTCGTCCGGGCCTCCCACTTCCTTACTGGACTGTCTGGAGAGATTTACTAGAGCTGAATATTTGGGTTCCACTGCAAAGATCAAATGCAGTAATTGCCAAACTTACCAGGAGAGTACGAAGCAGCTAACGATGAAGCAACTGCCGATCGTGGCGAGTTTTCACTTGAAGCGTTTCGAGCACTCTAGCATCCAAGATAAGATCTCCAAGAAGAAGATCTCTACATTTATTTCGTTCCCGGAACAACTGGACATGACGCCATTTATGTCGCATAAGCGTAATGGCAACAACAATAGCGCCATGATGGATAGTTTATCAAAAAACGGAGAAGAGATGACCTTCAGTGACAATAGGTAGCGACATTTCATAAAATGATTTACGATTTTTCTCTATTTTTGATTTTGTTACGGATGATCAAATATGGTATATTGTATCTTTTAAAGAAATTTAATCTTATCGCTACCGACTAGGTATTCTTTGTTTGCCGTGATAAATCACGAGGGATCATTAGAGACTGGACATTATACTGCTTTTATCAGACAACAAAGAGATCAATGGTTCAAATGCGATGACCATTTGATTACGCGAGCTAGACTGAAAGACGTCTTGACTAGCGAAGGGTAAGTATAGAATAAGTGATTGTAAGTAATTAAAACTGAGAATGATTTGTTTCCAATTTAAATGTTTGTTTTTCATTGGATATTTAGAAAAGACAAAAGGGAATTATAGAAAAGACAAATTTTTAATAACTAAGTGGAGTATTTTGCTTTTCAGATATCTTCTGTTTTATCACAAGCAGATTTTGGAGTACGGTCGGAATAATAAAGTGTGAAAAAAAAGAAGAAAGAAAACGAAGAGGAAAAGTAAATCATGTAATTAATTTATTTAACAAAGAATTAAAAAAAAAAAATCGCTGGGGAGAGCTAGACGTCGATGACGTTTTACGTTTGTCGGAAATAAATTAATTGTCACCCTCGCTTTTTGGTTTCCGCCGGCGCCTTTTGTGTTCGATGGGGCGTGCTGACTGACTGCCCGATCGACATTTGTGTGTTGAGTGTAACGTAAGCATAGGTGTTAAGATTAGCTCAATTTTTTTAAATCGACCGATCGCAATTTTTGTATATCGCTGACTGTTATACTCCTGTCCTGCCACTTGTATTCATGACTCACCAGGGATGAGCCCTTGTATGTGTCTTTCTTTTTAGTTTCTGCACCTGCCAGCAGAGAATGTCAATTTCGACGTCTGAAAAGATTTCAGTATGTTCGTATTATTATTGAAATGCCACATATTCATAAATAACCTAATATACTTTTTCATAATTTATGTAATTTAAGCTGATTTCATAATTATTGATATAGTAACAAGTAATCGAATAAAATATCATGTATAATATGACGGATTCTTTGTTAAAAAGTAGAGGCGATTTTTGAAGTATTTTTTAATAAAAGAAAAACTTACATATACAATACAGAGAATTTGGGTTTGATATATATTGTTTATTTATACTTTTCACTACAATAGTGTTTATTAACATTTATATACATGTATATGTATAGAGAGAAGTATAAATATATACAAAGTGATATGTGTGGATGTAGCTCTGATTTTTTCCAAAAAAAAAAATAGCAGATTAAAACGTCTAGTAAGAGCTTGGACACAGGGTCTTAGTGTGTGATTATTTTATTAGAAGTATGATAAGAGTATTTAACTCCTCTTTTTTGTTTCTAGATGTGTCTTCTCGAATTGTTGTCGTGATAAATTGAGTATTAAAGTGAACGACGCGCGGCTTATCATTTTTTCTCACAAATATTTTTATCTGTCTAACCTCTCGATTTTTTTAATTTGCGTTCGCTGGCAAGTTGAAAAGTTGCTTAAAAGTTTTTAAGTGGCAGATGGAAAAATTTGATAAGAAAAAATGAATTCAGGTTTATACTTATTTTGATATTTTACTTTGTAAGTTACCGTGGCGACAGTGTGACAAGAAGACGCCCCGACCAAACCAAGTTAAATATTTTTACTTATTACTTATACATATATGTGTTAACAAATAAAACGTTTTTTGTAGTTACAAGTATAAAAAGCAGTATATATATGTATATATAATAAACCTCATTTTTTATTTAGGACAATTCTTAAGAATCGCCTTTATTTTACGCTAACTTACAAAAGAAGACGCCCTTGATATTAATTTTTGTGTATTTATGAATTTGATATAATCTTGATACGAGCAACACTGTTTTTTCTCTTATGTATAAAAATGTTTTCCAATATATTTTCTTGTATTTATAACGGCCGTCCCTGGAAAACTCAATTTTGTACAGAGAAAATAACATAAGCAACAGCGGGTATAAAGACATTGACTTGAGGCGAATTCTTCGCTGAACTTTGTATAATAAAAATCGCTGTTCGACAAACTGTCATTCTGGTTGACCTTTGTCTTAATTTTTGTTTTCTATTTTTTTTAAATGACATTTGTAAGTTATTATCACACGTAATCAAAGTACCAAATACTCAGAAATGCGACGCCTATTTTGAATACGAGCCGATCATTTTCATCAATATTGATTTTATTCTTTTTTTGCTAAACTGCTGGTTATACCAGTTTAGATCTAATCTTTTTCCTTCCATTTAGAGTGAAAAAGATGAACTCTGAACCGATGTAACTAGTTTAATAAAAACGAACAAATCCAATCTCGCACATACCAGTCAGGCTACGGCTAAATGCGTGTTGAGTAACGCTGAGAGAAACATATTTTATCTTTAACAATGTTTTTAAATTTTATGTGCTTGTGTACTGAATTATGTAAAAGATCCGATAAATATTATACACAAAAAATTTCTTTTTATATTCTAAATTAATGTTTTTTTAAATTGACTCGGAAATATAAAAAATTCTCTGCGAAAAAATCATAACGAGCAAATATAAAACTCATATATAAAATTTCTTTTTACATCTAAATTAATATTTTTTTAATTGACTAAGAAATAAGAAATTCGTATGCATGAGTTTTACATTTGCTCGTTGTGATTTTTTATTGTGTTCAGATAAGTACATGTGCATCAACTTCCAATCACATCTTTCACCGAGATGACTAACAGCAATGGAATGGCACTTTATTATTTGGACTCTGAAACTTTGGATTCACATTGATCTATTTTCTCTAAACTTGGAACGGATATGGACATAATGCTATATGTATATTAGCAGGTAATATTTTATTACACATATGCCGATATGAACATTTTTATATAAAGCGAAAGTACGTATATTACACGTAAATCTATAAGAAATAAAGTTTATATTACAACGGGACTTTTTTTTGTTAGTACAGATTTTTTTAAATCTTAAATTTGTTAAATTAAATATCAAATTAAAAATTATACATAATCGCGACAATCTTCCAATGATAAACTTTTATTGATATGACAAAAACAGAACATAATTAGTAATTTTTATTAAGAAAATGTTTACGAACAAACATTTGTATGAAATCGCTCTGACAGAACTAAAACAAAATTATATAACAATAAATAATAAATATAATCGTGAAATGACTGATGCGCGTTCTGCGCATATGTAGTTTCTTCCTCAAAAAACATTCCGCCGCCAAAGTCCGCTAACAAATTAAATAAGTGTGCAAATTAAATAGAGTATAATTATATATGTATAATTATAATATCTTATAGTCTCCATTCTTTTTTAATCATATCTGCCGCTTTCTCGGCAATCATGTAAACTGGCAAAGTTAGGTGTCCCGATGGGATCTCCGGCATAATGGATGCGTCAACTACTCTTAATCCTCTAACTCCGATCACCTGCAAAATAATATGCGTAGATACAAGTGTAAATTCTCCATTTACCTAGTTTATAACGATAAATATTACTTTAATGCTCCGAATAACAAGTACCTTTAATTCAGGATCGACAACAGCAGTGGGATCCGCTCTCGGCCCCATCTTACAAGTACCGGAGTAATGATACAACGTGTTGGATATCGTCCTTATTGCACATTCCCAAAAGGCGTGTGATTCAAGTGTGTATTGGTCGCAAAAATTGGGTATCACTAACATTTCTGGATTAAACGCTCGCATTGATTTGGTATTGCTAATCTTAATTGCCGTCTTAATACCATTAATCATTGTTCTGACATCTTCTGGATCGTCGTAATAATTTGGAATAATTTCAGGTTTAACATCAACATCATTAGCAATTAATCTTATTCGACCGCGACTCTTCGGTTTCAATAATATCGGAACAATACTCCAGCCGTAATCGTCGTTGTATTTGCTGACTATCTTAGTTAGTTCATTATTCAGATTCATTACTTTTTTGAACACAGGTTGACCCATATTTACATTACCAGAAAGTAATAGTTCAATGTCCGGCAAACCACTGCGTTTTTCTGGCTGTTTGGTATTGATAAAAGTGAGAGCTTCGGCGGCCGTGCTCGTTAACGGCCCTGAGTTGTTCAGCAGAAGATCCGTAATGTACGAATTACGGAAGACATCAGAAATATCTCGTTCTCGTAAACTTATTGGTTTGTTTATTTTCCACGACAACGCGTAGAAGGTTACATGATCCATCAGATTTTCTCCGACCGGCGCGTCTCGGACGACGTCTATTCCGAGATTTGCGAGATGTTTAAATGGTCCGATACCGGATAGCATTAGCAACTGAGGTGATCTAATGGCACCCGCGGACAAGATAATCTCTTTACTCGCAAACACGGAAATAGTTCGATCGGTTTTGGTCAATTGTACGCCGATTGCTTTATTCGCACGGCGATCAATCAGCACTTTGTTTACCACACTGTTTTTAGTTACGTAAAGATTTTTGCGGTCACGTATAGGATGTAAGTAAGCTCTGTTGCTACTCATGCGAGTGCCATTGATGAGAGTGCTTTGCGGATACGAGAATCCTATTGAGTTCTCTGCATTATAATCCACTAAGGGATATCCTAGCTCTTGGCCAGCTTTTAAAAAGGCATCTGCCATTGGCGTGCGAAATAGCGGATAAGAGATGTGCACTGGTCCATTAGTTCCACGATAAGTGGTATCCGATTGCAAATCTGGAATATCGACGGTTTCCAATTTTTTTAAATACTTTAAAACGTCCTTGTAAGCCCAGCCCTCGTTTCCCATCTCGGCCCAACGATCGTAATCTTCGGTGCCGCCTCTGGTGGCGATCATGTAGTTTATCACACTGCAACCACCCATTACTCTGCCTCCTAGAAAATGACACTCTTTATTCGCCATACCGAGACAGTATCTGTTCGATGGCTTTGTATGATATTTCCAACTGACGTCGTCATTCATGTGCAAAAACGAAGCTGCCAATGGAACATCCATTAAATAGTTCTCGTTACTTCCAGCTTCAATCAACAATACTTTAACTTCGGGAATTTCGCTTAATCTTGCAGCTAAAGCGGATCCAGCCGTGCCAGCACCAACCACCACAAAGTCATAAATTTCTCCGTGCCGCGGGATCATATCCGGCATCTCATGATTAAAGAATTGTTGACTTTTCTCCAAAAACTTCAAAACTCCAATACTTATATTTGCGATCTTATCCAATAGTGGTTGAAAATTTTCTGACCGAATAGGAACAACGATGACGATAATAATGACAAAGTGAAAAAAGTTTAACATCTTGTTCAAAACTCAACTAAATTTTTCCAACACGTTGCGGTCGAATATGGACTATGAAAATACTCGCACTCGCATCCTTTATATACGATTTCATGTTTTGCTTTTTGTTAAGTTATAAATCATATTACATTCAGTAAATAAAATGCAAATTTCTTTTAATAATACGTTTTACGAAACCTGTTCTTGAAAAAATGATATACATAGTTACACATAATATGCGTAATATACTACTATGTATACAAAGTAGATTACATAAAGCATATTAAATTATTATATAAATTTATTTACATATTTATTTAACCAAGGCTACGTTCAGCAGAACTCAGCGCAATTAGTACGCGCTTTGCGATTATTGCTATAAAGTAACAGTTACGTAACATTAATGTTATAATTTTTCACTTAACAATGTAACTGCTACATATAAGGCATGTTACATTGCAGTTACATCGTTGAGTGGGTAATTATAACATTAACGTTACGTTACTGTTACTTTGTGTTTGCTGGGAATATATACTTTTAGATTTGCAATAGATTTACAAAAACAAATTACGAATTACAAACAACAAACGCTTAGCTTAGCTCACGCGCTGAGTTCTGCTGAAAGCAGCCGATATATCATAAAAATTATTATATATAACGTAACGATTAATTAAGAACCACTAACTTCAAAACATCAGACAGTTTTTGACCGGCCCAGTGGTCTCGCAGTTTAAAAAGAGTATGTATGAGTGATATATTGGAAAAGAAGAAATGTGTGCTCGTAAAAAATAACATATAATATAATTGTTGAAAAATGAGATCAGTCTAAAATAATTGTTCGAATTTGCTTACATTTTCGCGCCAAAACTGGTCTTTCGCTTCAACCAATGTCTTTTCGATGAACGAAATAGGAAGAAAGATGGACGCCTTAACGTTAGGCTCGCATAGGTAAAGTATAGTCGATTGTGCTTATATTTCTTGATAAACAAAATATGATGTGAGAAACTGCCTATTGTTTTCTAGGTTAGTCCATCTTGATTTAAAAGGCGCACCGCCACGTACCTGTTATTTCGAAAAGGTAAACGGTATACTTGTAAAAACATTTCACACATAGCCTTTATTTCTGACGTACCTACTTAGATGTTGATCTTTATTTTGTGATTGAAAACGATGACCGTTTTCTGCAAAATTGTGTAATTTATGTGCTACAAACGAAAAACTACATTTGATTTATTTTTTAATCCCAATTAGATTTTAATCTTAGTTATGTTTTGAGATTGCTAATATTGACAGGTAAACAAGACACCATTAATCATCATCACATCTTTAACTTAGTTTTGTTTGCATTTATTCTTATGACCATTTACAGCTTTTTCCATTGTTGCGAACATGGGGAGCTACTGGTTTACTGGTGGAGTGGGAGGATACATTTCCTTACAATCGAGAACTTTCTCCAATAGGAAGCAATGGACCAAGCAGTTTAGCAAGTGGATACACAGTTCAGGAGGCTAGACATATTTTACAGATAGCGGGTGATTGTGGCTTAGCTGTCATCCCATTGGTACAAACTTTTGGTCACATGGAGGTATAGAAAAATTAGTTTAATTAGTTTTACTTGGTTATACTGTGAGTGAAAGTTACATGTTCACTATATATATTTATTAAATTACATTTTGTATTTTAGTTTATCCTGAAACATGATGAATGGAGATCATTACGTGAAGTAGAACCATTTCCAAGTTCTATTTGTCCATCAAACCCAAGAACTCTTCCACTAGTGAAGTCCTTAATACGCCAAATTGTTAGTTTTCATCCTGACATACAATACCTGCATATAGGCTCTGATGAAGTATGGCACTTGGGTCTTTGCTCAGTTTGTACTAAACGAGCTGCTGCCAGCAAATATGGCAAATCCTCACTGTATTTGGAACATATTCTGGCAATAGCTCAATTCATTCAGGAAACTTATCCATACTTAAAGATCATTATCTGGGATGACATGCTGAGAACGATAGACTCACAGGTTTTGAACGGTATCTTGATAGCTTGTTTGTTTCCTTTGATCATACAGATCTCTTCATACAACCAATCTTTGTTTTTTGCAGAACATTACATTGGTAAATATGTGGAACCCATGATATGGCATTACAATCCTAGAGATAATTTTGCATTACCTGATGGTATATTTCTTTTCTCTTTTTTTCTAAAATATTTTATGAAATTGAAGTGTGCAAACACAAACACATGCCAGATAGATTGCATTTATTATGTAAAAATTATTAGGGTTATGGGATAAATACAGTGCAGTTTTTCCAAATATCTGGGCAGCAACCGCATTTAAAGGAGCCACCGGCTCTACACAACATGTACCCATAATTCGACATCATATAAGTAATCATGAAAAATGGTTGGAGGAGTTAGGGATTCATGTGAGCAAAGTACATGAATTCCGAGGTACAGCATTCACTGGTTGGTCAAGGTAAGAAAAATTGAGAAAATCTATAATACCTTCTGTTGTGTGAGATGGATATCAATTACTTGTAATTCTAGGTATGATCATTATGCCACAATGTGTGAACTATTGCCTACCGCGATACCGTCGTTGGCTATGTGTCTGAAAATTTGGCTCCACGGTTATTCGGAGCAGACGCATATACAAGTTGCCAAGAGCTTGGGATACATCGATCATCCATTACATTTAACGCCTCAGCCTCGTCCAGTTCCGATACCTAGCAATCTGTTGTTTCCCGGTTGGCAAGTAGCTGTGGGTATGGAGTGGTTTCTTAACTTCAGAGCGAAGTTTCACAATATTGTTACCAGTGACCAGTAAGTGTAAAATTAGTTAATATACTTAAAGTCTTGCTTTCGATTTAAAACAATTCTCGGGCTGGTGTTGTGTTTGTCATTTTCCTATTGACATTTCGTGGACGTTTCAGTTCACTTCAGTATTTAATAACTTGAATAATATATCAAATCACACAGAAATTTTTACAACATACTAGAAATGCATTAAATATACAAAAAAAATGAGATTAAAAATGAGTATATATAGATATTGATAAATATATTTATAAATAATTATTTTCAATAGAATTATGACGTGGATGAATCCATGGCAAGTTGCAAACAATTACACAAATCCCATGCAATTAGAAAATCTAATACCTGCTTTTACAGAGTAAGTAATTTTAATTGCACAGAAACTATGCTTTGAAAAGTTGATACAAATGTTATATCTTACGATTACTAATTTCAGATTGTTATTGGAATTATCTTCTCTGGAAGGTTATCTACGAGTTCAAATGGAAGCAATCTTTTTTTCGTCAATGATCGAAGAGTGGATAGGCACCAATATTCAACCAATAAAAGTAAAGTTAATAGAATTGAAACAAACGACGGAAAATCAATTAAAAGTGAATAATCGTGTATAAATGCTTCTTGTGCTTAGAAATTCGATGACGAAATTTCAAACATATAATTCTACATGATTTGTGAAGCAATATAATCGCAAAATTTTTCACAAAAAGGAGCTAAGTAAGGTAATTACAGACGTAATTACTAATAATTGGATAATCGAATATTTCTTGGATGTAGAGAGAAATTATTTTTGTATATAGTAATATTGCATATATTAAGTATAATAAATAGTGTAATACTTTGACGTTGACCTATTTTTAAATAAGCATCACGGAAAAAAGAAAAAAACTATATTTCCTGAAGGAAGTTATTATTTTAATATATTAGTATTAAAACACATATACATATGAAAAGTAACAAACTTTTGTCGATATATGCGATGTTCTGTGATATTTGGCTATGAAAGGGTAATTATGGTTAACTTACAAACCATACATTCAATATATCATAAGAAGCAATCAATAATTTTATCTTTAATTTTTTTTATTTCAAGAGTATAGTAGAGAATCTAAATATAAATTTTTAATAAATAAATCTCTTTTTGTCTTTAGTGTAGATTCTAGTTCTAATATAGATTAGTTATGCAGATTGTGTGTCTAATAATTAGGCTTAGTCGGAGAAATAAGAAAAAAGTACATATTATAAAAGCTATATTTATTTATATGACTTTACTTTTATCATTTGCAATATTTACGCGCAGACTGTAAATAAATGTCTGTTATTTATATCCACTTGCTAGAAAACAATAGTAAAATCCATGAGTCATTGTGCATAAATATACCTTTCATATCTCTTTTATAGCAGATTATAAAAAAACAAAGTTTCTATGTTAGTTTCAGTATGAAAAAGATATACTCTCTATATTTTGTATATAAATGTTTCTCTTTTTATTTTTAATGAAATAATAAACAAATGTTAGGTATAATAACAATTAAGTATAAATAGTAATTTGTCTCTGTAAATGTACATACATGTATTAGGGCTCGGATGACAGATTCGAACGAATTATATAATTTACGCTCGAATTATTTAAAACTAGTTCAATCCGAACTTTTAGGACAGCTCAAACTATTCGATGAATTCATAATATAACAAAAAATGAACAAAATTATTAGTTGCAGAACGCAATTTCGTTGTGCAACAGTTTGATGTTTTTCTAATGGAAATTTTGTATTCAAGCGTTTAGCGGAAAATAACAAAAGTCATGACCAAATGCGTTCTATTAAACGCAGTTATTCTGCAACAACTTGCAAGATTTTTTAACTATTGGAAGTTCTTATCACAGTATTGAGCAGAATATTATAAAACACAGTTGCACAGCAGTTGCGTTCTGCTGAATATTGTTAACTGTTTCTTTTTCCTTGTCTTTACGCATGCCTCATTTATTCGCGTCAAATTCCAAAGTCCGTATCCAAAGTCCGTATAAAAACATCTGTAAACGTCTTAAACATCTTCAAATTCGAAAGATCTGAACAATTAAAACGCGTCTGAGATTCGAGCGACATTCAATAAGTTCGAACGTCTAAAAGTTCTGAGCACTTAGTGTAATTGTTTAGTACATAATGTAAAAGACTTAAAATTACAGCACCTGTAGTAGAATAAATAAAACTAATAAGAAAAAGAAGAAAAATTCAGATTGTGTACGTACACTAACATATGCACCATGTACAAAGAAATCCTTTTTTAAAAATAATCAAGACAAGCTCTTGTATGTACACGTGTCTGCAAAATATATATTCCAAACTTTCTTTCTTGCTCGTTAGTGCAAGCTTAATGAGTTTGTCCAAGGACAAACTCATTAATTCAATGTGTCAATAACTTTCAAATATACAGTATGTATATTAGCGCGCAACATGTTTTGCAAGAAAAAACAAAAGATATATCGCTTGTACACAAGGTCGAGATTTCATGTATATACATACATGCACAAGACATAATAATTTATGTTTGATTCTTAATATGTTTTTCCACACAAATATAATTACAAAATAATATGGTAACGGCAACTTTGCGTGTAAGACATTAATTTATGTACATATATTAGCATTATTTTTACCGATACGAATTGAATCGCTCCCGGAGTGTTTAAATAACATCAATTTGGCAAATTGACTAATTTATATTGCTTGATTTATTAAATTAACGTCACTAATCGCATCAATTATCGCTTAAGCAAATACATATATGCGTGTGTGTATACGAACACGTATTATCCAATTATGTATGAATGATACAAAATCCTTTTCCTCTTGCGAAACACATTGCACGCAACATGCACCGATTGTTCCAATCAAATTAAACCAATCGAAAACATTGTACTGACGCTATGTACCGGCGAAATTTACGTTAGTATTAATAAAAACCTAAAACCTTCGCGTTACTCTGTATTATATATTTTTAATATTGGCAGTGAATTTTTTAGAACACAGCCCAGATGTGCATAACAATTTGGACATTTAACAAACGTGGGCATCTCAAATCTCAACACACAAATTGTTCTGACATCGAGAGATTGTATGTCAGAATTAGTCACGTGACTAGAAAAGAGATCTGTCTGCACATGTCTGCATATTGTGCGCAGATCAGTGCAAGCGTGTGGTGATGTGGTGGGGAAGGTGGAAGCTCGTTAGCTCGTCGTCAGTCGTGAGACAAACTGTCTCGCGATTCGGGAGTAGTGTTGATGCTGACGGTGTTTCGCGAGGCCGACTGTTTCAGGCGTGTTCTGGTTGCTTGTTCAGGGTGACCAAACACGGCTAAACGGGTCCGGTTCCTCAGTGTTGTGACAAGAGACAGATAGATGGTTCGCCTACTTGCTTTTCTATGTTGAACGTCAATCGTTACAAGTCAATCAGTATACGATGGAGAATGCAGTTCGTCCGGCAGCTGTTACGCCGTCGTTCTCAGCTCAAAAAAATTCCCATTGTGGGGTACTTAATGTTGAATATTGAATAATTCTCTTCTTGTCAGCTCAAATTTTTCATTGCCGACAAGACGTCATGGATAATTCTTGCCTTCATCAATTCATTACGACGCCCATCAAAAATTTCATGGAACTGCAATGGATCAAAGAGTAAGGTTCAATTTTTTAAATTACTTTTGAGTCGATGATCTCACAATTAATACAACTCCTATTTTAAAATCTTAGTGGGAATTATTTGTTATTTATCTTCTTATTTCTTAGGTGATTTTTCTTTCCTAGTTTATATTCAATTCTTTTTCCCATTGCAATTTTGTGTTTTATATGGTCTTGGGAATTTGTGTGAAAGAAAGTTTGGACAATTTATTGTACTGGAATATAGAAAATACTCGAAATGCAACAACATTTCTTATAAGCTAATCTGTGTTATGCATGAATAAATTGCATGAAATGATAATACATTACTTAACGACAAATTGCATATTAATTCTGTTTTTTCTTCATTAAATATCTGAATAATGTGTGCTGTAATCGTAAAGAAAATTATTATTGTCATTATTAATTACAATGAATGCAATATGTATTGGCAGAATATCTTAGCTTTTGTATGCTTGGTAGACATAATGATCAAATAATTTATACTATGTATACTATATATGATATGCATGTTCTGTCAATAGTGGTAGCGCTACTTATTGATTTGATTAAAAATTGAAATCCCTTTGTAATAGATATATGTACAGAATTTTATTGATTAATTTTTATAATGTATTGGATTAGAATTATGTTATATGTAAATATCTCATTTTTGTATTAGAAAGAATTCAATTTTATTAATCATGTAAATATTTCATTTATTGAACATTCTCTATATTGTGCATTCAGGCTTTTTATTAACTCTGCAATTATACGCTATTACTAGAGTTTAAGAGAGAATAAAGTCGTGCATGCTTTGCACCAGCACAGCTTGTAGAAGGGTGAGAGATCAAATTCTTGAAGTAAAATAACTGTGGCTCATTCTGCTAATGCGGACAGAAACAAATATCCTGAACAGTCAGGATTGCAACAGGTTTCTTCTTCAAAACGGTTGAATAAACAGGTATCATTATTTAATATAATAGCCTGTAGAGTATGTATACGCATGCATTTTGTCATAATGCTACTGGAGTTTGAAGTATGCTTTATGCCAGAAATATAATGCAAAATGTTGTTTGATTTTTTTATCTTACTTATGATGTTAGCCAGTTATATAATCTTAAATTCTATGTAATAAAGCATTGTGATTCTTTAATTTAATTATCTGCTTTACATAAAGAAAGATTAAGATCTTGTATGTTGATCTATAATCTTCCTTTCTGTTATATAAGAACTTATATTCCCTGTTTTCTTATGTAATTAAATACTTACACACTCTTATAATCTTCTATTAGCGTCAGAAAAGAAAAACAACTCGATAATAAATAAAAATGTTGAATAGAGAAATTTGAAATAGAATGTAAAGAATTTGAAATAATAAAAAGTAGCTATTTTAGCAATATTCTCTCATTTGTTAAATAAACCAAAGAGTTTAATTTTCATTTTCTTCTTTATTCGTAAAACAAAGACGAGATTAAGAGATAAGATTATAAGTAGATAAGATTATAATTCGATTAAAGTTGTACAAATTTAATTAAAATTTTTATATTGTTCAATTATAAAACAATAATTTTATCTACTCTAATGGATATTATTTATAATTCGATTTAATTTCCGGTCTACGTGATGCTTATAACTGTGTAACTTTTGCAGATAAAATATAATAATTTTGTAAATAAATATCGTAAAATCACTTGAGACTTTGAATTTCACACAAATGTAAATCAAAACTTTTTTTACTTTTCGTGAGAGAAAAGTAAAAAATAACAAATAAAAGTAACAACTTTCCTTAATACCACACAAATGTTATATCTTAATAAATACAATGTAACATATTATGTTCATATATAAATTAAAATATTCTTGTTGTCGCTATTGTGTTGTAAATAAATCAATTTTGAAATCTATAAAACCACACATAATTAAAAGTAAGAAAAGAACCAAAAGTTATATATTTTCCTTACAGGATAAAATGGATGAATCCAAGAGCTTGCATGAATGAGGCATATAATCCTACTACTATAGAACACATTGCAAATGTGGCAACTCATGGAATATGGGTTGTGCCATCAGTGATTGGCGGTATCGAGCTTATACGGCGTTCAACAACATGGACTCAGTTCGTTTCCGCTTGCGTGTATGGCATTTCCTTGATTCTTGTTTTTACAGTATCAACTTTTTTTCACAGTGTACATTACTGCAATCATAACAGGTGCGATTATTCAACTGTTGTATTTTTAATGTTATTAAATCTAGAAACTCTCTCTCTCTCTTAGGATAGAACATAGAGAAAATGTTTATATTACGTATAACATTTCAGACAACTAAAGGACGCACTGCATCGCTGTGATCGTGCTATGATATACATCTTCATAGCAGCTAGTTACTTTCCATGGTTAAATATAGATAAATTCTCAGATGATGAACTCTTATTTGAGATGCGTTATGTTGTCTGGATCATGGCGATAATGGGTATTCTTTATCAACAGATCTTCCATGAAAAATACAAAATGCTTGAAACTATTTTCTATATAGTTATGGGTGTTGGACCTAGCGTTGCAATTCTTAACGTTGTAAGTCATTTTGAGCACACGAAAACACAATAATGTTTTAAGTGAGACATTTGAAATGATTTGTAATAATGTAAAGAACTTCGAATAACTTAATTATTATCATTGCAGTATGACTACTATCATATTACGGAATTAAAAGTGGGCGGACTGATATATGTTCTTGGTTTGATATTTTTCAAATCCGACGGCCGCATACCCTGCGCTCATGCAATCTGGCATCTTTTTGTAGCCGCAGCGGCTGGATTTCACTACTACGCAATTCTAAACCATGTTTTTCCTGAAACAGACCCGAACGTTCGTGGATCATCTGACAGCATGCCACCGCTGTCTGACATACTGAATTCTCATATAGAGTTGTAAGAATTATATATATACCATTTTCTACACGACACTTCTTCCAAACGCTAGAAATTTTGAAACAGCAGCAGCTCTAGAAGTTCTATATATATTCTCTGATATAGAAAAATGTTTTTAATTTCTACGTGGTAAAAGAGTTTTTGATAATGACAATTGATTTTTTAATTGTGATTTGTATGTCTGTTCTCTAGACAGCCAATTTTTCATAATTAGAGTGTTAGTATAAAACACAAGTCTCTTACTACGTGTAAATAAAAATGAAGACACTGTTAAAAAATGAAGTACCTGACGGTCACATGAAACTTGATTCATGTGTATGGGATGTGTAATAGATCAAAAAAAGAAATATTGTATTAGCAGAAGTATGTAGTATAACAGTTACTGCTAATCACATTGTAAGTTCGAATACATGTACAATGAATATTACATCTTTTATATGATTCAGCATATTAATCTCGGGATTAGTCGCGTAAATAATGCCAAATTATTGTAAGAAAAAAAAAAGGTTCGTCAAAACTAACTACTTAACATTAGTTAAAAAGTAAACTAGAAAAAACTTATTTTGTTTTACATTGTATAAGTTTTATAAAAATCTTTACAATAATTATATAATAATTTGTACACAGTAAATATTAGTTGAATAGTGAATGAAAACCAAATTGACTGAATACATAAATTATTGCTTTTCAATCAGAAGTGTCAATCAAATGTTCTGTTTGCAGATTGTGCCAAAATTATATTTACATTTCTAATTGACTAACATGTAGCATTTCCAACATATTAGATGTAATACAAGTACATAAGTATATATTATGTATATACACATACATACATAAATATATAAATGCATATATAAATCATATATAAATGCATATATATTTATATATGATGCTCTTCTATACGGAATCAGCATTATATTTAAATTATAATACAACTTTTACAACTGTTTTGATGTATAGATTGCTACATATAAAATGATAAAATTATATACACACATATATATTATATATATATTTATATACATTCAGTTTTAGTGTTTCAATCGTTTCATCGGAAACAGCATATATATTAAACAATGGCCTTATATTTATATTATTATTAGACATACTCTTCCAAAATATATTACATGACGTTTTTATGTGATCTTTTGTTGTTCAGTTTAAACAATTGCGTAAATCAAATTGCATATAATTATATTTTTTGGTAATTATATAAAATGTTATTATTTTTATAAAGTATATGTGTGCATATGCGTGTATACTACGTATACAAACGTATGTACACATATATTTTTCTATTAATAATTTACTTATATGATACATATTTTGTCTTTCTTATATAGTATACGAGTTAATGTAATTTATGTAATATCTATATTTATTTTTACATACCACTTGTATAGCAAAATTAAAGAGATGTAACATGTGGTTTTATACGTGTGCATTGCGTGTGTGCGCGCGCGACTGTGTGTACACTATACAGTACAGTATCGACATTGAATAAAATATTAGTGAGAATGTCTTATTAATGTAAGAAGGACGTGCGATATTATACATGTATGACACCGCGAGAAACAAAGTACAAAAAGATCATCAACTATGAGTTTGTTCACTATTTTTTGTCTTTGTGATTTGCAGTGGACCAAAATGTATTGCAATGTAACGTATAGCATCTTTAGTACGCTTTCTCGTGTGTACGACTATGTAATATTTAATAAAGGGAAGAGATAGGAGAACAATAAAAAATTATATATTGACGAATGACTATTTCTCATTCAGCTGACTTGTTACCAGTATGAGTATAATAATGATAATGGATTTTACGATCACACATTTAAAATTGAGTAAAGAGAGGGATCAAGGGCCGAAGGGTTTCCATAGTAACAATGCCAAACAAAGCGAGAATTGAACGAGTCGACAATGGGAAACTATGCCTGTGTGATATCATTACCACTTCAACACTTTGAAATCTATACAACGTAGTCATGAAAATTATTATGCGTTTTTATTTTTTTTTGGAACGTGGAAAAGTTTACAAAGTGATAGATTATATTTGTAATTATATCAGTTTTTCATCATAAAAGTGTCTTACAATTTCTTATAATCAGACATCATAGTGCAAGTTATTTTTATTATCAGTGACAAAGAAAATTAAAACATGGATAATGTTACACGTGATAAGACAAAGAAAACAACATCTACACCTAACAACAGCAATATGCTTGAAATACCAACATGGTTGTTGGAAATGACAGAGTATGTAATATTATTTTAGATACAACTATTACTATATTATTTTCCTTTTTAAAATAAGATTTAGCGTTATTAAATTTTAATTTTTTCTTATAAAAGTAAATATTATTTTTTTTCTCATATTAGCAACATAGAAAAATTGAATATAAACAATGATATTAAATCACTGGAAATGGAAACGTTTTCAATTAATGATCATCATATTGTGGACACTTTGCAAAAGAAAAATGACCATATGTAAGGTTTTCTATACGCTTTACAATATTTGTCTTGCATAACACATAGTATAATAAACAGTTGTAATGCTTTATTTTAACATTTATAGAAATATACTGTCCAACACAGAACCAAGCAATAATTATGATATTGATGATAATGTTAAAATGCAAACAACTGCGAGCAAATCATTACCAAATACACCACAGAATGGAGAAATTCAAGTTAAGCCAAAAAGAACACGTGCTTGCTCTGCTGTTGTAAATGCAAAACGTCGCGTGCAAAATGATTTTTACGAATTAGATGCGTATTTAGAAAGAAAACAAATGGAAAAGCACGGATATGGTGACAATATAAAAACTTCTAATGAAGAATTTAATTTGGAGTATTTTACGTGTGTTGAGAATAATATAGATACACAATTACATGAAAATTATTCTAACAGTCCAGCATTTTGTGTGCAAAATGAAGGAAAGCCAAAATTATTGTCTGATCAATATCAAGAATCTTTTCAGCCTTCTACCTCATTTGAAATCAATTTTGCCAAAGATATAAATCTATTATGGAATAATTATTTGCCAACAGGTTTACTATTTAACTTGACATTTATTATATTCATGATGCAATTGTGAAAATAATTTAACTTAAATTTTTCTTTTTCAGAAAAATCTTACAAAAATTTTATTATTCCTGAATTACCATCCGGAGACTCTTTAGTCATTGATATTCTTTCTACTTGGGGTGATAAGCATTATGTAGGTCTCAATGGCATTGAAATTTTTTCAAAGACTGGAGAACCAGCTACAATCAAAGAAATATACACAGACACAAGCAATAATCAATCGTTAGATAATAATCATAGTCTTCAATCTGTAAATAATTTAATTAATGGTATTAATAGAACAAAAGATGATGCAAATTTGTGGTTGACACCCTATTCAAGTGGTGATCATCATTACGTTTATATAATATTTGAATTCACAATCACTATAGCAATGATCAGAATATGGGTATGAGTTTTTATAACATAAAAATGCATATATAGCAATTGCAACAATCTCTCAAAAACATATTTCATATTATTCTTTTCTTTTTAGAACTATAATAAATCCAGAATATATTCCTTTAGAGGAGCTAAAGATGTTATTATTAAATTAGATGATGACGTAATTTTTTACGGAGAGATTGCTAAAGCAACTGGTGATGTTATAGGCAGTCTTGATTCTTTTGGTGATGTAAGAAACATTTTATTGAATAGAAAATTTTTAACTTATGATTTAAGTTTAAGTTTCAACATTACAGAAGACATTGAGATTACGTTAATATTTTATATAAAAAATATTATATGTATGTATTTTGATAAATTAGCAATATTCTCATATTCTTTTTTGTGTAATGACTGACAATGAATCGATTTCGCGAAAAAATAAACAGTTCCTCATTTAAACGGTGTGAAAAAGAAACAGCCTTTATCTTTTCGCGAAACGATTTATTGCTCGGCATAGTACATTTTGTGAAATTGTTAAATATAATGTACAAATATTGACTGATATAGACCATATTATTTACGACGGATGAAAATATCTTGGAACTGATATCACAGCATGATAACATATTCATAGAACTTAATAACGAGATGTCAGATTACGAAGAGAAAGAAACAATTCGTCCGATAACAGCAACGATTAATGATGTAAGTAAGCTAATTGCATTAATTTATAGTTATTCGAAAATAATAAAAACATTATTTTAGATTGTCTCAGCAAGACATAAAACTAACGATCTTACCGAGAGTTCTTCTAACTTATATACTGATAGTAAAATTTACAATACAACTTCTAACGCTCTGTCTTGCAGAGAAGTTCAGTTAATTATTATTTCTAATTGGGGCTTCGAACATTTGGTTGGTAAGCAATTACACATTTTTATATTAATATTATAATTAATCTCTTGCCGTACGTTTTTGTTTGCGTGTTATCGCACGGGCCGTAGTGAAAAACAAATTCGCTCGTGGAATGGAACAAAGAAACGTTTTGCGGTCGCTTGCAAATTAATTTTCATGTTTGTTTCGTAATCAGTATCACGAGTCTCACTCGCTATTATACAGCAAAGGATTAATAGCAAAATCTTGTCGCAAACAGACAATTGTCAAAAAAGCAACAATTCGCGTGCAAGTGGCAGCAATTTGTCGCCAATTTGCCGGCATTACGTATAATTGCTGCCGACATGTTTACTGAGAATAAAAGCATTCACAAGCTATATATTCGTTATAGGACTTACTGGTATAGAATTAATCGGAGAACAAAGTGTAGCTGTTCCGTTGATAGACGCCAATTTACACTGCAATGTCGGCAATACACATTTAAACAGATTAATTGACGGACATAATGTCACAACTGAAATTGATCACATGTGGCTAACTGATGTAACATCCGACAAAAGAATTATGATAACTATCAGTTTTAATGAGCAAGTGTATCTAATAGGAATGCGGATTTGGAATTATAACGCATCTTTGGAACTATCTTATTGTGGAGTGAGACATTTCATATTTTTTCAATTATTAATCATACAAACTGTATAATTCGTAGTTTCAATTAACACGTAGATTTTTTGTTCTTGCTTAGGTAAAACAATTGTTAATTAAATTGGATGATAAACAATTACATAGTGACAACTACGAGGGTTTTTTATTAAGACGCGCGCCAGGATCTTGTCATTATGATTTTGTTCAAGAAATTAGTTTTGTCAGTAACATATTTGCTCAAGTATCTAATCATTCTGATTCAATTAAATCGTCTGAAGGTAATCTCAGTAAAGTTTTGTTATTAATAATAATGTATTCTCATGAAAAGAGAAATATATATATTGTGATATTTTATATATGTGCAGAACTTGAGTCTATGGATTCAAACTATGAAGCTCCGTCAATGCCACAAGGATTTGTTTATCAAATAGTAATTTTTTCCACATGGGGAGATTCTTATTACGTTGGCCTTAATGGGATACAAATATATGACAATCATGGAAATGAAATCAAATTGACTACAGATAGTACGTTCAATTTCTAGTTTAATTATTAGTTTAGTTGATTATTCTAATTTTCAATTAATAAAAAATATTTTTACAGAGTTTCAAATGTTTTTTATATTTATATTGTCAAATTATTTTTATTAATGTTTATTGCTAACTGTGATTTACATCAGTTGGTTTTTTTTTTTTTTTTTTTTTTTTTATAGATATAGCAGCATTTCCTGAGAGTGTTAATATAATAGACGGTATAGATAATGATATTCGTACACCAGACAAGTTAATTGATGGAATAAATAACACTAAGGACGGACGTCATGCATGGTTAGCTCCTATACTTCCTGGACAAGTGAGTAAAGATAAATTATACTTCTAATAACTAGTATGATAATAACTGTTTCAATATACCTGTTATGCAATCTCATTTACAATTTTTTGCATAACAGTACACTTATAACTTTATTCTTAAGTCTATCACATAGGCATTGTGGACCGTTGGCTTTTATTGATAGAAAGCTTCTAATTTATTATTTTCCGCGTGTTTAACACTTAACGTGTATTACCATCGGTAATTACCGGTAATACACGTTAAACGCGTTTATTACGTTAATATGTTCGAGCTCGACACGGAACGTGTTAAAGCAACACTTTATGTTGAATCATTAAAAAACTGAAAATTTGTTGTTGATTATTACGCTATTTTTCAGACAAATCGTGTATATCTTATATTTTATCATCCCGTCACTGTGTCGACAATTAAAATATGGAATTATGGAAAAACTCCGCAAAGAAGAGTTAAAGAATTTGCAGTAAGGAAAAGAAATCGTACACACACATGTTTGTTTTGATACAATTTTCCAACTTCTTTTTATAGCTTTATATAATATTATATCTGTAATTTGTAGATAATGGTAGATGATCTATTAGTTTATAATGGAACTTTAGATAAAAAGAATTTATACGGCTTGGTAACGTTCATGAAGGAAAGCAGCAACAGTGAAAATATCGTGAGCTGGTGAGTCAAATGAGCGACTCTAATATCATTATAAATCGATTTATCAGATGTATATAAAGCTTTTGTGTTATTCTTATATGTATGTGTGTATTTATAGTTCGGAACAAGAGAGTCGATCTTTAAATTTACGAAGAAATACTTCAGGCACTAATTCATTGCCGGATCCATCTCTTCGCCCACATACATCTTTGCAATTTAATTAATCCTACGCATTCCTGATAAAAATATATCTACAAACTATGCGCGAAAACAGTACGTAGTATAAAAACTCTAACAATCAAGTTTTGTACACATCTTCTATGCGAAAATTCAACTCTTATTACGTCTTTTAAATACAAAAAAGTTATACACAAATTGTGATATAAGCTGTAAATATAATTTGTTATTTATAATTTGTTATTATTATCTGTCAATGTTCACACTGTGTAACTGTAAAAAAGACGATTGTAGCAAGCGTCATCAACAACACTTCTTCCAACCGTAAAGATATTACTACGAAACAAAATGAAAAGCAATCAAGTAAGTATATTTTCTTAGATTATCGTTCGCGGCTCTTAATGTTTGTACTTAGAGTTTAGATACGAAGTCGGAGAAATTTTTCTAGACACAAAGAAAAGATTTTTTTAGATTTATTTAAGATGCTGTGCTGGCACCGACAACACTTTCAAATGCAAAAGTGATGCGGTGCAGGCCGAATATCAATTTAAACATTATCAGGAACTTTAAACAAGTCGCTCGTAGACATTGCTATGTAGTTGCTAATGTGTACCAACCATGGACATATAGCGCTAGCTTACAGGGCGGAAAAATTATTTCAGGTTTTTATACGATCCTGACCGGTGACTCTGATATAAAAGTTAATATAGTAAATACAAATATATATGTATGAAAAGATGCAATTTCAAGAAGTATATGTTTATCATTTTATTAAAATTTATACATCTGGGATTTGTTACAATTTTCAATTTTCTTATCTTTTAATTGCATTGAAAACTCTTGTTACTTAAAATTCTCAATAATTAATGAAAATTTTAATGAAAGAGTAGAAAATTGGTAAAAGTAAATCGTAATACATTTTAATTTATGAAATATTATATATCTTTTATGAATTTTGATTACGCGCGATGCTTGCGAGTTTTTATTAAATGTTTTTTTTAAATGTGTTTTTTCGATCGCGAGGTAGCGTTTTCGATGTAACGTTTTTGCGTTATTCTCGCAATTTAAAATCCGAGATGCGACATGATTCGTCTCGATCCCGTAACTTACCGAGGAAGAGTGAGAATTACTCTGTTTTTTGAGAAGTACAAAAGATTATAAAATATAAATACGTGACAAAGAAAAAACAAAGACACAGAATTAAACGAGCACTAAATTTTACTTTTTTTACTTTCTTTTATAAAAAATAAGTTGCTCGCATATATACAATCATTCGTTCGTTATATGTTCGTAAAGTTCTTTATGTACAATATTCACATTTTAAGACATTTGTAAGATAATTAATCAGATTTTTGTATTTTGCACGTTCGTTTCATTAACATGAAATAGTTGTGTGGTTCTTGATCGCTCATGACGAAGGTTAACGAACTGTATCTGAACTTTACAATAACTTTGAGAATTCTGAGTTTCATTAAATACTAGTGTCGCAACACAATTCCGTTCCGAGTTTAAAACCTTAAAGTCTACTGATATATGTATACATATATATATAATACATTTATCATTTTTTGTATAACATTCTTCTCATCATCATTCTATTATTACACGCTACTCTCGCACGCATACATTCAAATTGAATACTATAATACAATAAATAGCATCAGTTTTTCACACATTCGTGCATACGATATTAAATTATCAAGGCGTCATCGATCGATTTTGCGTCGATTAAAAAATTCGAAGATTAAAATACATTTTTAGTCAGTTTTCAAACACGATATTTGATTCACGATCATGCGTAAAGGCAATATGTTACTAAAAAAAACCGAAATTAATATTATAAAAAAACGAAATTAATATTATATAAATAAACTTTCATACTTTATAAAAACAAACAAATCTGACGCTGCGATAAACTAACAAGATTTTTTCCTTGATAATTAATTCGACAACATAATGTGTGTTACAACAATAATGTGTGATTATTTTTATATTTTGTCATCGAATAGATATTTTTATATCCTGTCATCAGGTTTGCACATCTGTTTTGTTATTATATGTGTGTCTGCAAATATCTATTATTTATCTTGTGTCAAAGTCGATATATTTGTCACAAAAACGTCAAAGAGTTTTTCTTGAGTACTTTGCCCTATATTATAGATTCGTACAAAATGAACAACATTCTTAATTCATACATTCTTCAACGTCTTAAATCACTGTATATGTACTTGAAACAAATGCTTTCTGTGAACTAAAATTAGACTGTTATATACAAGCGCGTAAGTAATGCAAAAGTCGCGTGATATTAAAATAAAAGAAAAATAAAACACGAATTTTGTCACGGTAATATCTGGCCTTTCTTAACTTCTAAAACCTTTGGCTTATTGTTTATTCTGTTAGGTATCAGATTGTCGCTCCTCCCGGAGAAGTAATCTTCGATTTCTTGCAGTGTCTTATTTTTGGTCTCCGGTAGGCAAGTGTAGAAGTATATCGTACCAAACAAGGATATGCAACCGTAGAGAATGAAAGTACCATGATGAGTAAACACGCTGACCAGAAGCGGATAGGTCTTGACCACCACGAAGATGAACGCGTGCGCGCACATGGTGGTGATACCGCCGATAATACCGCGCACTTGTACGGGATAAACCTCGCCGATCATTACCCACGGTATTACTAAGAAGCCAAGAGTACACGCGATGGTGTAAGAGAATATACACACGACCGGGAACCACGTGGCGATAAACGGTATATTGTTGTTCATCCAGTATTCCTTCAGCCACATGTAACCGCCTAGGCCTATCATGGAGAATCCACAGCCGATAGAAGACACCATTGTGAGCGGTCGTCGACCGTATCTCCTGCACAAAACGCAGGCTAGGATAGTGCAGGCTAGCCTCACTATTCCGAGTATAACCGCCGCCAGATATTTGTTCATGCTCGCTCCTGAATCTTGAAAGATCTCGACCGCGTAGAACGTGATAACGTTAGTCCCGGACCACTGATATATGAGGAAGTAAAGAGACAGCAAGGTGAACGGCTTGAGCGCGTTAGGTTTCAGCAACGCGCTCGTGATTTCCCGGAAACCGGTGAGCCGTTTGATGTTGTTCTTATTCGAGAACTCCATCAACTTTTCCATCTCCTGATTCACGTTGTAAGTACTGCCGCGAAACTTTCGCAGCGCCTGTTTCGCCTGTTCAGGCTTGCTGCGTGATATGAGGTAGGACGGTGTTTCCGGGAAGAAGAACATCAGAAGCAGCGCGGTGAACGGCAAAATACCGCTGATCGCCGCGCACACGTTCCACGCGAGCATGCTGCCGAGCAAGTATTCGATCAGCACTCCGGTGCTCACTCCGACGCTCGCAAGCGCGATCAGCATCCCTCGTAGATGCGGCTGCGTCACCTCGCTGGTGTAAACGCGCGAGGGCGCGCCCACCATGCCCGATCCCAGACCGACGAAGAAGCGACCGGCGTAGATCATGCGTATGTCGGTCGCGAACGTGATGAGCAGCCAGCCGAGCAGCGCCGGAATTTCTGTGATGATGAGCGAGCGTTTTCTGCCAAATCTATCCATCATATAGCCGGACATCAGGCAACCGATTGGCGTGCCGATGGAAGACATGCTAGCTGCAAGAGAAAAAAAGATCATCGATATACAATATATTTTCTGTTTATTAATTATAATTTTTTTTTTTTTATTTAGTCACGCGCGAACATAACAGTTCGATTCGGAGATCTAGTTGACCTCAGATTGCATAATTCTCTCGCATACCAATCCAAGATTCTTCCGTCGATCCCTGCACAATGGGGATGATACTGTCCGGTTCCTGGAGTTGCGGTAAAGCTATGGCGGAAAAACCGAATGCCATGCCGGTGTTGATGGTGCCAAGTTGAGCCACCACCGCGGCCAGAACCTGTCTGACGGCGCTGCCTTTGATCGCGTTGCCGCCTTCGGGATCGTTGTTGTTCGTTGAGATCCCATTCGCGGCATCACCGTTAACCGTCAAATTCGTTTTTTCGTCATCGAGCAACTTGCTCGACGGGATCTTCGGGAGCAACGACGGGATCGTCGAGTCCATCAGAGAGGTCTTCTCCGGATCTGTTGCGTCGTGATTCTTTCTGCAACGGAAAAAACAAGCACAATGTGTGACAACTTGCAGCAAAAAAACAAACGATAAAACTGCGGTCGTGATATTGTTTGCGAGAACGGCGAACGACGCGCGCACGTGAAACTATAACAATTGCATTTATTTGTAACGAAGAAAAATTCTTCTCTTATAAAATGTACATTTGTTGCTTTTTTTTTTATAAATAATTTTAAATTCATTTTTCTTCTCGCAGAAACATTTTACTTATCTCCGTACATCGCAATATCGGACTTACGCAAATATATATATGTAAATATTTCTTTATGGACACATTTATATGCTTATCTATGCGCATTAATTATATATACGTGAAATGATAAAAAATCGTCTTGCATATCTAATAAGCGTCACTTTTGTTGCTTATCATTCGTTATGATTATTCAAAGAGTACGCAAAGCTCGAGCGCAATCAAACTTTTTTTCAAACGAGCACGAACGTTGCAGAAGCAGAGACACAAACACTCATTCTATTTATCATTGGTTCGCAGTAAAAAGATAACAATTATTTTTGTTCGTCACACACAGATAAAACGGCAGATGTTGAGAACGCTGCGAGATATACGGGAAACTTTCCATATTGAAATTCTCGAGAAAACAAAAACAAAAAAAAAACAAGAGATCAATTCGTCAGTCAGATGACGATTATTGGGGCGCGTGTCTAAACACATGCGCGCTCGCATAAGTTTTATCGTGTCACATCGCCAATGCAGGGGTTTGGCTCCGATTTGACGAGACTAAAATTAAAACCGACCTAAATGCTTAACGGCTCAATTGCCGTATTAGTCGCGATGTAAAAAACAAATTTTACAAGTATGTATATATTTTATCTGTTGCTATACAAGAAATGAAGAATGTGTTTATTCCGAAGCATTTCAACGTGCAACACGCGCGTTTGAGATGCGCTACCGTACGTCGGTACCGTACGTCGCACAATAACGCCACTGTTGAAAGAAATTGATTTGCAAGAATTGCGAAATCTTCGCGAGACAGAAAAGATCGACGATGAGGTTTTCCACATGTTTGCAAACTTGTCGTCGCTTCGTGATGACATGATCATCGAGTGCCATAACTTTTCGAAATTAAGAAAACTCAAAACGTCCGATTCTCGTTGTTTATGAGCACTAACGCAATAACGCAAAGACGATTGTTACTTCTCGCCGAATTTTGCCAGATGCGAGTAAGTGTCGACAAAAATTTTTGCTATTTGTATATACAAGTAAGTTCCTTAATAAGTAATAATTACGCTCTAACACACAAGCTAAAGAGCTTTAATTACATAAATTGACACGGGTGTGTAACTTGAAGATCGTGTGCAAACTTTGCAATGGAGATATCTTTGTCGCTTTTGTTTATCTTCTTATCAGAACCGAAGTGCACTGTTAGCAATATCGTTTTTTTTTTTTTATCGGCGTTTTACAACTTGTTACTTGTCAGAAGAGAGATTTCGTCGAGAAGAAGTTGGCCGTTTTCTCGATGTTGTTTAATTGCGACATACGAGAAAATGGCTAACACTAGATGTGGAAAAAACTTAACGACATCATTCTTCTTGACCTCTGCAATTTTTCCTTCGCGCTTTTCTACTCGCACCTGTATCAATAAGTATTGCCGATTCCACGAAGATCGAAAGTACATTACATGTTGCTTACAAAGAATTTATCAATCTCGTTTTGCGACATTTGTTAAGTATGCGTGCAATCGATACGTTAAAAATAATGTATTGATTAAATTATTGTAAATTAAACAAGGTAAATAGTCAAGAAACTAACAGTACGCCGATGCGCAACAATAAATGTTTTTATTGTAAAAAATTATTATTTTTGACTTGAGTTTCGATAGTTTTCGGTAACGTAAATAAAATGTGTAGTTGTATTATCTCGACACGCGGCACCGATTCTCGCAAGTCCAAGCGACGAAAGCGAAATTTGCATACGCGATTTGCCGAGCACGCAGCGTTGTTTGTTACTTTCGCACAGCTGTGCGGCACTCGTCATTAATTCCGTCGCGTTTTTCACAACGTCCATTGACATCGTTTTGAAATCCGATATCATTTATCCTGTTAATTTTTTTCTGTCTAATTATATCAATGTTTCTTTTGCCGGTGCGCGCGCACACACACAAAAATGTGCATTTTACGAAAATATACGGAAATCCTTGAGAAAAGAAAACAAAAGAAACTGAGAATGAAAGAACACTTACGCGAGACAATTTAAAAACGTCTTTTTTTATCTTAACTGCTGCATACAGAAAGTGACAATTAGGATTTATAAATAAATTTTCCAAGTGTCACGCCAAACCTGATGCTTGTCTCGATAAAAGAACGTATCATCGTCGCCGCACGTGACAGACAAAGTGGTTACCGAATGATTCAGCGTGTGCTTGAAAGACACGTTATATGCATTTTTCTTTGTATGCATGCACCTTGACTTTGCAAGGCCGCGAGACACTTTGAGGGGCTCTCTCACTCTCGTACGCTTCGCAACCAAATTAGAATACGACGATATCTCTCAAAGAATTTTCCATCGTCGAACCGCGACAACGTCTGGCCACCCCATCGGAGCGTGGCGGAATTTTCCGCGGAGCGTTTAAACGCACATTCATACATTGCATTTACAATGCGCGAAACAAAACGACACAACCGTCGCGGATAACCTTCACCCGCATATCCGCCTCGAAGCGTCTTGGAAATTTTCTCGTGACGGTCGTGCGCTTCGTGTCAAAAACCAAAACCGATAAAATCTATTTCCGGAGCGAGTTGTCGGATGAACAGTCACGTCCTTGATTTTTCGCACATAAACAGTGTGAATAATCGCGACGTTTTGCGATGTAAAATTATTCAGTCGTTGAAAAACAATATGATCGAATCAACAATTTAAAAACGTCAATAATTCAATTAAGAGACGATTGAAAAAAAAACTGCGCCGCGCGTCGTGTGTGTTTTATATATAGAATATTTGGAACAGATGCTGCATGCGCCTGATGATCCGACTCTGTTCCTCTTGGCAGTAGTTTTGACGTTGCAACAATCGAGGAAACGCCATGCAGAGCGATTGTACTTATCGCACCAAGCGTTGATGCGGATAATTCGTGAAATGTATAGTTGAAAGAAAAAAAAAGAGGGATTTTATTAGTTTTACATTTCCTGCTTCGCAGAGAAAAACGAATTTAACAAAAAATCATATTATCTCAGGTTTTTGTGAAACAAAGGAAGAAACAAATTATTATTGTCTGACATAAGTCAGGCTCGATCAGCTGACTCCTCTTTTCATTCTCTTCAGAAGTTGGCATAATTCGCAAATCGTTGCCAAGCTCGGATTCGCGCGAATCCTCTGGCACCACATGACGGAATCGCGCGATATTTTCGTGCCCTCGCGCGAAATCTGCGCGCGAAGGTTCAAGTGTAATGCATATCGCATACATATACGAGAGATACGCTGCATCTGTGACTGCAGCATCTGTTGTGTGTGGACATCGCGCGTCCCGAACAAACGAATGCGACCCTGATATTAATAGTCGAATTACATCATGTCCCGACGAAGGTAAATAGCGAGCGAGAAGATGATGTAAACACAACGACGGTTGTAAATCGTCTCGAGAGTTGTAACAACAACTGTTGTAACGCGTATTGCAAGAATAACGCGTGTATGGTATTCGCGCGTCGCATCACGAACATGGATCAATTGATGATCACGCATGGATCAATTGATGATCACGCGCGATTCTCTTCGTTCGAGCGTCAAAGACACACGCGCAATCGCGAATTTACATTATGCACGCAGTGAGAACGAGTAAATAGTTTTTCTTCGCGACGCGTGATACTCAAGCGAGTGCTCCGAAAAAAAACTGCGAACACTTTCTTCAGCGATCGTGTCTTTGTTCGCGCGCGCTAACTTGAAATTCAATGGTAAAGTCCATGACGAGATCGCGTCATCGAGATAATTCCGGACCGCGAAATGAAATTCGCGAGTCGCTCGACGCTCGTGAAAACCAACAAGCCGGCAATCGTTGATTCTCCGGATGACGTTTCTCTCTTATCCTCAGCTAATTTATTTATTTTTTTTTTTTTCAATTTCTGATTGATTTTGAAAAAGTTGTTCTCAATTCGCGCGATATAACGTGCAATTTTTTTCCTGAATTTTCACGAGCGTGAGTCGCAGAGTCACGCATCTGCGTGCGACGCTCTAAAACGGATCTTATTGTTTTATCGTTTAATATCATATCATTACGAATTTACGTTCATGAAGTCCTCGCTCAGGGGGAGGATGACACACACACACACGTGTCGTTTCTCACGAGAGGTCTGTATTATCGCACAGCTCGACATTTCCAAGTGGAAACTCTCTCGAAATACACAAAGGCGTCGTCGTTATTCGCAATTCGCGCGAATCTTTCCGCTTCGTTTCGTCTCGTTAATATTATTCTCGAGTTCCCGTTGGTAACAAATCGCAAGGTCGATCGCGAGAACCGACTTTTCTTGCTCGCTGCAATCTCATCGCGATTTATACTGCAATTAATTATATACGCGATTTGCAAGCAATAGCGATAAAAATAAAATACCGAGGTGAGAGTATTTCGACGTGTCGCGAATGAGCGAAAACTTTGCGCGATAATTTCACGTTAGCCCTAAAATCGACTCGTACAAATGTTCATTTGACCGTCTTCTTTGTGTGATACGACATATCGAACAAAAACTCCATTAGATGTCCGTTAGACGTCAACCGTTCCACATACGACATCTAGATAACAGATGTCTATAATGAAGGTTTTGTTCTGTGCGAGACGAAGATCGAATAAATAAATTTGTATACGATAACTTTTCGAGTTCGGATTTCCAATTTAAATTTATCTCGATTTATCGATTTGATGTCTCTTTTTCTCAATGTGTCAATTATAGAGTGACGCGGTGTAAGTTGCCGAATAATGAAGAAATGTATGCGTTGAGATCGCGTCATTGTAGACGCCGTCAATTATAAACGGCGCCTACTGAACGTATGAATATTAAAACCGAAGTACCGCAGACGACAGTATTGTAATTTAAGAGACATTGTAATTAAGAGACATTCGCCAGCTGATCGTTCATTAATTAAAATCGACATTGCATCGACAACTAATTGCATCGGTATGTCGTGCGTACATATTTAGACGTCAGTTTTGTGTTATCGCACTATCGACGATATTGTTACTTCATTGCGCCACGTGCGAATTTGTCAAACGGCGCAACGAGCCGACATTTTTCTCTTCCCCGACTTTTTCACGTCGATAAAATCGCAAGAGTGTTAACTCCCTCCGTCTGCGCAATTTTAGTCCTCAGAGAAAAGCCCAATTTTTTTCCGCACTTATACCTTACGAATGTTTATTTTTCCTGGAAAAGGATTTTGATATTTCGCTTAAGTGTCGCTTCTACGTTAAAGTGGAGATCTTAAAGTATATCTCAGAATTTTTGAAGATTTTTTTAAAGCCCACAACGATAAGAAAAAAAGGTCTCTCGGACCTTGGTTATGCAGACAAAGTGTTAAACATAAATAAGAGTGTTGAATTATAAAAATTTGCGTTGCGTAAAACGCTACGCGACGACAGCGACGCGCGCGATGACACGTTTTTTTTATCTCATTATAATTCGGGTTCTACTTCGCAGAAACTTTGATAACACTCGGCATGTATATTAAAAAAAAAAAAAAAACAAGAGACCACGTCTGTTATCTGGAATCCCAGCGCGCTTTGCGATTTCGAACGCGAAGTTTTACATCTATTTCGACTCATTTCTCTCGCCGTAGTCTCAAGTATGTTTTGCACGTGTTATCCAGTTGAATTTTCAGACGCAATCGCACTCATATATCGATCTTTGTTTACGACCGATAACTTTCAAAGAGTCATCGCTTGTGTCACGATCAATTTAGCCAGAAGATTTCATCAATCACGCAGAGTTTATTGTTTAAGAGTTTTTTGTTTTTTACCTCGACAGAGATGTATCTTTTTGTTTTCGTCGAAGCGAGGTAAAAGTTGTAATTCTAATTGTCGCTTGTGTGTATTGTATTCGGAGTTTGCAGGTGTCGTAAACAGAGGAGCTCGCGAGACGCGGGATCACTTGTTGCTCATGCGTATGTAAGTAAGTATTCGCGTGGCGGTATTATAAGACGACGTCTAACTCTCGACTTTGTCCCGGTGTGTGTCTTTCATCCGCGTTCACAGTCGGAACAATTAACCAGAAAAAATACAATAGTCAGAGTCTAACGTAATTACACTCTGTCGTTTTAATATGCAAAGAATGTATCGATTAAGTGAAAAAGAATTTTTTTTCAGCAAAGAGATTCTCGTTCGTTATATTAATTGAAATAAAAAATTATCTCTGCAAGGCCAACTAATAACGTCTCTAACAACGTTGTTAGTCCCCAATTTCGAAGTTAGCTAGCCCAGATATGGATCTAAACGAAATGGGACGCGTTATCGAAGACTACGTTTCCGCTTTTCGTTCTGGGATGCTTGCGGTTTACCGTGTAAACGCGCGCGGCGCGCTTTCGCCATTATCGCCGCGATTTTTCATATAGAAAAGAAGCGCGTCTCGATAGCGCCGCACGCGTCGTCGTAGCGCGTAGCGCGCGTGTCGTCGGCTCTGAAATAACGTGGCAATTGTCACCGGTATCGCGCGCAACACATGCGCGCTCGAGAGACTCGAGAGAAATAAATTATAACAGTACCAGCTTTTTGCAATAGTATCACGCACTTTGCGAACGAAATAATTTACCGGATGACAAAAGAAAACAGTAAAAAGTCGAAAAAGTATTTATGAAAAGCGCGAAATATTTATATACAATAATGGAATACAAATGTTGTACGTATCTACTTACTCTGCCATGGTGCTTGTCGTTACAGTTTGACCTTCTTCGAGTTATACAATAATAATAATACGTATGCGTTATGATAATATACAGATATATCACAGTCCGCTGATCACAAAGTGTTACCGAGGTATCTGCGGCTCATCACCGTTGATTTCTTCGTGTTTCCTCGAGAAAATCAATCGCTTCGAATTTTGTACGATTTTAAAACGTGAAACACGAAAAATCTTCCAAAAAAAAAAACTTTTACTCTCAAAGATTGACCGGATAGCCAATAGTACGTCCGATTTCGTAAAAACCTACGGGAGTCTTTTTCGACGAACGATTCATCTGCGCGGACGCCGCCGTTTTTCCGATAATTAAAAAGAGAACGAGGAACTTTTCGGAAATAATCCGTCGATTTTCTGTTTTTCCTTCCAGAGCGGATCGGTCGCGTGGGTTGAGGACGAAGTTGAGTATCTGGCACTAGAAGAAACTTCAATTCAAACCGCTCAAAGCGAATGTACTGCTGCCTGCAGCGCGCCAAAGCTTATATATGCGGTTCAGAGTACGAGAGGAGGGGAGAGGAAAAAAACGGAAGGGGAAAGACATATGTTTTTCTGGGAGGGAGCGCGCGACTTTGTCTAATGGACAATAGATCGAATCCCTGGGGAATGAAAGTGATGGTGGGACAACTGGGACAATGGCGGATAATATGTGCGATCTGAAAGAATAAAGTCGATCGATTTTCTTTTCAGTCTCTTTTCATCTTTCTTGATAACTATTGCATATCTTCGATAAATATCATTAATTCTTAATTAGCTTTGATTCTGTCAAGTTACATATTTTGTATTACTTTATTAAACTGTTTCGTTAATATAAGTTATTTCTGACAAATTTATCAATTAATATTTCATTACATTGAAAATTGTTACATAAAAAAATTTTTCTGTGTGATTTTACTCGTATTGACTCTCTTTACATTCTTTAGTTATTTTAGATATTGTTTTAGTTATTTTAGAGATATTTTAGGTATTTTAGGTATTTTCTCTCAAAAAGTTTACATTGTTTCATAATAATATCATTGATATATATCTCCGAAAACAATTTCCAAACTGTAATACTATATATGACGAAAGTTGTTTAAAGATGTTATTTTCCACCTCATGTAACGTTCAAAAGCGATAAACTAGGAAAGAACACGTGATTCACAATGCGATAACACAGCTATTTTCTGATACGTGGCAGTAATTTAAAATAATTGTAATGCAACAAGATTTTAATGCGCTAAGTCATCGAAATTCCTTTATACATTTTCAGAAATTCGAAGGAAAGTGATTAAGTTTAATCTAGTTCGGACATCGATAAGAGTCACGGTCACGAACGCGCTCGTTATCTGAGAAAAATAGTATCGGTATCTCGCGGCAATGCACAGACGTGAAATTGTCACGTTTGTTGTTCGTGAATCGCAAGCATTATTTACGTAAAAGTGTGATAAATTCAACCTCCAAAGCAGCCTCGCGTCTCGTTACACATCACATTGCTCGAAGTAGCAAAGGTTACGCGATGTGACGTCAAAATGTAAGAAAAAAATATCTGTCATATGTACTAGATTTCTTTTTTGCTACAAATCGAAATCTCATTATCACGCGTTTTTGTCTCGCGTTGAGGATCAGAAATAGCATCCACAACAACGTTTCGAAACAGATTGTTTTTCATTTTGAAACAAATTGAGACGCATATGAAAATTTAAATTTATACACTCCGACGTAAAAGGAAAAACGTGCTAATCTGAATGCGATAAAAAAAAACAAGCTCGTCGGCAATTATAGAAGAGAATGCGATGAGATCAAATTGTAAATAATCATAATTGCCAAGCAATCTCGTCGAGATGAAATGTCGAGATGATCTAATATTTACTTATAATATAACATTGGCACATTGATTTTGCAGTTATTTGCGATAGAAAAAGAAAAGAAGAGAGAGAGAGAGAGAGAGAAATATAAATTTTTAATCTTAAAGTTTAAATAAAGATTTATTTATGAAAAAGTGTAGCAACAACTTGAAGAAAGATCAACCAATTAAATGTGAAATAATTAATTAATATTTATCTTACGCAACTGTGAACTCATGTATTTTGATTTTTATCGACGAGCGCCAATCTCAAACGAGAGAGAGAGAGAGAGATTCGAAAATTTATTATAAATCAATGCGTCAATCGAAAAATCAAAGGTAAAGATTAAACGGACGGTTGTATTCGGGTTCGCCGTTTCCTGTCCCCGGCATTATCAGTATTGACGCATTATTGCGGTTATTATCGCAAATTCGAGCGTGACGAATTCGCGCGTGGTAAATGAAATTTATCTAACAGACGCGAGATGCGATAACCTCCTCGGGCAAAAACCCCTTTAGGCAAAAAAGAAAGAAAACATAAAATCGGTCACGCGGATTCTCGTAAATATACCGTAATCGCATCGTATGTGACATGTGCGACCGTACGTGACATGTGCTACGATTAGCCAAATGACCCGAGATGATTTTTTTTTTTTTCTAAGAATGCAAAAATGCATTTTTTACGCACTTTATCGCGTTTAGACAGATCCATATTTTTCGAAGACCGTTTCAATCTTTTTGTTTGTTTTGTTTTGGAATCTTTCGAGTTCAAAGTAAGAAAATTTGATCAATTTTGTAACAAAAAAATGAACTACACCTACTTTAATCTGAAGTTTTCTATAACCACGAAGTCATGTTGAAAACATGAGTTATGTGAACAAAAGAAACTTTATATACATAATGTATGTGTATACGTGTGCAAAGGTCTATAGTTCAAAGCCGAATCGCAAAGCTCAGCTCGGATTGCTCGGAAAATCGAAATAAATCTGTCACTCCGTGACCGCTCGCCAATTGAGGGGATCAGGTAGCGGAACAACGTTTGTTATTTATCGCTAAAGTACAGTCGTTCTTATCTTATCCGGATTGTGAGATCGCAAGTCGCGAGTTTCAGCGCGTGCGCGCGCTATTTTCGTCTCGGACCGACCGCGATATCGAGACGAGAGACGTTGAGAAGAAGAGAAACGTAAAAAGCAGAGCGTGTTGTTAAATTCTGATTACTCACATTGGCAGCGATGAGCCCAGCTCGCTGCTGCTGCTGCTGCTGCTGAACGTCTCGTAATTCCTGAACATGACGGCGAAGGACTGGACACGTATGTGGCCGGTTGTACTGTCCGATTAAATTGTTCTCGGCTTATCGGACGTATGGTCACGAGTTAACCCGCTATCAACAGTCATGTGCCTCTTCTCCGTGTCTTGTTTTTCTTTAATTTCGCTTATTTTCACTTTGACGTTCGTTGCACTCCTTTTGCCGCGCGCACGAGGCGGAAACCCGTGTGTTGCGCGTGACAAAGTCGCGATTATCATTCAATGCGGTTCCGATACGTCATATCGTACTTATCTTGAGTTTTAATCTTTAAAAAAAATGAAGAAAAATTTTCAATCCGCGCACATGGATTCGAGCGACTTAAAGAAATTTATCTCAATTTTCAAATTTAAGAGAATTTAAGAGAACGTGTTTCGTCTTCTGTTTCGAATGTTCTCTGATATTTAAAGACACAGAGGTGATAAATCAAGTCGGGACTTTTTATTTTGTTTTTGAATCATGCGCGCTCTCGTGTCTCTTATTCTTTACATTACACGCGCGCGGAATAATTGTACCTTAGACAGATGCGCTATAATTGGAGGACGAATGCATGAATGATATGTGATTTGTTGTTATTTATTTGCGCGACGCGACGTTCGCGTCGTAGCGCGCTTGCTTGCTCGCGAATGTCTTATCAGCGGCGTGAGAGCGATTACAAACTGCATGTGACCGCCAGTAATAGATTAAGACGCGTTACGCAAGTTGTAATTCGCGCGTCGATTTGCTTTGCCAAACGCGACCGAACGAGCACTTTGAGGTGTCATTTCGTTACGCGACTTATCGCGACAAAGCGATTTGCGTGGCATCTATGTAATTTTCGCGCGAACAAAATAGAGTCCGCTTTGAAAAATGTTCAGAGAAAATTTCCTCAGATAAGAAACGTCTTTTTATTTTATACTTAACATTACTCTAAATTAACTTAAAAATTACTTTAGTTATGTATCTATTTAAACTAATCTTTCGCGTGAACTGAGTTCCAAAGCAGTCTATTTACTGGATTGACTGGATCTGCGAGACTTTAAAATCAAACATTTCCGCGAAAAATCAATATTTTTTCAATTTTGTTTCAAATCGAAAGTTTGAACATTTCTGTGTCAATCGGAAGAACAAATTTCGAATAGCAAAAATATAATATTAAAAAAAAACTAATTTTATAACACTAGAGACACCGGGTTTGAAATTTTCAGGTGAAAGATCCATGTCGGTCCACGAAGGGTTAAATGTTTTTCTTTGTGAGTCGTTTATCTTATTCGCAAACAAAATGGTGAAACGGTTCTCAGACAATGAATCATTTGCCAATTAAACGCTAATGATGACGCAAAATCGTCTCTTGAGAAGAGAGACACGCGACTGAGATTCAGCGAATTTATTGCAGATGTTTTCGTACTCAGTCCCCACTTTTTCCACGAAACCGTTATACTTATCGTTTATATATCATTTCAAATATAATTTTCTCTCGTCGAGACATGTTATACCATATATCAAAAAAAAAAAAAAAAAAAAAAANAGAGACACGCGACTGAGATTCAGCGAATTTATTGCAGATGTTTTCGTACTCAGTCCCCACTTTTTCCACGAAACCGTTATACTTATCGTTTATATGACATTTCAAATATAATTTACTCTCGTCGATATCTGTTATACCATATATAAAAAAAAAAAAAAAAAAAAAAAATAATGCAATTAATTCGCAAATAGAAACTTCTTCTCGTGCAAACGAAGAGCGTCGAGAGAAATTGCTTCTGGAATTGTGAAGAGCGCAACTCGATCCTTTCGAGAAGAGTCGATTCCTAAGAAAGCGGAGATGAAGCCCCTTGGGCAACACCCGCTGCAATTAATCAATTGAAGAGCTTGTTACGGTTGTCGCTTGCTGCACAATTACTTAACCAGTATTCACAGCGATCCGCGCGATATGTTTATCTCTCGACAGAGATCGCACTTAGTTCCTCGCCGATGTATTATTTATCTTTCGGAAAATACCGCCTGCTACATATGTTGCTTATCGAGTGAAAACTATTTCGATGCTACACCGATAAAAGATATAGAAACGCATCTTTTTATCTCGTCAAATTTAGAAATGTTAAATTTATTGTTTAAAGTCTATCTATGCGTTTTAGCAAAGCAAATAGTTACTTCAGATAAAAAAGATTTTTTTTTACAAAAATGATGCATCTCGTATAGATAACAAAGCGCGCGTGTAATTTGTGTAATTTTTACATGAGCGTAAATAAAAAAAACGTGGTAAATTTGCATGTTAAGGGCGACCTCGTCGATTTCAATGACCTTGACATATATTGTCAAGGTGATCGTCGTGAG